TCAGGTAGTGATGTAATTTTTTCCAGTAATAATTTTGTTTGCTATACTTAAATAGCCTCGAATATATTGATCGATTGATGATTATTATAATGATAATGATGATGAGTATTGAAATTGGTCATCACAATTTTTTAATGATTATTACAGAACTTGAATCGATGCCGACATAATTTTTTTTCAACTAAAAAAATAATGATCAAAAAATTTGGATCAATATCGATATTGATTGCCAGATGATATATTAATCACCAAACAATCAATTCGGAATGAAAAATACCATCATCATCATCATCATCATTTGAACCCGGACTAAAAACAATTCTTATCCATGTTTTTTATCAAAAAAAAAAAAAAAATTTCAATATTGTGGTGACGTGATAGCAAATGATTGTTGCCATTATGGACTGAAATAGAAATATATTATATTTCCACCACCATCACAAAAAAAATTACCGGATTTTAAAGAAAAAAAGACAATATAGAACACACACAAATGAGCGAGAGAAATCTAGTGAAAATTATTATCTTGAATAACATCAATTATCATCATATCAGATCTTTATATATTATTTTTTGGTCGGTCAAATTTTTTTTTCACTCAATTGCTACTGGCAATTCAGTAAACTACAGCAACATTTATAACACACACACGCACACAAACGAAAATCTAACAATAAATGAAATGAAAAAAGAAAAATCAGTTTCTTTTTTCTTTGGTCACCTGTGTCTATGTGTCAACTTTTTATTCTGTTTTAGTTTCACAACAACAACAACAACAACAACACGGGGTTGAAAATGTTATGTATATGTGATAGGAAAATTGAAAATTTACATGCAAGTTTTTGTTTCAACATCATCATTGTAGATTTGATCATATCATTATTATCGAACGAACAAACTAACGACGATGGGTCATTCGGCAAAAAAAAAGATTAAATATTGTGAAAAGAAAGAATCAGAAAAAAAGAAATAAAATTAAATACATCTCCAAAAGAAAAAGTAGAAGAAGAAGAAAAAAAATGTCTCATTTTTTTTCTGGAGACATTTCGATCATGTCGTGATCATCATCATTGCTTTCTTGACCGACAATTGATGACCGGCGGCAAATAATGTTCAATTACGCTGTTGCTGCTGCTGTTGTTGTTGTTGTTGTTGTTGTCAATTGATTTCATTTTCAACATAAACACTAGAAAAGACTACTAAATTGTACCATTCTCACACACACACACACACATATCATCATTCATTCATTTTAAAAAAGTATTTTCTTTGGTTGTCTCTTTGTTTCTAAAATTGTTGAATGAAGAAGATGAAAATAAAAATAATAATCATAATAAAAAAAATGGCTCTAGGCATCATCATCATCATCATCATCAGTATGATAATTATACTGTGCTAGTTGAGGATGCTAACTAAATGTGTTGCCCAAGATAACCAACGATATTAGCAAGTGAAAAAGTTTAAAGAATACTTTTGAAACAAAAAAAAACTGAAAAACAAATGGTGGGAAACAGGAAATAAATTCTTTAGTGGCTTACCTGAATAGTAGTAGAATAGTAAAGATATATATATAGTTAGGCTAGATAGACGAATGATAAGAAAGATAGAATTTACCAAATGTTGATGATGATGATGATGATGATCGTCTTAATCAATGGTCATCATCATCATCATCATCGTTGTCGTCGTTGTGGCATAATCTTCATCGTCAAAAAAAGTAGTTGATAATCATTAAATAAAACGAAGAAGAAGACCCTGTGTATATATGGTGAATGAAATGGAATAAAAACAAAAACTTAGCTAAACTAAAACCCAAATTGAGGTCTTTAAAAGAAAAATAATTTTTTCTTGTCCAACATTCAACTTCATTATCATTATTCTTAGAGGTTGAAAAATTGCTTCTGGTCTTTGGTTTGGTTTCGTATTAATTATTATCAAAAAAAAATGAATTATCGAACAATTCTTCATCTGGTCAAAATTTTCATGAATCATAGTTTAACGTATGTGATTAAGTGAAGGAAAAACTAACGACCAATGTAGTAAAATTTAAGAATTTATTTGTCTTTATTGAAACATTGAAACAATCATAATTGCTGCTTTTTTTCAAAAAAAAAAAAAAAAATTATCAACAATAAACGAAAAAAAAAAATAATGATGACCATTGAAATTCAATTTCAATCCTAGTGCAAAAAACAAAACAAAACAAAAAATTCTAATCACTGCAAATCATTATCATATGATGATGAATTTAAATTAAAAAAAAAGTGTAAAAGAAAATAATTTGTCCAAAAAAAAATGAGATGGATGAATTGAGAATTTGAAATTTTTTCCGAATCGTAATTATTTTTAACGAACAAATAGCATGACAACAATAACAAAATAATAAAAAAAACAATTAACAATTAAAATTTCTTGAATAAAAGTTACGAAAAAAAAATGAAATGAAATTTATGATTTTCGTTTCTTTTTTTTTTTTTTTTTTTCCATATAACCCTATATATACTATAGTTAATCAAGTGTGTAATTTTTTTTTTACATCGCTATTTCTTCACGCTGTGTGTGTCGTCCAGTGTTTTTTTTTTTTTTTTTTTTTTTGTAATAAATGTGATATATCAAATTGTCATTGGACAACCACTGTCCAGATGAAACAGAAAAAAAAGAAAAAGAAAAACTAATTATTTCTTCTGATAAACGATTGGATATTATTATCATCATCATCATCATCAACATTTCCGTTTTGTTTTTTCTTTGGACAAAACAAAACAAAACAAAACAAAAAACGAAAGAAAGAAAAATTCAATGTCATGTGAAGAACATTTTGATGATGATAATGATAATGATTTCTATACATCTATGTGTATGTTCAAATCTGCAAAAAAAAATTTCTAGAATGAAAATAACATGAGTACGTAATGCGACAATTATCATCATTTTGTTTTTTTTGACTTTGCCTAATGTTGCAATGATGATGATGATGATCGTTTGTTGTTGTTGTTGTATGAACAATTAATTGCCATGATGATTTTTTTTTCACTGTTTTAAAACATTTAAAATAAGAGGTGTGTATGGTGTATAGTGTGTGTGTGTGTGTTTGTGTTTTTAAGTCAATTATCAATTGTGAGAAGAAAGAAACAGTCATCATTATTTTATATAGAGAAAAAAAAATTAAAAGAAAAATAAATGAATAGTAGTCATGTTAGAATCGAATCTAATGAACACAGGAAATTTGTTAATTTCCTCTTTCGAATTATTTATGATAAAATTAGACGTGTTTGTTTCAATATTGATTGATAATGACGATGATGATGATAATGATGGTCACATAATAATGGTAACAACAACAACAAAAAATGATTATTAAATTTCTCTCTAATCATTACACACACACACACACACACACACACAATATGACAAACATTTTTTTCGATAATTCGGTATGGCGGCTTCTGCTTCGACTGATCATCATCTGTGATGACATAAAAATGTATAAAACGAATAAAAAATTCTAAGATGTCCAAAAAATTCAGTAGTCGTCGACTGGTTTTTTCTTTCTTTCTGGAAAAAAATCATCAAAAATTGATTCCTCGTGATTAAAAAAAAACCATATATAATTATCTTATTTCTTAACAATTGGACAGCCATCAATTGGTTGGTTGATGATCAATGTGACCATTGGTCGCAGTGAGCGGTCTGCCAGGGCCCAACGAAATTTTTCACTCTATTTTCATTCAATGGGGGACCCATTGTCACTAGTGCAAAATGTTGTTAGCGCCCAGGGCCCATGGAATGGTTGATCCGCCACTCACTGTGATTGACGAAATTGAAAGATAAAGACGATAGATATAAATAATTAGTAGAATTAGGAGATTTATGGATAAACAAAAAATAAGCATACAAATACTGAACTTGATTGTCCATAATCATCATAATCATCCATGAATGTTTCATATGTTTCGGCTTCCTCTCTTTCTCTCTCCTGAATATATCGTTCACCATACATTATCATTATTATCACATTCTTTGTGATACAGTGTTTGTAGTTAATTTTATCCAATCAAAAAAAAAAAAAAAAATGAAAATTTTATTGCCAAGATGATGATGATGACAGGTGAAGATTATGTGAACATTTTTTTCCTTGAAACGAAAAAAATCACATATACATAGAGCGAGAGAGAGATGTTTTCTTCGTTGTCATCATCATCGTCATCTTCGACGTTCAAGTTGTTGTTGTTGTTGTCATCCATAATTAATAATCGAAATTCGAATAGCTCATATATATATAAATTGAATAAGCAACATACACACAGAAGTAAAATATACAGATTTCATTTCTAGATTAAAATTAAAAAAAAAGAAAGAAAAATATGAACGCAGGTAAAATTAATTGAATGATAAACGATATGATACACATGGGGATCATATGATGGTGGTGGTGATGATTTCATGAAAAATTCAAACGAATGCACAAAACATTTTCGTAGGATGATTTTTTTTCCGCTGCCATTCCTTGTTTCGAATATACATACACACACACACACACACCATTTTTGTGTATGTATTCCAAGATAAATAAATATATAAGATTTCAAGATTTGAGATTCATATTTTTCTTCACAAAATGCTGTTATAATTTATGATTCATTTGATATTTCATCTTTTCATGGTGTTATATTTTTTTTGTTCTTGTTTTGTTGTTTACTTGTTGCCTCTTTGGTATGATATGATCATCATAGATGATGGGATTTATTTGATGATGATGATGACGATGACAGCATTTTTTCTCTTTAATGATTGATCGAATGAAATTTGATTCTATAATTAATTTATTTCAATATATAAATGATCGATACTCATTCAAGATTCAAGAAAATTTATAAGCCTATAGGCCGCGAATTTGAATTCTTTTTTTTTCGCGGCCATTTCGATCTGGTCGGTTCGGTTAGGTGGAAATCGTTGTTTTTATAATGTAAACATGTTTTGTTTTTTATATTGGAAAAAATTTGTTTTTCTTATAATTTTTTGAATTTATTCTGTTTATTAATTATCATCATCATCATCATAATCATCAAAAAATGAGTTTTGACACAACAAATATTCATCGTTTAGAAGGTACCAAATCTAATGAACCTGGAGGTCTATATATCCCGAATAAAAAATCGTTGAAAAATCCTGGAGCCGAAAATTTAACATATCAAAAACCACAAACATCATTACTCGGTTTAGATACATTAGCGGCGAAAAAACGTGAAGAACGTGAACGATCACGTGAAAGAGATGATGATAAACATAGTGAAAAATTTCGCCATTCAGCCTCACATGATCGTTATTATCGTTCGAAACGAATCGAAACACCAACCGTATCGGATGGTGTGTCTGATGAATATCGAGAACGTAAAAAAGCTCGAGATGAACGACATCGAGATAAATATGAGAATGAATTTACAAGTAAACATTTCAAACGTCCACAACAACAACCGAATATTCCGTCATCAAAATCATGGAAATCATTTGACCATTCATCACCACGACGTTTAACAACACCATCTCGATCTGCCTGGGATGAAGATGATGACAGTGGTTATAATGGTAGTAGTTCCCGACAGGATTGGGAACGACCATCATCATCAAGACGACATTCATCATCAACATCAAGAGTTCCATCTACACCACGATTTACACCATCACATTGGACTGATCGACGAGATCCATCGCGAAGTATACGTGGTGGTGGTGATAATGAATCGATGGAAAAATCTTGGGAAGAAGATGAAGAAGAAATTCGACGTTTAGATCGTGTCTGGTATGATGATGAATGTGATCAAAATCCATTCGGGGATATGCCCGATGAATATACAAAAGAGAAAGAAGAATCCTTGAAAAAATCTAAAGTCGTGCAACGAGTTTCGGCACAACAACGGCAGATTAATAAAGATAATGAAAAATGGGAAACAAATCGTTTATTATTATCTGGTGTTGTAACAAAAATCAACGATAATAATAATGATGATGAAAATATTGAAGGTCGTGTTCATCTTATGGTACATAATATTGTTCCACCATTTTTAGATGGTCGAATTGTTTTTACTAAACAACCGGAACCAGTTGTACCGGTTAAAGATCCAACATCGGATTTTGCTATTCTTGCACGAAAAGGTATGTACAATCAATTGGACAAATAATTTGATAATCGTTTTTTATTTGCTTTGTGATGAATTAGGTTCGGCATTGGTTCGTTATCATCGTGAAATGAAGGAAAGAAAAAAAGCACAGAAAAAAGAATGGGAATTATCCGGTACACGTCTTGGTGATATAATGGGTGTTGAAAAACCGAAAGATGAAATGGATGATAATGCAAAATGTGGTGGTGATTATAAAACCGAACATCGATTTAAAGATCATATCGACGATGAAGATCGGATGGATCGCACGAAAATTATGAAACAACGACAATTTTTACCAGCATTCGCTGTCCGTAATGAATTATTACAGGTGATACGTGATAATAATATTGTTATTATTGTTGGCGAAACTGGTTCCGGTAAAACTACACAATTAACACAATATTTACATGAAGAAGGATATACCAAATATGGTGTGATTGGTTGTACACAACCAAGACGTGTAGCAGCTATGTCGGTTGCAAAACGTGTTGCTGATGAAGTGGGAGTAAAATTGGGTGAAGAAGTTGGCTATGCTATACGATTTGAAGATTGTACATCGAATAAAACAATTATTAAATATATGACCGATGGTATACTATTGAGAGAATCATTATCCGAACCAGATCTGGATAATTATGCTGCCGTTATTATGGATGAAGCTCATGAAAGAAGTTTAGATACGGATGTATTGTTTGGCATTCTACGACAAGTAGCCGCACGTCGTAATGATATTAAATTGATCATTACTTCGGCCACTATGGATGCAACAAAATTTGCCATGTTTTTTGGTAATGTTCCAGTATTCACTATTCCGGGTCGTACCTATCCAGTAGAATTATATTTCTCTAAAAGTCCTGTTGAAGATTATGTTGATGCAGCCGTTAAACAAACGATTCAAATTCATCTTGGTGGTCTTGAAGGTGATATTCTTGTATTTATGCCCGGACAAGAAGATATTGAAGTTACGTGTGAAGTAATAAAAGAACGTTTAAAAACATTATCAGAAACATCGACGACTGAAATACCGGAATTAGCAATTCTACCGATTTATTCACAATTACCTTCAGATTTACAGGCGAAAATTTTTCGTAAAGCCGATCAAGGTATACGTAAAGTTGTTGTAGCAACAAATATTGCCGAAACATCATTAACCGTTGATGGTATTATGTTTGTTGTCGATAGTGGTTATTGTAAATTAAAAGTATATAATCCAAGAATCGGTATGGATGCATTACAAATATATCCCGTATCACAAGCGAATGCCAATCAACGTAGTGGTCGTGCTGGTCGTACTGGACCTGGGTGTTGTTATCGTTTATATACTGAACGACAATATAAACATGAAATGCTTACAAATACTGTACCGGAAATTCAACGAACAAATCTAGCCAATGTTGTTCTATTACTGAAATCATTAGGTGTACAAGATTTGTTACAATTTCATTTTATGGATCCACCACCGCAGGATAATATGATGAATTCAATGTATCAGCTATGGATACTTGGTGCATTGGATAATGTTGGACAATTAACACCACTTGGAAGAAATATGGTTGAATTTCCTTTGGATCCGGCAATGTCAAAAATGTTATTAGTTTCTACCGAAATGCACTGTTCAGCTGAAGTATTGATTATTGTATCAATGTTATCGGTTCCATCGATTTTTTATCGCCCAAAAGGTCGTGAAGAAGAAAGTGATTTAGTTAGAGAAAAATTTCAAGTACCTGAATCTGATCATTTAACTCTATTGAATTCCTATCTACAATGGCGTATGCATAAATATTCGAGCCATTGGTGTCAACAACATTTTATCCATCCGAAAGCGATGCGTAAAGTTCGTGAAGTACGACAACAATTAAAAGAGATAATGGAATCACATAAATTGCCAATCATTTCCTGTGGAAATGAATGGGATTGTATACGAAAATGTATTTGTTCCGCTTATTTTCATCAGGCTGCTCGTCTAAAAGGTATTGGTGAATATGTAAATATGCGTACAGGTATGCCATGTCATCTACATCCAACATCAGCATTATATGGTATGGGTTTTACACCCGATTATGTTATCTATCATGAATTGATTATGACAACAAAAGAATATATGCAATGTGTAACAGCTGTTGAAGGACAGTGGCTTGCCGAATTAGGACCAATGTTTTATTCGGTAAAAGAATCCTCGAAATCACGTTTGGAACGTAAACAACAGCAACGTGATCATGAAAAAGAAATGGAACAAGAGATGGCCATAGCTGAAGAAATGTTACGGCGTAATAAAGAAGAAATGGATAGCCGTTCTTATCTGTCATTGTCACGATCAACAATGATTGTAACACCGGGTTTAAAACGACCAATGACACCAGCTGCCACCGATTCTGGTACTGTTTGTAATCAAACACCAAAACGTTCGACACCAGGTCAAAGATTTGGTTTATAAAAAAAAAATTTATTGATTTTTTTTTGTAATAGAGCATCTTAAAATTCAATTTTTGAAGAATGTAAATTAAAATAAATTATTCAAATGTTTATGTGTGTGTTTGTGCAATTGTATTATATTCGTTTATCAAAAATAAAATTCATTTTTTTCAATTTCAAAAAAAATGTATGTTATCAAAGTTGGTTAATAAAATGTTTCAAAAAAATTTTCTATATTGACGTGATGTACATATGCCAAACATAAGACATATGATGAGTAGAATTAATCCCGATGCCAATAGATAGATGGATAATGATGGCTGACATTTTTCTAATTCATAAGAAGTGTCAATAGAAAATTAAATCAAAATTGATTGATTATACATTCACATTGATGATCATCATAAATTAAAAAAAACTTACCTAATTCAAATGGTTTTTCTAAATTATAAGCACCACATATATGTTGTATTTGTTGTTGTTGTTGTTGTTGATCATTCCAACCAAGTGGATAAATAATGCAGCCAGTAATTATCACCAAGACTATATAATAAAATATATTGAATTTTCATTACATTAAAAAAATGACGAAAAAAAATTGAATATAGTTACTCACTAATTAAAAGCTGTACAATAACCAATAGACAGGTATTTGATGATGTTAATGCATTTGGCATACAACAAGCAAATAATAGGATTAATGCAACCAGAATGGAGAATAAAACACCCAGGCCAACTAATAGTGTGGTTAGCTTTTTTTTAAAAAAAAATGACAAAAAATGAATAACAAAATTCATGACGATTTTCACTTCATCAATAACACACACATACCTTCCATGAAAGTGATGGAATATCATCGAAATGTTCATAACGAATACATTTAAACATAATATTAACATTGCCATCATTATTGATTACTGGAAAATTACAACGACGAAATGGACTAAATGTAATAGTTGTGATCTGACTACCATTATCATCATCATAGAATCCTTGTATCCAATATGGTAACCAAAATCCAGCTGCAATCAATAATGATGCAATCAATGATAATGCTGTCCACCATACAAATGAACATAATAAATGTGTTGTTCGATGATAATGATGATCGGATTCAATATCATCCGGATGTTTATATGATGATGATTCAATAATTTTCTGTTCATTCGTATCATCTTGGATCAACATTTTATATTGTTTTTGTAATTGTTTTTCCGTTCGAATTATATCAATATCAAAATCAACAACAACAACACTAACATGCTGACATTGACTGGTGATTGTACTGTCCTACACCCTTGTGTGTTGTGTACATTTTTGAAAAAATGGTATCGTCTTAGTTATAATAATACTCGCGCGCGCAAGAAGCAAATAGGTTGCAAGACAATGGTCACATATTTTCATACAAATACCACACGCACACAGACATAAGAACTCACGAACAATAAGAACAGAACAATTATCATTCAAAATGAATTTACTGAATCCACCATTGGATGGTTGGCCATGCCGAAATAGAATAAACGGCGGTAGAAAAAGACGCGAAAAAAATCCAATTTAAAAATATGGAGCGTTTGATATGGGAATGGTTTTTGTGTAACAAGTGTTCCATAACCATTTCCGTCATCATAATTATTATCATTACAATATGCAGCCGAACTTCAAATTGTTTACTGTTGTTTTTGTCATTCATTAAACAAACAAATAATCAAATATTGAACGAAAAAAAATCCGAATCGAATGATCATGTCATTCATTAAAACACAAGTCATACATATCAAAAAAAAATTATAGCCAGTCATGTATGCTTGAAGAAAAAATTTCGTGAGCAAATAAAGTGTGAGATGGAAAACAAAACAAAACAAAAAACATATATCATTATTTTAGCAACAAAATAAGACACACATTGTTCATTCAAATGTTTTTTAATCATCGTTTTTTTACATTAATATTTTCGACAAAATAATCGATAGTTTTGATTGAATCAATAAGATTCAATAAAAATTTTATCATCACCCATGAATGTATGTCATTTATGTTTTTTTTCATTTTATTTATTTATTTGCCCTTGATTAACCTTGTGAAAAAAAAACGAAATTTGAATATCCAAACAGCCGTCTGGCATAGATCATCAAAGTCAATAATTTAAAAATAATGAAAATTTTATTCTATTCAATGGAAGGCATTGGCCATGTTCAAGCTTGTCTTGGTCTGGCCAATGGTCTACGTAAACGTGATCATCAAATTACATTTATGATTGGTTCAGAATATTGTGGAAATTTTCGTAAACATGGCCACGAAGAATTAATACTTATGGATGATGGTGAAGATCCAAAAATGTTTGAAAAATCTTCAACAAATAAAATCGATCGACAATCGATGATAGATCATGAACAACATCCAGTGCTACCGTTGATTGTTTCACGTCTTCAAAAATCGATTGTTCTGCAACATAAAACACCGAAAGAAAAACTTGAACTTCGTGATAATGCAATGTTCAAAAGAATTTATGAAAAAATGAAACGTCTACATGAAAAAATCGATCGATTGATTGATGAACATGGACCAGATTTGATTATTATCGATCATTTTATCATACCACCATGTATAGCTTTTCGTCGAAATACACCGTGGATATTTTTATTTAGTGGCTGTCCGGATTTTCTCTATAATTCCAAAGAATTACCACCATTAATGTCGGGTAATTTTTTTGAATACGATTTGAATAACTGTTGTTATTTTTTTTTTTTTTTGCTAATCAAGGTCTACCAAGTAATGATCGAAGTGAATGGTCAGAATATCGTAAATTATTTCATGAAAAATATCAAAAACCATTACAAGATTTACAGAATCAATTGAATCAGGATTTCGGTTATGATCCATATCCCGAGTCGATATTTTTCAATAAATCACCATATCTAAATCTGTATGGTTATCCTAAAGAATTGGATTTCAATGATCGTGTAGAAAGACCGGCAAATTTTCTTCAATTAGATTCATTTTTTGATTATAATCCCGATGATTATCATCCATATGAATTTCCAGAAGAATTTCGTCATAAAATTCAAAAAAATGATCGATTAATTTATATTTCATTGGGTTCATGTGGACCAATCGATATTGAATTGATGAAAAAAATTATCGAATCATTACGTTATACCCCATATAAATATATTATATCAAAAGGTCCATTACATGATCAATATGAATTAGCCGATAATATGTGGGGACGACAATGGTTAGATCAACGACGTATATTACCTATGGTTGATATAGTCATATTTCATGGTGGTAATAATACATTAGCCGAATGTGTAATGCATGGTAAACCGATGATTGTAATGCCATTGTTTTTCGATCAATATAGTAATGCACAACGTATACATGAAAAACAATTTGGTATACGAATGGATCCATATCGATTTGAAGCCAAAGAATTGATTGAAAATGTTGAAAAATTATTATTCAATGCTGATGGTGAAATCATACGACAAAATCTTCAACATGCATCCAAACGTATACGACAATCAAATAGTGTTCGATTAGCATGTATTCAATTAGAAAGATTGGTTTCTTTGAACATGTACGGAAATGAAAACAACAGTTTGAAATATGATGATGATGATGTTCAATAATATTATCATCATCATCACCATTAAGCATCATTTCACAGACATATGTTTTTCATTCATTCATCAATATTGATTTCTGATTGATAAAATCTTTTCATTTTATTTGGATTTTTTTTTTTTTACTCACACGGTAACATCGATCGAGTGGGGAAAGGAAAATATTACAAAACAAACAAATTGAAAAAAAATGCCAAGGAAGTGGGAAGTTGAAATAAAATAAAAGTATCAAATTTCGGAAGTGAAAAAAAATCACTATTTAAAAATAAACCGAAGTCAACAACGACGGTGATGATTGATATTACATTGACATACATTTAGTTTTTTTTAAGTTTTGCTAAATAAACTATGATTTCGAATATATCCAAAAGAAAATAACACTAAAAAAAAATTTGAAAGAAATAAGTATGAAATGCTCATCATCAAGGATGCTAAAAAGAAAATAAGAAAAAGGAAAAAAATTTTTTTTTTTTGTACAAAATTAAAAATCAGACTAAATGATGATGCGGAAAACAAAATGATAAAACAAAGATCAAAATTGTGAGAAATTACGGACACTGTGGGGTTCTCAATGATGATGATGATGATGATGATTTTTCCGCTCGCTAAAATAATTTATTTCCCATAAACAATACAATGGTATGGTTCTTGGCTTCTGTTGTTGCTGATGAGAGCGCATTTAGATCCAACTATTTTTATTTTGTTTGTTTTTGTATTTCAATTATTTTGACCAGATAGACCACCGACAATAACGATTGTAGTTTTCAATGATATTGGTCTAATGATTTTTGTTGTTGTTGTTGTTGTTGTTGTTCATTTCTTGGATGATGAGAATGTTTTCTTTATTTTTATTTATACAAACAAATGTCGACCATTTTCTACTTTGATTTTTGTTTCTTCTGGTTTTACATTCAATTCAATTCAACTGAAATCAATGAAAATCATGTTCATCATCTTCAAGTTTTTTAATCTGTTCATCAATCATTTTTCCAATTGAACGAGTTCGTTGTTTTGGCTCTTCTTTACGTTCACGTTTACGTTTACGTTTATTATAATCAATATTAACTTTAAGTTTAATATTTTCTTGTGTTAAAAATTTACGAATTTTATCCATTATTGTCGTTGGATTAATATCTTTTGAGTGACCATCTTCTGTGGAGAATTCTACATGGTCAACATCATCACCTTCATCTGGTTCAAATGGAAAATGTTTAGTAGGATCTTCATCGAATTCTGACATTGGTCCGGTAACAGTGATTTTTTTCTTCTTTTTAGGTTTATATAATTCTTTTATTGAATAATCATCATCAAGATCGAGTAAATGTTTATCATAAACACTGGGAATAGCATCTGATGAGCTAACTTCATAATCATCTTTATTATCTGTTGAATATTTTGATGATGGACGTCTTGATGATTTTGTTGCTTTTGATGATGATGATTGTGACGATAAAAATGATGGCGGTGGTGGTAATACCGATACGGAAGGATTATTCAAATCAATGTTACCACTACCACTACTGCTATACTTTGATTTTTTCTTTCCTTCAAATTCATTACTAGATGATGATGAAGCATATTTTAATGGTATTGATGATTCTAATTCTGATGATGGTGATGAAGAATATTTAGATTTCGATGATGTTGATGATGATGATAATAATGATTTATAAAGATCATCATGATGTAGAGGATATGGATTATCATAACCACCATTATAGCTATTATGATGATAATTATCATAATTACCATTATAACTCGGTTCATAATATGAACTTTTTGTACCATAATATGGATCAGAATCAGAATATGGTGCTTTATTATTATAATGATATTGTTGTTTATGGCCATAATAACCATATTTATAATCTTCATAACCTTTACCAAGATCATAATGATGAAAGTCTTCATATTTTGGTGTTTTATATTTTTTCTTTTTCGGTTTATGTTCGGTTAGCACTAGTACTTTTTTACGATGATAAATTTTTTCTACATCTTCAATAATTCTATTTATTTTTTTGAAAATTATTTTTGGTCGTGAAAAAAATTAAACAAAAAAGAAAATCAATAATGAAATTAGAAAATAAAAAACAAATTGAATTTCAATCAAAAAAAACAACCAATTATTAATACGTACGGAAATGGAAACGGAAGAAACAATGGTAGTGGTAGAAAAATTTTTGAACCACCTTCAGGCATATGAAGAAATAGATGTTCATCATCATTTTTTTTCGCTTCGACCAACATTGATGGTGATTTTTGTTGTTCAATATTCGATGGACCATTCATAGTATCCATCATAATGATGATGATAATAAATCCAATTGATTTGAATTCATAAAACATGATGATGATGATGATGATATAACAAACATAAACAATAAACAAATATATTACACAAATTTACAAAATGAAGAAAAAAATTATTTTAAATTAAAAAAATAAAATTCATCAAACAAAATATATTATTCGGACGGCTAGATGAACAAAATTTTTCCTTTTTTCATTTTATTTCAATCCTTTTTAATGTTAGAATTAAACGCACACACAAATTGAAATTGATGGTAATAATTTCGAATGAAAATGAAAATATTTAGAAAAAAAAATCAGTTTTCCTTTTTATACTATAGGAAAAGAAAATTGCAAAACAAAATTATCATCATCATCATTCAGCTCATGTTGTTCATGGGTGGTATGTGTTTTTGTCCATAAAATAACCGCCTTGCGGTTATTGCAATAATTGTTGACTCAATGTTATTCAATATATTCCGGGAATATAAAGAAAATAAAAAAAAAGAAAAATTCATCTTGTTTTTTTTGTTTGTTTCGTTTCCTTGTAGTTGTCGTCGCGGTTATCGCTTAAGTAATCATTTATTTATTTCAGAGAAAAAAAACGAGTTTTTTTTCGTGAATGAAATAAACTCGTTCAAAAGTAAAAAATATTCAAAAGATAATCAATTAATCAATTTTGACCATCGTTATATCCGATTTGTAATATTTTGATAGTTTCCTTAAAAAAAACTACTACTACTACTACAAACATCATTATCATTGGAAAGGAAATAAACCTAATAAGATATCTGGTTGTTTTTCCTTAATAAATCCATTCATTACCATTCACAAAAAAAATAATTCAAACAACATTCAAACATACATTGGTTGATCGAGAAATTGTAACTGTCATTTCTATAAATATAAATCAAGTTATATCCTCATCTATTCATTCATTTTTTTTTTCTCTCTCTCTCTTCAATACACACACAAAAACGGTAAATTTTCAACCATTTATTTCTCTCAATGAATCATCATGTTTGTTTATTATTCGTATGTCGGTATACAGAAAAAAAATCAAATGAAAAGAAACCGATAATGTTGGTGGTAATGGTAATGTTTTTTTCCTTTTCATTTTTTTCATCCAATCATCAAATATCATATGATGATAATTTACATTCAAAATTTGATTTAAAGGAAATTTTATCACCGTTATCTATTCTAAATTAATGGAATTTTTATTTTTGTTTCAATCAAATTCTGTTAATTAATTAAATAAGTAAAAAAAAACAAACAAACAAACAAAATTGTTGTCGTTGTTGTTATGGTTGTGATGGATGTTTATTTATAGCAACAAACAACAACGACAACAACAACAACAACAACAAAAATCTGATAAAATTTGATATTTCCGACTTATTTTGAAATCTAATGTGATGATGATGAAAAGATATGTTCATATCAAAATAATAAAAACGTAGTAATTGGAACTCATAATTAATGTTGTCGCAATAATAATTTGTAATAACATTGGGTTTTGTAAATATATTTTTTTCTTAATTTCATATCCGTTTTTTTTGTCTTGTTTCCTGTTACATCATCATCAGTTTAATTTGCTTCTTTTCTGTTGTTGAATGTCATCATTTTTTATGTCTTTCTCCTTCAAATTTTGATCGATTGGGATTTTTTTTTTTTTTTTTTTTGATCGAAATCCAATAAACTTTTTTCCTTTGACATTCACTTCATTCATAGATCAATCTATCGATTGATCCATTCAATTTTTTATTGTTTTGTTTTTTCATCTTTTTCTTTTGTTGACCAAAATTGAATCGAATCGATTACAATCAAATATTTGACATTTGATTTGTAATAATCGGTAGAAAAGCCAAGCAAAAAAAAAATCTATCGATTTTCAATCGTACTGATTGAGATTATTACGAAATTGATGACCACCACCTTTATCATAACACATACAAACGTAAATTTCGATCAAATTGGATTGCATCATTCAATTTCGAATACCAAATCAATCAATCAATTATCAATCAATTTCTTTTCTGACGCCTGTCTCTCTGTGTGTGTGTGTGTTTGGCCTCCTTTTCTTTTTTTCAATCGATGATGATGATGGATCTGGACAATGTCAAATGTGAATTTTTCTACTCATTTTTTCAATCAACAGAATGATCATTCATTATTCAAATATGAATGCCAATCACATGGATTTCTGTTTGTTTGATTTGGGTTGCAGGCAACAACAACAACAACAACAACGACATTCAAAAAACAATCATTCCATCATTGTCCTTAACATTCGGCAATCATTTCAACAATAACAGGAATGGATATTGGAAAAGAAAAAATTAAAATTCAATTGAAAAATTTTGATTTAAAATTTAATAATGACAATATGATGATGATGATGATGATGACAATTTAGATTCAAAATCATCAAAATAAAAGTGACAAAATTATTTTTAAATAAAAATTCCAATAAAACACAGACCTCTGATATGATTGATTAAAATATATGTCCCAGAAAATGGTCGCCATAAAAAAAATACCTAAAATAGGATCGGATGATTAACAATGAATGAACGAAAGTCGGACAAAAAAAATCAACATTCAAATTGTTCACTTTCAATGAATGATTGTTGTTTCTTTTGTGTTGTATGTTCCATACTTTTCATCATTCATCATCGTGTGAATATTTTTTTTTTTTAATTTGCTGATGACAAAATATAAAGATGATTTTGATGATGATGATAATGATTTTTGGCAAAAAAAAGAAAGCAATTCTCTCACCATCATCATCATCATCATCAACAGCAACAAAATAATTTCATTTTCAATTTTTTTTTCTTCATTTCGTTTGCATTTTTAAGATGCTAAAAATTCATTATATACGAATTTAGTGCACATTTTTTTCTTGTTATTTAGGAAGAAATAAAATTAATAGAAAAAATTCACTTTCGTTTTCGGTTTTTTTTTTTTTTTTTTTTGATTATAAATAAAATAAAATCTTTCATCGTCAAAAAAAACAAACTTTTTTGGGCGTTGTTATTGTTGTTGTGTGTGACTCTTTCTTTTTTTTGCTATTTTTTCGAATTGAATTTTTTTTTGTCTTTTTCTTTAGAATTCAAATGACAATAGTTGGCTGTTGTTGATGATGATGATGACAATCTTTGTATTTCTTTATTCTTTTTTTTTTGATTTCATGTTCGCGAGATGAGCCAATTGTCCTATTCCATCATCATCATCCGATACACAAACAAACATATAAAAGTCTCATCTTTTTTTTTTGGTTAGATTTTAGAGATTTTTTTTTCTTTTTTCTTCATTCACACTTTCAATTGTTATGTTTTGAAAATTTTTGATGGATATCTCTCTAGATTTGAAAAAAAAATTTCAACTGAATTTCTCTCTGTAGTCTATTTATTTTATTTTATTTTATTTTTTTTCAAAAAGAAAAAATAAAATAAATTCAATGTATGGACAACATGACGAATGAAAATGACGATCAATCGAAAAAAAATCATCGTGAAATAATCTTTTTCATGTCAATCATTTTTTTTCTTCACCAAATGTTTCAAATGTTCAATTCAATTCGATGATGATTATGGCGACAACAAAAACAACAATCATCATTCGATATATCAATGGATAATGTTTTTTCAATTTTTTTTTTTTTAAAAATTCCATTCGACAATATCTTATCAATTCATCTATCCAATAGTGTTCATTGTTGTGTGTTGATGTGGCTGTGATTTTTCTTTTTTTTTCTATTATTTCTGCTTGTTTGTTTGAAATTCTAGCATTTTTTTTTTAATATCACTGAACTTGAAATTTATCATCTTTTCTGTTTTGTTTTCTCTCGATCAAATTTGCCAAAAAAATATTCTACATTTAAATTTCGTAATATTTGTGTCTGTCTCTCTCGCTCTTTCTCTCTCTCTCTCTCTCTCTGTGTGTGTGTGTGTGTGTGTGTTTTATTAAAATCAATGATTAATATACAACGATAATAATCAATCAACCCTCATCATCATGAAGGTATGTTGTGATTGTGTGTGTGTTTGATTTTTTTTATTGTGATTGATTTCAAAGTGTATTTTTTTCTTGTTTTTTCCATTTTTCTATTATTCATTTTTTCAACACATCAATCGATCACCGAAAAAATTTGGTTATTTTTATCATCAATCATATTTCAATCATATTAAAGTTATATCGAATTTTTACCGTACATTTAATGTCTATAATAATGATGACAATGATATTTTTGATTCGATCAAATGAAGCATCAATGGGTGAAATGATGATGATGCAGATTGGACCTATTCGTAAATTGATGCTACTTAAACATCTAATGACAATGATTTGGAGTAAACATATGGGTAGCAGTGGTAAAAAATGTTATGGTCAAAAATATGGCAGTTATATGAAAGGTGGTGGTTATATGAAAGGCGGTGGTGGTTATATGAGTGGTGGTCGAGGAAAATACAGCGGTGGCAAAAAACGTGGGAAAAGTGGTGGTAGATATAATGGATCAAATGGATACAGTGGCGGTGGTGGACAATCTTATAGTGGATCCGGAGGCGAAAATTACATGGGCGGTGGCGGACAATCTTATAGTGGTTCTGGTGGAGACAATTATGGCGGCGGTGGGCAATTTTATAGTGGATCCGGGGGTGATAATTACATGGGTGGTGGTGGACAATCTTATAGTGGTTCTGGTGGAGACAATTATGGCGGGGGTGGACAATCTTATAGTGGATCCGGAGGCGAAAATTACATGGGCGGTGGTGGCCAATCTTATACTGCATCCGGGGGCGATAATTACATGGGTGGTGGTGGACAGTCTTATAGTGAATCTGGTGGAGACAATTATAGCGGCGGTGGCCAATCTTATAGTGAATCTGGGGGCGATAATCACATGGGTGGTGGTGGACAATCTTATGGTGAATCAGGTGGCGATAATTATGGTGGTGGTGGACAATCTTATGGGGAATCAGGTGGAGATAATTATGACAGTGGCGGAAAATCTTATGGGGAATCAGGTGGAGATAATTATGACAGTGGCGGACAATCTTATGGGGAATCAGGTGGAGACAATTATGACAATGGCGGACAATCTTATGGGGAATCAGGTGGAGACAATTATGGTGGTGGTGGATCAGGTGGCGATAATTATGATGGTGGATCTAATGATGCAGGCCCTACACGTACATTAGAAGAAACTTATGGCGCCGGAATTGATTTTACTGGTGATTCTGGCGTTGGGTATGGGGGTATTGGTGACACCATGAAAAACGTATTTCTGGGCGATGGGAAGATTGGAGGTGGTAACCAAGAATACCATGGGGGAGGCGATAATCATGGAGAATCCGGAAGTGGTGATAACTATGGTGGACCAGATATTAATTCCGGAGAAAGATATGCTGCCGGTACAGCAACAGTTGAAATAAAATATCCGGATGCTATAATGAAAAACCTAATCATTCGTGATAAAAATATACAGCCAATTACAAGAATACCAACTATCATACATCGAAATGTTGAATTACCACCGGTTTATAAAAAAGCTACAACACATCATACTACTAGTGATGAACAATTAAGACGGGTAATTGTGAGAAAAATCAATGTCAATAATATCAATCAATTGAGTGAAATCATTCGACCAAAACAATTAATAGATGCATTCGATGCTAATGAACAACAACATGTATCTAGTTCAAATCAAAGATTTGTTGTAGTGGATAAATTAGCTGGAAAAAAGATTCAGCCACTAGAAGATCAAGAGAAAAAATTTACCGATCTAAATATTGATTGGAATCAATTATCCGATGTGATACAAACGGCAACTGATGCCGTGAAGAAATCCATAAATCATCTAAACAATAATCATCATCATCTTCATCAATCATATGTATCGAAAATAATACCCATACCAATTGCAATGATAACGACAAAAAAGAAATCATCAACAATGAAGATTAATAAATAATCGATAAATGATCTAAGTCTTTTCATCATCATCATCATCATCATTCTCTTTATTATTTTATTTAATAATTATGTAAACTGTTTATTTGCTGCTCATATTGCTCATGTTTTGATACAAATGTTTATTTTTGGCCAATTTTTTGTCTTTTGAAAATTCATTTCTAGAATTTATATGATTTTGATTTTGTACTTACATTCATTCTCTATTAATTTTATAGATTCAGTCTATTTTTTTTGTGGTGGGCTGTTCTTCATCATTTTTTTTATTTTTTATTCTTTTACATGACCATTATCATTAAAAAATTTTTTCTTTCAATTTTTTTCATTTTTGTTGAATTTTTTTTCCCAAAATTAATAACATAGATAGTTAATTTTGCCATTGCGTCATGTTGTTTTTTTATATTTATGAACAGATCTATTATCTGGGAAAAAAAATTCTTGGCTGTAATTGTAAATGTTGAATAAATAGTGTTGTTTCATAATTTCAGTGATATGAATGGAAAAGAAGAATCAAAATAAGGATTTTTGTTTCACTGTAACAACAATAAATAAAACAACAGCGATAATAATGAGTAAATAACATGGATGGATTATACTTTTTTTATTCTTCATAATTCGTGATTTTTTTGCCAATCTTTGTCATTATTATTGCTGAAAATAAAACAATCTATTCCATCTTCACGGTGTTGTGCAGTGCAAAAATGAAAAACAAAACAAAAAAATCCATTTTTTCACATCCATAATCTTCATCTTTACATTATGAATTTACGAAATCAGAATGGTAATAATCGTTATTATAATTATTATGGTGGTAATTATGTTGTCAAATGAAAAAAATCAATAAATTTGACATATGAAAAATGTAATTCAATATTCATTGGGAAGCGAAAAAACAACAACAATATTTTACAGCATTTGAAAGATTTGGATTAAAAATCATGGCTCAACCAACAGGAAACAATCATTTGAATGAATAGAATCAGATTGATAACATCGAAAAAAATAAAACAAATTAATGAATAATGATACTAATACTGATAAAAAAATTAAAAAATTTATTCATTCATCGACGACGGTTAGAAAATGATGATAAAATTATTATCAATCCATATAAAATGATACCCGAATCATTACGGGTATCTAGTGTTGGTACACATTTATATCGATATGGTATCCATATTTATCGGCCACCATGTATTGGGAATGATTATCAACGTAATTGGTATTATAATCCATTATTCATATTGTTTATGGAATTCGTCTATCTATTCAGAAGTATGACGGCATTCTTCATATCAGCCGAACCGAGTGAAAATCGTAAATATTTCATCTATTTGGGTGATTATATGTATTGTATTGGTGCAAAAACACATATAAATTTGGCTGCAATTTGTTATATGTCAATTGGAATATGTCTATTATTATTAGCCACTTATCATGATTATCGTGGTATTCGGCCAACATTTCTATATTCATTGGATTTTTTGGCTGGCCGTATGACACCATCAACTGCATGTTTGAATGATAATCGTTATATTGAAAAATTGCTTATCAAAACGCGATGGATTGTTAATTATTGTGAATTTAATACACGTGCTGTTGGTATTGTATCTTTCATATTGAGCGCATGGCCATTATGGTTTGAATGTACGACCATTGAATTCCTGACATCCGGTTTACCATGGTCAATAATATTTGCCATTTCATCATATTTTACATTCAGCGCTTATTTCTGGAATATGGCCTATTTCTATATACTTTGCAATTTTCTTTGCTATCGATTACGTGAAATTAATGATTTAGTAGTACGTTTTTCACACTTGAAATTAAAACAAAGTGGTATTCGAAAATTAGTGAATAAAGCAAATTTGAGAATAATACGGGCTCATTTGAATCGTATCGGTAAAGATATTCAACATTTTAATAATACTTATTTTAAAGATGTCATCTTCATCATTGTCATATTAATGGGTACATTCACTAATGTTGTACTTTATACCGCTTTATTCGTACCTGTTGATTTGACCATACGTTTTTCGTTATTCTATGCGGTTGTATTAGCAACATCGGCTATTTGTTTTTTATTGAATACAGCAACATTAGTTTATAATGAAGCGGCTATTTCTCGTAAAGTGTTGAATAAACTTTATGTTTCACAGATTCAATTTCATAATCCATATACATTATATAATGTATGTATTCGTGAGAAAAAAGCTTTAAAATTATTTTTCATTTATTTTTTTCTTCAAATCAATAGATTCTACTAACGATCGAAAGTCAATCTAAAAAACGTATGGGATTCTATTTTCTAAGCGTTTTCATTATCAATTCTTCAAAATTTTTTGAGGTAATCATTCTAGTCTTTATTGCTGCGTCTTTTTTTTATTATCATTTTTCTGGTCTATTGAATTTAGATTGTAGTAATAATAATGATGTTTTTCCTGAAAATTATACAATTATCATTCGCAAAACAATTGGTCTAATTTAAAAAATTTGAATATATTCTTTCTTGGGATTTAATTCACGTATACGTTCGAAAAACAAAATGAAACATTATTGCTTATGAACAGTTGATAAATATGTGAACGATATCATTTCAAAAAGGCTGTAATCATTCTATTCATCATTCTCCATTTTTCAGTGGTGGATAAAAATCAAAATTCAAAGAGTTATTATTTATTTTTTTATAAAAACACATTTAATAACGTCATGGTCTATATGGCAAACAAATAAAATTTCAAAATTTTTAATAATTATTGTAAACTATAAAAATATTCCATTAAAAAAAATTGTTATTCATGTACAGCGTAAATGCACAAAAGAGCAGAGCGCTTTCATCAGATAAAATTAATCATTTAAGCCAGGGCTTCTTAAACTTTTTTCATTCGCGACCCCATTTCATGATTGCTCTACACAAATACACGTCAAAAATTTTGCTACGCGACCCCATTCGGGGTCGCGACCCATAGTTTAAGAAGCCCTGATTTAAGCTATAGATTATCATCATTTCATATTGAAAATCTTAATTTTTTTCTTTTCAACAAAATTTAACAAAACAAGTCATTGTTGGTTCATATTTTATGTAGTATTTTGACATTTTTCAAAAAATAAAATGGATAAACTGGATAGAAAATTAATAAATTCTTATTCGTGATTTGTGGTTATAAAATCACGGCAATAAAAATGTCAATATTTATGGTTTGAGGTAAATTCAATTGTTAAAAATTATGTATTATTGTTGATATATGTTGCGAAAAAAAAAATAATGACATGACATTAATTGATTAATTCAACCAGGATTTTATATTCCACATATATTGATTGTGAGCAATGTATTAAAAACAACCAGACTCTTTTGTGAATTTTATGTGTATAAATATATATTATTTATTTATTTCTCGAATTGTGTCGCAATCTATCTCTTTATGACGCTTGTATCAAATTAATCTCAACAGTAATTATGTCGTAATTGTTGCTGTTGTTATCGATTTTGTAAATGAATACTTTTTATTTCTCGCTCGTTAATGCGAAATCTAGAAAAAAATGTGATTATTATCATCATTACAATGGTAATTATTCGTTTTTAAGATAAACAAATGAAGAAAATCGTTTATTTTTCTAAGAAAATTCAAAATCAATGCTAAATGTGATTCCATAATTCATGGAAAAAGAGTCTTTTACAGAACTTGAAAGATTTGGATTAGATTTCATGCCTCAACCAACATGGAACAATCGGTCGCATAAATGTAATCAGATTGACAACATCAAATAAACAAATGAATGAATAATGATATTGATAATAATAAAAAAATGCAAAAATTTATTCATTCATCGACGACGGTTAGAAAATGATGATAAAATTATTATCAATCCATATAAAGCGATACCCGAATCATTACGGGTATCGAATGTTGGTGCACATTTTTATCGATATGGTATCCATATTTATCGGCCATCATGTATTGGGAATGATTATCGCCGTAATTGGTATTATAATCCATTATTCATATTGTTTATGGAATTCGTCTATCTATTCCGAAGTATAACGGCATTCTTCATATCAGCCGAACCGAGTGAAAATCGTAAATATTTCATCTATTTGGGTGATTATATGTATTGTATGGGTGCAAAAACACATATAAATTTGGCTGCAATTTGTTATATGTCAATTGGAATATGTCTATTATTATTAGCCACTTATCATGATTATCGTGGTATTCGGCCAACATTTCTATATTCATTGGATTTTTTGGCTGGCCGTATGACACCATCAACTGCATGTTTGAATGATAATCGTTATATTGAAAAATTGCTTATCAAAACGCGATGGATTGTTAATTATTGTGAATTTAATACACGTGCTGTTGGTATTGTATCTTTCATATTGAGCGCATGGCCATTATGGTTTGAATGTACGACCATTGAATTCCTGACATCCGGTTTACCATGGTCAATAATATTTGCCATTTCATCATATTTTACATTCAGCGCTTATTTCTGGAATATGGCCTATTTCTATATACTTTGCAATTTTCTTTGCTATCGATTACGTGAAATTAATGATTTAGTAGTACGTTTTTCACACTTGAAATTAAAACAAAGTGGTATTCGAAAATTAGTGAATAAAGCAAATTTGAGAATAATACGGGCTCATTTTAATCGTATCGGTAAAGATATTCAACATTTTAATAATACTTATTTTAAAGATGTCATCTTCATCATTGTCACATTATTGAGTGCATTCAGTAATGTTGTGCTTTATACCGCTGTATTCGTACCTATTGATTTGACCATACGTCTCTCATTATTCTATGCGGTTGTATTAGCAACATCGGCTATTTGTTTTTTATTGAATACAGCAACATTAGTTTATAATGAAGCGGCTATTTCTCGTAAAGTGTTGAATAAACTTTATGTTTCACAGATTCAATTTCATAATCCATATACATTATATAATGTATGTATTCGTGAGAAAAAAGCTTTAAAATTATTTTTCATTTATTTTTTTCTTCAAATCAATAGATTCTACTAACGATCGAAAGTCAATCTAAAAAACGTATGGGTTTCTATTTTTTTTGCATGTTCATCATAAATTCTTCAAGATTTTTTGAGGTAATCATTCTAGCCATATTTTTGCATCTTTTTTCTATTATCATTTTTCTTGTCTGTTAAATTTAGATTATCGTAATAATGATGATGTTTTTCTTGAAAATTATTCAATTATCATTCGATAAAACAATTGGTCTAATTTAAAAAATTTGAATATATTCTTTCTTGGGATTTAATTCACGTATACATTCGAAATAAAAAAGTAGATGAGAAAAACGAAATGAATCATTATTGCTTATGAACAGTTGATAAATATGTGAGCGTCATCACTTCAAAATGACTGTAATCATTCTATTCATCTTTCTCCACTTTTTAATGGTGGATAAAAATCAAAATTCAAAGATTTTATCATTATCCAAATACAATTAATATTAATATTATAATATAATTTCTTTTTGTTTATTCTTAAAAAATTAATAAAAAGAATTTTTATTCATGATTTGTGGCCATAAAATAACGTCAATAGATGAGCAATGAATGTCATCAATATTTATGGTTTGAGGTAAATGTAATTGTTAAAGATTAAATATTATTGTTGGCATATGAAACAACAATGACATTAATTGATTAATTTTACAAAGATTTTATATTCCACATATATTGATTGTGAGCAAGGTATTAAAAACAACCAGTCCCTTGTGTGAATTTTACGTGAATTTATCGCCACAGTATATTATTTATTTCTCTAATTGTGTTGCCAGATCAATTTATTCTTAACAGTAATTATGTCGTAAAATTGTTGCTGTTGTTATCGATTCTGAAACTGAATTCTTTTTATTTCTCACTCCTTAATGTGAAAACTAGAAAAAAATGTGTTTATTGTCATTATTACAATGTTAATTATTAGTTTCCGGATAAATAGATAAAGAAAATTGTTCACTTTTCGGAAAAATTGAAAATAAATGCTAAATGTAATCATATAATTCATGGGAAAAAGTTGAAAGATTTGGATTAAAATTCATGCCTCAACCAACATGGAACAATCAGTCGCATAAATGTAATCAGATTGACAACATCAAATAAACAAGTGAATGAATAATAATAATAATAATATAATTAATAATAATGTTTAAAATGACAAAAAAATTAAAAAATTTATTCATTCATCGACGACGGTTAGAAAATGATGATAAAGTTATTATCAATCCATATAAAGCGATACCCGAATCATTACGGGTATCTATTGTTGGTACACATTTATATCGATATGGTATCCATATTTATCGGCCACCATGTATTGGGAATGATTATCACCGTAATTGGTATTATAATCCATTATTCATATTGTTTATGGAATTCGTCTATCTATTCCGAAGTATAACGGCATTCTTCATATCAGCCGAACCGAATGAAAATCGTAAATATTTCATCTATTTGGGTGATTATATGTATTGTATTGGCGCAAAAACACATATAAATTTGGCTGCCATTTGTGATGTGTCAATTGGAATAAGTCTATTATTATTAACCATTTATAATCATCATCGTGGCATTCGGCCAACATTTCTATATTCATTGGATTTTTTAGCTGGCCGAATGACACCATCAGCTGCATGTTTGAATGATAATCGTTATATTGAAAATTTGCTTACCAAAACACGTTGGATTGTTAATTATTGTGAATTTAATACACGTGCTGTTGGTATTGTATCTTTCATATTGAGTGCATGGCCATTATGGTTTAAATGTACGACCATTGAATTCCTGACATATGGTTTACCATGGTCAATAATATTTGCTTTTGCATCATATTTTACATTCAGCGCTTATTTCTGGAATATGGCCTATTTCTATATACTTTGCAATTTTCTTTGCTATCGATTACGTGAAATTAATGATTTAGTAGTACGTCTTTCACAATTGCAATTGAAACAACGTTGTATACGGAAATTAATGAATAAATCAAACTTAAGACTATTACGTACTCATTTGAATCGTATCGGTAAAGATATTCAACATTTTAATAACAATTATTATAAAAATGTCATCTTAATCATTGTCACATTATTGGGTACATTTTTAAATGTTGTACTTTATACCGCTTTATTCGTACCTGTTGATTTGACCATACGTTTTTCATTATTCTATGCGGTTTTATTAACAACGTCGGCTATCTATTTCTTATTGAATACAGCATCATTAGTTTATAATGAAGCGGGCGTTTCTCGTAAAGTGTTGAATAAATTTTATATCTCACAAATTCAAAATCATAATCCATGTACATTATATAATGTTTGTATTTACGTGAAAAAAGATTCCGTTTTTTGATTTTTCTAATTATTTTCATTGAATTTTTTTTCATTTTTAGATTCTACTAACTATTGAAAGTCAATCCCATAAACGTATGGGTTTCTATTTTCTTTGCATGTTCATCATAAATTCTTCAAGATTTTTTGAGGTAATCATTCATTGTTTCATTCAACATTTCCAAAACAATTTCCAGTGCTAATTCTTTATTTATCATTAATATTGTCCAACAAATTTAGATTGCCGCATTTATAATGATGTTTTTTCTGAAAATTGTACAATTATCATTTACAAAACAATTGATCTAATTTGATTGATTAAAAAAGGCAAAATATTTTCTACAACAAATCTTAAGAACCAAATAAAGAATTCTGTTTCTCAGAGAATAAATTATCATTAACATTTTCAATTCCTATTTTATCCACAAATAATAAAAAAATAAAAATTTAATTATCGTTCAAATGTAGTTACAAAAACAATCAAAATATTCTGAATTTCATTGTTTTTCAGCACCATATTGATTGTCATTTTTTTTTTTTTTTTTTGTTTGTTCACAACAAAAACAGATCATTATCATTATTTCGGAAATGGTGTTTTCGTAGCATTAATCTTTGATTTTGGTTTTTTATAATGAATAAAATTAAAAATTTTTCTTAAAAAAAAATAATAAAAAAAGTCATATATGGCCATAAGATGACGTCAATGAGCAAGAGATGAACAATCGTCAATTTTTATCGATTGTGTAAAATGTCTATTTCGTAGTAGTTGTTGTTGTTGTTGATTCTGAAATTGAATTCTTTTTATTTCTTGTTCGTTAATAATGTATGAGACGAAAATTGGTAACAATTTTTTTCGGACCATAAAAAACAGAAACACAAACACACACACACAAATTGAATTCTAATTTACGATAATTTTCTCTCGATAGTATAGAATCTATACTATAGATTGTCTAGATTTTAATTTGAATTTATTATCATTCTGAAGAAATGGCAATAAACACAGATGGCAATTATTAGAATATATAAAAAATGGATAATTCCCTCGATTTGTGACTTACATCAACATATATAGTTGAAATAACCTCATGTCAGAATCATTAGAACTGGGGAGAATTCCCACCACGAATGGATTATTAGTTGAATCACAAAATTATAATAATAAATGGATGAATAATGATTTATAATCACGCATTATTGGGAAATCTTTCTGACAACCATTTTTTTTGCGGATCGTTTTGAATTTTTTTCATGTTTTTTTCAGAAAAATAATAATAAGATTTATTAATTTACGAAAAAAAATTGGCTTTTTCAGAAAGAAATTAACGAATATTCATTGTTCTGACAACAACGACGTTAATTTCAAGTCAAAATTGATAATGAATTTGATATGAAAAGAAACATAAATTGGATGATCTTACAATGAAACAATTTCGTGATGTTTGATAATAAATCTTGTTTGATCATCATACCTTTTAATACTTATATTTTGTTTGCATTTAAAAAAGAAAACAAACAAAAATTTTATTCATTATCGTTGATTGTTTGTCTTGTTGATTTTTTCTTTATGTCATATCTATTTCATAGCAATGGTTATTGATAATTAGTTTTTTTTAATTCTTATGACGATTAATAAATTTGAATATATAAATCATGGAGATAATATACATAATTTGCATTCACAAAGATCATGATCAAGTTCTACATGTGAGCAACAAATTTAGTTGTTTGAAAATTTTCAAAAATCATAATCGAAAAAAGATGGATAAAAGAATGATGATGATGAGAACCGATACAATGATGTCTCGTAATGCAATAATCAAACAACAATCGGTAATTGATCAAAGTATTGACAATAAAAACAAACGATCCCATCGTCATCGGTTAATTCGTGAAATAAGTCTATTGAATGGTGATTTTGAACAAAAATTTAATCCTTTCAAATTGATTGATCCATCATATGCTGTACGTAGTGTTGGCACACAATTCTATCGTTATGGAATACATCTTTATCGACCAGATTGTTTGGATCAAAATTATCGCCGTCATTGGTTCTATAATCCGGCATTCGTATTGTCTATTGGATTTATTTATATTCTACGTAGTATTGTTGCATTATTTATTTCAACAAAATTGAATGAAAATCGTCGTTATTTCATATATCTTGGTGATTGGCCATGGTGTATGGGAGCGAAAACACATATTAATATTGCAGCCATTGTTTATACGATGATGGGTATAAGCGTTCAACTTATGTGTGTTATACATTATATACGTGGAATTCGGCCAACATTTTTACAATCATTAGATTTTCTTGGTGGCCGTTGTCCATCATCTGATGCCCGATTACATGATGCGAAGCTTGTAGCAAAATTATTGGCTAAAACACGTTTCGGTATACAATTCTGTCGATTGAATATGATTACCGTCGGTGTTGTATCATTTATTTTAAGCGCCTGGCCATTATGGTTTAAATGTTCATTGAATGAATTCATTATTTTTGGACTACCATGGTCAGTGTTTTTTGGTGTATCATCATCATTTACATATACTGCATATTCATGGAATCTTATTTATTTTTATATAATTTGTTCATATCTTCGTTATCGTATACGTGAGATTAATGAATTAGTAATGAAGTGGACAACCAATACGAGTCGATCACAATGTGGAACAAGAAAAATAACAATAATTACAATGTCTCATATCGATTTGATGCGAAGACAATTTAATCAAATTGGCAATGATATTCAACAATTTAGTTCAGAATATTTTAGTAAAGTATTATTTTTTTTAATATTATTTGTCGCTACATTTATAAATGTAGTATTATATACATCCATTTTTATGCCAATCGATTTGACCGTACGAATATCATTATTATATTCAGTTGTATTGGCTATTATTGTCATATTTTTTCTATTGAATACGGCTTCATCTGTTTATGAAGAATCATTGAAATCATTGAAAATATTGAATAACTTTAATATTTCACAAATGGGACGTTTGAATACCTATTGTGCATATGATGTAAGTAGTATTATAAGTAGGAAAAAAAAGAAAAAAAATTTAACCTCATCACACAATAATGATATTGACCATATTTCCATTTTCCGTTCTATTTTTTTTTCTATCCCATTTTCATTTTCTATTCATCAATTGATCAATGATCATATCAAGTTGATGTTTGCCATTGAAAATCAATCGAAAAAACGTATGGGCTTCTATTTCTTCAATTTTTTTATCATAACATATTTTAAATTTTTTGAGGTTTGTTGTTGTTGTTGTTGTTATTGTTGTTGATTATTTACAAACAAAAAATGAACTTTCATTTCATGTTTTTCTTTCTCTTTTTTTGATAACAACAAAATAGATTGTTGGTTTGATTATCGCTTATTTCCTGAAGGTAACACAAATGTCATCACAGAAACGTTTGGCTTAAAATGTAATTCATCGTTTTCATCCATTATTCATAAATTGAAATTTGCAATCCAGATTTTCTTTTTTATTTTTAGCTAAAAAAAATATGCAAACCATTAATAAGATTTTTCTGCTGCACCAAACATGAATATCACAGTAGGATTAGAAAAAAACCATTCAGACAAACTTACACAAAAAAAACTAATATCGATTTGAATTGATCATCGATTGATCTTGGCAGGAAGAATCAAAAAAGAATTTCATTTAGAATTAATTCTATCAACCTATGAATCACAAGAACAACAACAACAACAACAACAACAAAAAATGTTCAAGTTAAGAATGTATGAAGATTCATTCGTTGTTGTTGTTGTAGTCATACGAAGAATTTTAATTTTTTTTTTTTTGAATAATTTTTTTATTGCCTTTTCATCGATTATTTGTTTGTATCGATTGTGTTTTTAATCTATTCTCTTTATCAAAGATTTTGTGCTTATGCAATATCGTTTCCATATAATGAAGATAATGATAATAAATTAATGATCATTACCATTTCAACTTTGTTGCTATTCTTTTTTGAATCGAAATTTCAGTCGAAATTTTGAAAAATATAAAAAAAAAATATTTTGACATTCATTATTCATATTCATTCATTAGTTGTTTTTGTTCTTTGCCTGAATCATATCATTGCAAAAGTGGTATTGTTATCATTTTCATTGGATTGATCATAATCTTTGATCAAATCGATTGGTTTATTTATTAATAACAATGAATCAATTAAAATCTGTAGCCATTATGATGGCTAATGAAATGTCACCATTTAAACGTATTGATTATATTGAACAATGTGCGGATCGTATTTATCGCATTAATAATAATAATAATATTGAAAATGGACATCATGATCGCCATTGTTTAATAATAATCATTATTTGTCAATGGTTATTCATGTTACGATTATTATTAACATATCTAAGTCCAAATATACCGGAATATCGTTTCATATTCATCGATCTATCATATTTATTTAAATTGGATGAAAAATTAAATTTAATAGCTATACCGATGTGTTTTTTGGTACAATATTTCTATCAAATTTGGTATCTAAATTTTCATTTACGTTTATATTCAATTGTATGTAAAATTTTCTATGAACAAAATGGTGAATTTTTTCTTTATAAATACTTTATATTTCATTCAAAATCATATGATTGTTGTCAATTTATTCGTTATAATGTATATAGATTTTTATGCATGTTTCAATTAATCATTATTGTATTGAATTTTTTCAACATATTTTTACATTATACTTATATCCGTTTATTTATTGTGAATGAAAAAATTTATCCAAAAAATTTGATTGGTTTTTCATTGATTACTATAACCGAAATGAATTGTCTATTCACATTGTTTGTTTTGTATTGCATGGCACATATATTAATTTTTGTTACAATTGGTTTATTTTTATTTACTGTTATTGTTTTTATAAAACTTGGCCAATGTGATCATCTATTGAAAAGTATTATGCATCGATGGCGACAAATTAGTATACAACAACAACAACAACAACGACAACAGCAACAGCAACATTCTATCAATGATTATAATCATATTGAACGATTCATGATGGAACATACGGATACATTACTTGTAATCGAAACAATGGATGGACAATATTCACATATGTTAACCACATTTTTAATGGCAACAACACCATTAAATATATTTCTAATGGGATCATTGATCATTCAATATCAACAACAATCACTATTAGAAGGATTATTAACATTATCGATGGCCTTACAACAATGGATCGGTGTATTTGGTGCACATTTATTATGTGCTTATTTTTCCATTAAGATACATAAATGTTCCAAATGTTTATTATCGATGGCAGCAAATTGTACATCATTATCATCAAATCGACAACGACGATGGTGGCTGTTACGAAAACAAATACGATTATCGAATTATATTGAAAAATTTCATACAAATAATCATTATGGTTTAACATATTCAAAAATTACATTAATATCAGTCAAATCATTTGCAAAGGTTTGTATTTATATATATGATAATAATATCTAGACACACCTATTTATGATAATGATGACACTTGTGCTGTTTTATTTTCTTCTTCTTTTTTGTTGTTGTTTTTTTTTCAACATCATAGTTTCTATTCATCTATGTTAAATGTTTCTGTTTTGCATATAAATTGTTAAAAAAATCTGAAAAAATTTAGCAGATGATGATGGTGATGATGATGGCGATGAACTTGGAAACGATATTGTCATATATCTAATCTAATCTTGATTATTACATTAAAGATAATAAAATCCGAATGCGTTTACCATTATAAAATATATCATTGAGATGCCATGTTTTTTTGGTGTTTATTTTACTGATTCAGTTTCAGTTTTTTTGGGTGTTGTTTTTCCAAATAGGAAAAAAACCAACCAGTTAAATCGAATATTCAACAATGTTTATTATCAATAATGGCCAGATAATGTTTTCCAATGAATCGTGGTAGAATCAGCCATCTAAACAATAACAAACAAACAAACAACAACAACAAGTGAAAACGATATTTGGTAATATAGTTAAAAGAAAAAAAATTACTTGAAAAAAAGATGCGACAGAAAAAACTGTGAAAAATATTATCAATGAATATATGAATGAATGGAAAAAATTGAGCACAATAAAATATAAAATAATAATAATAATAACTGGCAATAATGCATCTTACTATCATTATCAAACATCATTACAATACTCGTATAGGTATAGTTTATTTGGGCGTTTTCACACATAAACACAACGAATGTATATTGTATAAAATCATCAATTGTAAAAAAGAAAAAATGAAGAATACACTTACCTAATGGGAATCAATAATGCAATGATCAATGGAAATACAAGCTGTACATATTCCCATGGTGAAAAACCGAAAAAGCATATTAAAATCAATTGAAACAATTGAATCATTGTGAATGAATGTACAATACGCTGTGGACATTTCCGTAGATAATGTGTTGGTGGATAGGAAGTCTAAATAGGAAATTTTTTTTCGTTTGTTTTGGTTTTGGGTTTTGTTTCAAGATACGAGTAAAAAAGAAATGAGAAAAAATTGAAAAATTAAAAACAAAGACGGAAATAGAAACAAAACTCAATAGAAGAGAAAACAGAACAAAAGATTTTTTCCGTTGTTCACTTTTCGTGTTCTTAGAATGGAAAAATACAGAAAAAAGAAAGAAAAGAAAAAAATTAATTTACCTGTTCAGTGAAAAACAATAGTATACGTTCATATAGTGAATTTTCACGTAATGTTGATGCGGCACAATATAGAAATAGACCACATAGAACGGCAACAGGTATGTATGATAGAATCCATGGTATAAATATGATTACAATGGCAATTAATATATGTATCACAATACCAGTGATACGTGTTTCACGGCTTTTTACAACAATCTGTCGGATATTTGATTTATCACTTGAATAAAATGATGATGACGATGATCCAACAGTAATAACATCGGCCAAACTTCTAGCATGCATTGGTGAATGTGGTAAAATACCATGCATCCATGGATAACCGATCAATGATAATCCAAGATTAATGATGGCAACAATCAACAGATCCCAATGATATGCATCACCTTTTTTTAGACGATTAGCTGGTGCTGAAACCAATGCAGCCGATACATTTTGATCGATAAAAAATAACATTGATAATGCAAAACCAAGTAATAATGATAGTGCTAATGATACTGGATTCATTGTTTGAAATTGAACAATATGCAAATTATATCCATTGGAAACTTTAAATGAATCCGGTTCAATTCGTTTGAATGCGATCGAACCAATCAAAGTGAATATGATGACCGATATGGGTAGAGAATAATCGGCTAATGTGGTACGTAAGAATTGATTCAAATAAGGCCTGTTTATTGAGAAGAGAATGGGAAAAAATGAAATATTTTATGCAAAAGATAAACTTACGTTTTGCTAAAATTATAAAGCATCAATCCTAATGCAAATGTTCCCAACATTAAGAATAGAAAAAGAATACTTTTTTCTGGTGCACAATCCATATCATCGATAGTATCGATATTAGGAATCATCGTTTGATTCATATCGATACAATAATAATGTTGCCGAAAACTAGTGATACATTCTTTAATTGAATCGATTGTAAATGCAAAAAATATAAATGTGGCAAATAATTCTTCCGTTGATCGTGTACAAAGACGCATTAATTGTGATAAATCAAATATAGAATAAATTAATAGAAATAATGAATTCCAAATGCCAACCAAAGCAAAAAGATCGAAAAAATCAATGGATAAATTACTGGCAATACTATGAACAATCGATGTATATAGACATAATGGTGCTGTAGTTGAAATAATAACTAATGGTTGACCAGCAAATAAAGCAAATATTAAACCACCGATAGCCTGGCCAAGTAATGCTTCTTTTGGGCCGATTTTTCCTTCGGTATTATGTTGATTAAGTACGCCGAATGCAATACATGGTAAGATGCAGGCAAAAAATAATGACATTGTTGATGAACAAACTTTTGTCAATGTTTGGCAACCATCTAAACCATCACGATAATCACTCCAATAATATCGTATACGACGATTAAAATTTTCACGGATACCACGACCAAATGAGCATTGAAAATGTACCGATTGTTCATCATCGATTTCTTTAAAATTTTCCTCAATCTCCATAATATCTTGATCACGAGATTTGAGTCGTTCAAGACGATCACCAATAATATCGATAAATAGTTGTTCATCATTCGTATGTAATAAATCATTACGTGTACGAGCATCGGCCATTAATGTTGCATAGGTTCGGGCAATTTCGAATGCATTTTTTGTTGATTTCTGTGGTGCCGGAACGATTATCAATATAATCAAACGTACAGCATTCAATGTTGGACCAAAATTTGTTGGCCTCAATAATCTTGTGATTAGAATTTTACGTGTCAACAACAATGATGACGACGATGATGATGATGATGTCGATGATTCAATCGTTGCAAATACACAACACCAAGTAGAATCATGTAAAACATGATTACCATCATCATCACCATAATAAACGCCTTGAATAAAATTTTTAAATTGAAAACCATTGTCTTCGTTATAGATGGCCTGACGAAATTGTTCCAATTCCAGTTCACCGAACAATGATGATGATGTGCCGACAATTTTCTACAGTGTGAAAAAAAACAACAACAACAATTGTATTTCAATAGAAATTCAGATTAAGTCAAATCAGATTATCATCATCAAAAAAAAATTTATCGTTTTATGAACAAACTAACAAACAAACAGATAAATACCTTGATCATCATTTCGATTATATTGTTAACATTGGCATCATCAATATTAAGTAAAATTAATGGATTTTTCAAAAACATTTCAACATCGCGTATAGAACGAATTTCATTCGTAAATGATTTCATCGGTACCAAATTATTTTGCATGACGGTAATCATTTCCGTACCGGAGATAAACATTGCACGTGTTGAACGACGTTGATATTGTTTGGCCATATTTATTTCAGAATGATCATATGGTATTGCCATAATGGATGAACGGGGATAATCATTAATTTGAATAGAATCATTTGTAATGGACGAAGACGAATCAGTGGTGGAATTAACAGTATTGGTGGACATTTTTTTTTTTTTGCTAAGAACAACAATAAAACAGAAATGATCCTAATTTTTTTTTTTTTTTTTTTTTTGTTAAAATTTTTATGATGGTGATGACCAAATTAAAATCCAACAGACAGAAAAAAAAGATATAAAAACTTTCTAGTAATCAAGGTACAATAAATAAAAAAAAATTTATGATTACAATCATCATTGACTCATGGATACTGAAACTATTGGATACGGAAATATCAAATACATTTTTTGATGATGAATTTTTAAAAATAAAGAAAAACATTAATTTTCAAAAAAAAATGTTGACACAAAAACCTACTAAATTAAAAATGGAAAATGATCAATCATCAAATCATCATGACATGTTCAATGTTTTTGAATTCTTTATTTCTCAATTGTTACTTTACATTCAGAATTGAAAACAATTTTATTCAGTCAAAAAATGGATTTGACAATGGTCATATGGTTGTTGGCTAAATTTGGCATAAAAGATGAAAATATTGAAGAAATATTCGATGATTATTTCAACATTTCATTACGTTATGTTCAACGTACATCATATACATTGGATGAATATCATGATCATCGTGTAAGATTTTTTCAAAGGAAACGATTCTTGCATACATTAATTACGACAATTAATTCATGGATATTAATCATTGTACTTTTATTGATAATTACCGGACAGTTATCCGATTATTTTCATTATTTTATCATCGATATGGGCATTGACCATCATTCAATTGAATCAATCATATGGACCATTATTATTGCATTGATTGTGGCTGAATATAAATGGATAAATATCTACATTCATGTTATTCGTTATCGATGTTCATTCATTCAGATTCGACAAGCTATCATAATGGCAGTGAAAAATGAATTAAAATTATCATCACGACAAAAATTGTTACATTTTTTTCGAATATTTCGTATTATTACTGGATTTTGTTATTATTCGACAACCATTAGTTTAGCAATCATTTATATAAGGCTTTATTGGTTCAATATTTCTGAATATCTTCATGGTAATCGTATGGGATTCACACGTTTATTATCCACATTAACCATGCATACAATCATGTGGAGACGATTATATTTTCTTTTCGGTGAGATATTGATACCGATGCTATATTTATTGTTTACAGTTGAATATCTAAAAATTAAAATGAAAGAATTTATTGAACAAATAAACAATGTTCAATCATCAACATCATTGATTTCAATGATGAATTTAAAAAACATACATGAACATTATGTACGAAATTTCTTGGAAATTTGTTGGCTACATAAACCATATCAAGAATATCTTCTTTTCATCGATCTAATCAGTCGTATTGGATTCATATTAGGTATGATATTCATTCATCATCGTCATCATCATCATGGTGATAAATTTCATTTCGTACAAATGGAAGAACAATATTTAACATTAAGCAATTTAATTTCGATTCTATCATTCATACAATTCATTTATACACAGATTATTATCGTACATATTGCATATTTTCCATCGAAAAATCAATTTTGTTATCGATTACTTTATCATTTGAGTGTAATACAAACATCATTATCATCAACATTTCAATCAAATGATGAAAATATCGACAATAATGATGAACATTCGAAATACCGTACAAATGTACGTATGAATCTATTCATACAAAACATCATAATTAATGATTATGGATTCTATTTGGGACGATATTTTCTAATTACTAAATATAAATTCATTGAAATGTTGGCATTTAATTTTACATTATTCACAATGCTTTATAAATATATTCGAATTTAATGATCATTACCATTGTTATCGATCATCATCAAAATCTTCATTTGAATATTCTGTTTTATTTTCTCTAGAAAAAAAAATTCTCATTTTCTTCAATTTTTAATAATATCAACAGAATTTAGAAAAAAAACCTTAATCAAACATTGTAGATAAATAAACAAAGAAGAAGAAAAAAAATTAAATTCTACAGAAAATATGATCATTATCAGATTATTCGAATTTTTTTTTCGTAAATGATGATGAAAAAGAAGAATTTAAAAATCTTGATATTAAATATTTCATCGATAATGAAGATGAAAAACAACGAAAAGTTACTCATTGTTCTCATATTTTTTATGACAAGGGGAAAAATGTATGCTAAGTTACACGCTAATCGAATAAATTTCAAGAAATTCCACAAAAAAACTACCACAAAACATAAACATAAAATCCACATTCGAATAACGAATCCTTATATCCCTTGGTAACAGTCATTCAAAATTAATGAATAATTATACAAACACACATACACACACACAATATATGCATTCCAAGATAATTGTATCAATGATTGATTAATATTTGAAATGTTTTTCTATTTTTTTTTTTTTTGCTTCCATTTGTTTGGTATGTATCACTTTATTAGTTGTTTTTCTCCCCATTCATTCACATTTTTTTCTCATTTTTTTCACATAGAATCATCATCATCATTATCATCATTGTTGTTGTTTCATATCATACCTTTTAGAATTTTATTCGGTCGTCTTACTATCCAGTAGTGGTGTACGGGCGATAATGTATGTACATATATCATATTCGTCATGGCCGGAAATTGTCGATCTTTAAATGTGCAATTGAAAGTAAGCAAAAGCAAAAAAATGAAAAACAAACGTACATTAATCAAGAATCAAGACAAAACAAGTGTCACATGATTCATAAACGTCAATAAATTAAATTAAAAGAACCACATATTTGTCTCTCATGCACACATACACAATTCTGTAAAATCTAAAAGAAAATGGAATGAAAAGAAAATGAATCATTCCTGATCATTGTAAAGTTAAGTGGATGCCACTAATTGAAATTCTGTTATTCCAACGAAAAATATTTTTGTTGAAAATATGTTACATTTTCGTGATTCATCAATGATATTGTTATCACCATCAACAATAAAAACAACGACAACAACAATGCAAAATGATCGGCAATCATTGAATTTACCATCAAATCCATATAATCTATTATTGGATCGTATGATTGATCATAATCTATTACCATATAATAATCGTGAACAATTATTTCAAACATATCAATATGATCGTAAAAAATTTATGAAAATGTTAGCCTTATTATTGTTACCGACAATATTTAATCTATTACGTTTTGGTTTAAATTCAATGGAACGTAATTATCATATCGATTTGGTTGCCCGATTTCGTTATCGGCCATTCATTTGGTATGAAGCAAAATCACAGACCCTACATCTAACGTTTGCCATTGTATTCATTTGTTTAACATCAATGTGTAAGTGTTTGAAAACATATAACCCGTTTTTGTATATGATTCGATTATTTGATTCTGTTTTTTCTATGATAGATGGTATATCATTTAAAATATTTATCGATCCATCGAATGCTAAACACGTGTTCAAAGGATTTGAGCATTTGAATCGTTGTTACGAAAATATGGTCAAACGAATGAAAGGGATGAGATTACCGCATTTATCAAATATGATACCCGTATCTCTCATGCAAATTTTTTTGGCATTATCCCATGAAACTAATCATTGGTTTGGCTTTAACACAATGAGTCCAACACCAGATTGTAGTCCCAAAGCATTCTGTTTCACCGCTCATCTTTATAATCATATATTAATCCTATATAAATTATTCATCAAATCTTTTACTATTGTATCATTATTTTTTACTTGTTTGGATACGTTTATTGGTTATTATAAATCAAAACGTCCACATTTACCATGGTTATTTCATCCACAAATGATTATTATGGATTCTGTGTTTATATTTCAAATTCATCAAATCATGGTGATTTCATCATATTGGTTACATTTTATTATCATGTCTGTATATTCATATCGATGGCGATTCAATCTGATACGGCTAAATTTTATACGTACGAAACAAATGATGTATGAACCAGGTACTTTTTTCCAGCATATATTTTCCATATATATTTTTTTCAATCACATTCTCTTTTTTTGTTGATTAATTGAATGGAGATTTTTACGTAAAACACCAATTGCAATGCATATGAAAATTGAATTAATGCGATCAATTTTTCGTATCAACGAAGAGATTATACGTCTTTCAGGAACGATGAAACCATTTCTAGTTATATTCTATACGTTTTATCTATTCTCACAGGATATGTTATTGTTTTTGTTTATCAATGCAAAAAGTAATTCATTTCTAGGTTTGGTAGTGGGTTCAGTAATTGGTTTTACTACTAGCTATGCTTTGGGACTGTTTGGTGCATTAGCCAGATTAAATTATTATTCACGAAGTATGATACCAATCATACGTCATTGCCTTTATGATGGCTATTAATTATTCATTAATAATAATTATCATAATAATCCATTATTGGCCATATCGTTTGCAAATCAAAATAATCATCATCATCATAATAATATGATTAATCGTAATATCAATGATGATTTTCAAACAAATATTTCATTACAACAATCATCGACATTGATAATGGAAAATCGTCACCGTAAAAATAATAATCGTATACATACATTATTATGGCGTTTTAAAATGGCTCATCTTGAACAGGAAATTCTTGAGAATCGTATCGGTTTCAATTGTAATGGTGAATTTGCATTGACACATTATTCCATTATTAATCTAATTTTATCATTCATTATGAATCTATTGCTTTTGTTTAATTTATTTAAATATTATTTCAATTTTCATTGAAATACACGTGATTTATTATCATCATCATCATCATCATCATCATCATCATCATCATTATTATTATTATTATTATTATTATTATTATTTTAATAATTAAATTATAATGAAAAATAATAACGAATACATAATAATAATGTCATTATTATTAAATATTAATATTAATATATTATATATGTAGAAATATAAACTAAAATTTAAGGCAAAAAATTCAAAATATTTTACAAAATCATTTTTCGTGTGTCAATTAATAAAAATTAACGATAAGAATTCTAGTCATAATTATTGATAAAAAAATTTTCGAAATATTTGTCGTAAATATAAAGTTTGTGTGTGCAAAATTTCGGGAATGTATATTCTTTATTGGACGACGTGTTCGTGTTCGATCGGGTCGTGGTTTTATCAATTCAACATCATCTTCATCCACACGATCATGTGGTTGTATACGGTGGCCACCACCACCATATTGATGATGTCTTAATCGACCGGAAGAATTATCATCATTATTATTATTTGGTTTCATCTGATTTGTATGATCAGTAAATCGTATTTCTGGCTTTGATTTATCCATATTTGGATTATAATCAATATCATTTGGACAATTACGTCCTGGATATAGCCAATATCGTTCTTTAAGTTCACGTAATTTTCCATCATTACGTAATTGGCGAATAGCACGATTGAAACGATTTTTTAACGGTGAATTTTTTGCCACAACAATAGCATATTCAAATTGAAAATTACGTCGACGATCATCGATAGCAACGAGATCACAATCACGTTGTACAATATATTCAACAAATGGTGATTCCGATATGAATGCATAACGTTCGTGTTTAACACGTTGTAATCCTTCACGTTCACCATCGACAAAAACCGATGGATGTGTATCCATATAGCTATACATTTTGGCAACAGTTGGACTATCATGAAATAATGGTAGATTAGCCCCATGTTTTTTAACACCATAACGAATTGTCGTTTGTTCAGAAAGATCTTTAAACGTACGTATATGATTGCCATAACGTTCAAGAATATCACGACGAATCAATGCCGCTAGACCATATTCCATGAATGGTAATGTAAAATCAACAAATCGGGCACGATTTGTTAATACGGTTATATCACCGATAGCAAAATCGGCTTCGCTTCGCATCACTTCACCAATCATTCCATTAACCGTACCATTTGGTGCGATCCAGCCACCATATTGACCGTCCGAAACAGTTGATAATGTATATGCGATACCCATTAATGGTGCCAATTCATTGAGTAGATCAATACAAAAGCCTTCAAATTGACCATTTGATCGTTGACTAACATAAGGCCAATTCTATTTTCCATGAAAAATAAAAAAAAAATTATAAATTTTTTTTTCAAAACTAGACACTAGATGGTGATGGTTGCAATTAAAAATGACAAAAACGCACCAATATTGTTGTACCATGAACTGTTTCAGCTTTGATCAATATCGATGAAAATGTTGATAAAATCAATGATATAGTTGCGACCAGAATGAAGATTTTTTTCATAATTAACTTATTCGTCATAAGTGAAGAAGATATTAATACTACTGATGATATTAATGGTTCCTGATCCATTTTTAGATGATTTTTTTTATTGTTTAGTAATCATGCATACAATCACAACACCGAACATTTTTAACAAGAAAAAAAACAAAACAAAAAATTCTGGTATTTTTTAGAATGACGACAACAACGATGATGGACAATCCGGAAATTTTTATGGACAACAATAACAATGGTTAAAGTTTTCTGAAAAGGTTCACACACATATACACATCACTGAACAAACAGAAAAAACATCATCATCATCAACCTTTATTGATCAACGACAATTTGTTTGTTTGATTGGTTGGTTGGTCGGTCAGTCGTTGGAATGAATTTTTTTTTTTTTTTTTTTGACGACAAAAAAGAAATTAACGATTCAACAGAGAGGTAAAAATAACATTGACATTGATGATGATGATGATGATAAACGAAAGAAGCGATTGAAGAAAAGGAATATTTGTTTCCTGTGTCGAATGGTAGAAGGAAAAAAAATGGAAACAACTTTTTACAGGTATCATCATCATCACCTGAAGAAAAAATATATTTATGGTCGCCTACTATTCTGCGCCTTTAATAATAATAATCCTCGAAATTGATGAATTCAAGAACAATTTTTTTTTTGCTTTGCTTTGCTTCGTTTTAAAAAATAATTGAGAGAAATATTTATAACCATCATCATCATCATCATCATCATCATCACCGATATATACACACACGCGTCATCCATGGTTATAGCCATGTTTTTTGTGTGTGTGTCGGCGTGTGTGTACGATTATAACCAACGATACAACCTCAACAACAATGACGACGACGACGATTCGTTTTCAAACAAACAAATTCAGCCAATTGCACCAGCAGCAGCAACAACGTTTAAATTTTGAAACTTTTTTCTGTTGTCCATCAACAGACATCCAACCATCATCATCGAAAAAAAAGAAAGACAAAAAACAACACCAGATGTTTTAAGGATGCGCGTGGGTACAATAACGTTTACTTTCTTTATAATTCATTCATTCATTCATTTTTTTGGAGGTAACAATCGATTTTTTTTAACATTTCTGGAATATAAAAACGGGTTATCATTCATTCATTCATTTCGGATGATTGCATTGATTTTTGTTTCTTATTTTTTCTTCTTTCGTCAAAAAAATGACCAAAAATATAAATCCACAAAAAAATCCAATAACAGCAAAAACAGAAAAAAATGAAGAAAAATTTTCAACGCCATTAACGAAACACACACACACACCTACGCAAATGGAAAAATTATTTTTTTTTACTTGGAAAATCATCCATAAATTATAATCATTTATTATTTTTCAGGCTAATATATATACAACAGACAATATACCAGAAAAAGGGGATAAGCGAGAATAAATCAACCGAGAGATGTTCATTTTTGAATCATGCACATTTTGCATTGGTCACCGACCTTTCCTCCCCAAACCACACACAATAATCTGATATAATGCTGAACTTTTTTTTAATTGAGAATTACTTCTTTATTCATTTATTCATTCTTTTGTGTGTGTGTGTGTGTGTGACGTGTTCGATAAGGAATTCCATTTAACTATTTGGTTAGCGAACACAACAACAAAAATGAGAGAAAAATATTGTTGAATATGCGGTTTATATCGATTTTGGTTAACCACAAAAATATCGACCCAATGAATGGGCAATTAGCATTGAATTTTTTTTTTTGAAAAACCAAAAAAGAAAATCATTTAATTTGAGTCTGTATTTTTTATTTAATAACTCATAACTCAAAAAAAAATATGAATTGATCCAATTATATGAGAATTGTTTTTTTTTATCAATGAAATTGATTTTTTAATTTTAAATTCAACTTTTTTTTATCATTCATTCAATTGAATTGATCCAATTGACAATGACGGAATTGAATGAAATGAAACAACAACAACAACAAAATTATGGATATAATATAGACAACAGGCAAACTTGAGATCGATTGGCCAGAAAATGCACCGAAAAATATAGCCATTATGTGTGTGTGTGTGTGTGTGTGTAAATGTATGGCCGGAAATTTCATAGAATTTTTTTTCTCTTCACTGTCAAGGTTTATTTTTTTCGGTCAATAAAATTTTCCATTTAATAATTTCGTTTGAATCTTTCTAATTCAAGTCAAAAATAAATGAATCGAAATTTTTTTCTTTGTTTTTTTTTTGTTTTTCATCTAACCAGATAATGAAATTGGAAACAGAATTGTAAAATCAATTCAATTCTTAGGAATGAAATGAAAAATTCTTACAAAATAAAAAATGACTGGTTGTTGACAAGTGATTGTCATAATCATTTTTTTTTGTCTTTTTTTTATTACTGGTTGGACTATTATGAAAAATGCCAATGTGAATTATTTTTTTTTTTTTATTAACACTTTTTCTTCAAACCACGATCAAATAACGACACACACACACACATACATACATACATTATATGACAAAAATAATAAATGGCTATCACTGTTGAACATAATGGGAATGAAAACCTATTTCATCGTTCGAATGTTGTCGATCAAACGACGACCACCACCACCACCACCATCAATGATTGTAATAGTAGCAATAAATTCATTGATGATCAAAAAGTGATAATGAATATTAGAAAATTATCATCAATATATGAATATATACGATATCGTATTCATCGTCGTTATCGTCGTAATCCATTTCGTTCACTAATAAAATTTATGATCCTAATGAATCTAATACCAATGAATGGATTTGAAGAGATTTGTAATAGAAAACCAATTGATCATCGACGTAGTATACGTGTTATTATTCTATACACTGTACCTGGTCTATTGAATCTAATACGATTATTCGCAAGTTTACAATCATATGATTTAAATGAAAATGATCATCGACTTGGTTGGCATAACATTTTGTTCGTACCGTTATTTATTTATGGACAAAATCGTTATCAATTTAGTTTAGCATTAGCGACATCATTTTTCTGTGAATTTTTGCTCAGTAAGTATATGTATTATTACTGTTTGATTGATTTTGAATTAATTTTTTTTTTTAATAATTCATATTTAGCCTATATATCATGGTCAATTGTATTGAATCCGATTCGACGATATAATTTATTCATACAGCTAAAACAATGGGATAAAATATTTCGACAAACATTTGGTGATAGCAGTTTTAATGAATCGAGAACAAAACAGATAAAATGGAATAAATTTAATCGATCAGGATCCATACAATGTTCATTCATTGATGATCGTGAACAATTACGTTCACTTTGTTGTTTGTTAGATTTTTTCATACGTGCAATACCGATACTTGGTATAATATTAGCAATATTCTTTCTCATCATTATTATATTTGATTTTTCACTTGGTTACTTTCATTATGAATTGCCGATGATATTCTGGTTTACGTTTATATTTTTCAATGCAATTTTATTATATCAAACATTTCGTGTCGTTTCATTCAGTATATCATGGCTAAACATTCTACTTGTATCGGCATTATTATTTCGTTTTCAATATGAACATGTAAGATCAAGAATGTTATTGCTTAAATTATCGACACCACATGAACATCGTATAAAATTATTATTTAAATTGAATGAAATTAATGGAAAAATTATGCGTTTTGCAAGAGAAATCTCTATATTTATTCTAATATTCTATCAGATCTATATATTTGTCAATGATATGGAATTAGTATTATTATTGGATTTACGTAGTGAAGAATTTATACGTTATGCATTGATATTGGTATTTGCAGCAACATTTGGATTCGCAATAGTCGGTTTCTCATTATTATCACGATTGAATGTCTATTCAAGATGTATGATACCATGTCTTGAACAAATGATATATGATCATAATAGTAGTAGTCATATTAATCGTAATAAAATCGTACACATACGCATAGATCCACGATATCCATATCATTGTCATCTACCAATACGTTTAATTCTATTTCGTTTGAAATTACTTGAAACACATGTACAGCTAAAAACAGATATGATCGGTATTCGTTGTGGTGATATATTCACCATAACAAGGGATGATAATTTTCGTAGCCTTTTATTTTTCTTCGTCAATGTTATACTAATTTCAAATCTATTTCAAACATATTTTTAATTATTGATTTATCGATAATTGTTTTTTTTAATAAACACATCTCCTGTTTTATTAATTAATCAATAAAAAATTTCCTGATTAATTCAATAAATAATTGATTGCTTTTGTGAGCTTTTATTTTATCAAATAAAATCAACAAGGTGTGAATATTAACACTTTTTTCTCTTGAATTGCCTGCTGTTTTTATGATAAACTGGATGATAAACTGATTGATTGATCGATCGATATAACAATGTTATGAGTGATTGACAAAAAGACAATGACAATCAAATTTAAACAAATAGAGAAACCAAAAAAAAAAAATGAAAAACAAACATTTCTAGCCAATTGAATTGAATTTAAAGTATTAAATTTCTTCAAAAACATCAAACAATCGAATGAAAACTTCAAACACCAAACTAGCCGAATCACGACGAATCGATTCACATATCGCGAGTTCAATGTCGAGGCCAAATCATCATCTTGACAGCAGCCACACGCATATATATTCAGCTAATATTAACCAACTAACATCACACATTCTGTTTTTTTTTCTTAATTTTTTTCAAATTAAATAATCATTTTTAAAACAATTGTTGTTCGAACAACACAAATGCTTGAAATAATAATGATGATGATAATCGACGACAGGTGCAACAGAAATGGACAAGCAAAAAAAAACACCATCGACTATGATTTGATGATTATGATGATGGCATGCAACAATAACAACAACAACAAAAAAGAAAGAAAAATTTAGGTAATCATCATCGAGTTTTTTTCAGTTTGTTTTGTTTCAAGGTATTTTTATCATCTTTTTAAACAGCAGAAACAACAAAAAAATTGATGATTTAGAATTTATTTATTTTTTTGCATCGCAATAAGGAAAACAAAAAATTTTTGACAATTTAAAATCATAGAGATTTCAAATTATAGAAAAAGAAAATCACAAGTCATCATATAAGAAGAGAAGCAAAGATGAAAAAAATGAAATTTAAAATTTAAATTTAAATAATTTTTTTCAAATTATAATTTCAATCGATCGATCAAATTCATGCAAAATTGAAAAGCATATCATCATCATTATCATAATTAATTGTCAACCCTTGCAACGGTCATAACATGTTGAAGAAAATCCGACACATCTTGAAAATGAAATTGTTGTCCAATGAAACGTAGTTTATCATAGATATCGATTAAACAATAAGCATCTAATGCAGCATATAATAATTGTGAATGACGTAATGGTCGTCGATTCCAATCGGATTGTCGTTCTAATTTATTCAATGAACGTCCAAACATTAAATAGGTTAACATTGAAAGACCTTGAAATTGACCGTTACCATTACTACCACCTTCACCATTATTTGATTGTGAGGATTTCAATACCGTTACAGAACGTTTAATCTGTGCAGTTAATTTTGGATAATGAAGACAAGATTGTTCAGCTAGAAATTGTACTAGACTACGTGCTGGCCTTACTAGGTCGCATTTACCATTCAATAGTATATTAGACGTCTGTCCAGTACTATAACTTAGAATGTCTAAATCTTGTGTAATACCATAGCCAATTTTTATATATTCAGGATTGGGAAGATATTTGTCACAAAATTCCTGGCACCAAAGCCGTCGAAATTCTTCGGATTTAACGCTATTAAAATCAACCAAATCAATAATGAAACAGATATTGCGTAAAGCAATCTGTATGATTGAAATTTTCTGCCGACGATAGGAAAATATTGGTAACCATTCAGCATCGATAGCCATCACATTATCACGCTAAATTAATCAAAATTTTAAATTTTAAAAAATATTCTGAATACCAAGTAAAAACATACCGGAAGGTGAACATGAATCATATTATATAAACTTTGTTCGTCACTAATGAAATGTATTTGAAAATTTTCGTCTGGTTTACCTATATAATATTGATATCTTCTTGACCAATCATTATGAGTATGATTGTTGTCATTATAATTTGCATTATGATGATTAAAATTATTATTAATGTTGTTGTTGGTAAATTGAATTGAATCTAATAAGAAATTTCGATTGCAAACAAATGGTTGACAGGTTGGCCGTGATAGATCATTATTACGTATATAATCATAATATTTTTTCACTTCAATTGGACCCAATTTTCTTAGACATGATATAAATTTTGTTTCAATTTCCAATGAATTATCAATAAGTTTTTTACTTAGCTCATAAAATGCATCGAGGCTAATATTTTTCATCTAGGAAATAAAATAAAATAAAAATTATGAATAATAAACACTTAAACATTTGTTATTTGTACACAAACCCGAAATCTTAATTTGATCAGATAAGCAAGATTTTCCCAATTCGATGTTTCAATATGACGTGGAGTACAATTTGGATTGAAAAGATTTATATCATCAAAATTATAATGTACACGATTAATGAAACGCTTGATCATTTTCTGTGTACGTTTAGGATATTCTTCAAGGCCATAATGTTGATAATAATTATAAAGTTTTCGATCATCCAAAAGGCATTCATCTAATAAACGAAGAAAATTTTCGAAAATTTCTTTGTCATAACGATTCTGTTGTTTTTGCATCATTCGAAATGAACCATCACACTATATGAAAAAAAAAACCCTGGTAAGAAAATTCACAATTAATGCAAAAAAATAACTCACCTTAATAAAAACGATTATCATAGCATCATAATAGATTGATTTATCATCACAAATATCTAATTCAAATATCATATCATAGATATGTTCTATTGTATCCGGTTGTGGTGTACGTGCCATTAATACGCAAAGATAATGGCCAACTTGTTTCGAACGATTCATCATTAACCATTTTAATGTTGGAAATAATGATGTCAAATAGGTGAATGATGTAATACAACGATGAAAACGAAAATAAAGATCAAAAAATTCATAATGTAATTGAATAAAATGTTCACGATATGTTAATGTGAAAATCTTTTCATCATCATCTTTTTGTTTATCATCCGATAAATGGCTTGGTAATTTCAATCGATTCATTATTATATCATTTATGTTGGCAAGATAAAGTTCAAGCCAATGTTTATGATTAGTACATGCCCATTCAATTATATATAATAATGAATGAAAAAATTGATTTAGATTTGTTTGTGAATATTTTTCCAAATATTCAACAATTGCCATTTCAGAATTTTGATTATTTTCAATAAATTGTTGAAATTCATTACGATCATTCATATAAGATTCAGATAATTTATATTGTTCCGGATCGATAATTGGCAATATGATGGGCGTAACCGTAGTACCAACATTTTCTTTTGGTGAATCATCATCATCATCATTATTATTATTTTTAATCATTTCATTTGATTCCATATTTTTAGTCAAGTTTTTCTTTTTATGTGAAAATCACAATCACAATATTTTTTTAATCTGGCGTCAAATAAGAGAGAGAATGCTGAAAAGAAAGAAAATATTTAAATTTTACATTTCAAACATTACGCAGAGAAAAAAACAATATATAAAAGTTTTATGATATGATGATTGAAACAAAAATCAATCCAAATCATCGAAAAAAAATCATGTAATGTTTGTGGATGGAAAAAAAAACAGTTGACACTCTCTCAACGCAAACGCACACACAACAGGCGGATTTTTTTTAATCCGCTTTATATTTGTGTGTGTAAAACCAAAAAAGTGATCATTTCATACAATGCAAACGAATACTAACCATGTATGAACTTAATTTGATTAATTATACCAATCAGAATTTTTTCCATTTTCGTATACAAACATCGACAACCATATGATCAATATGTGGTGCATACCGTTTAATACGTATGATTTGACCATAGGACACATCATATAATGGAAAATCGTTATTTTTTGCAGACAATTTCGTTAGTATAGTTGAAATTTGTTCACAAATATTTGTTGCCCATTTTTTTCGATGTTCATCCACAATAGCTCGTTTGTTTTGGCCAATTGATTGTTTGATTAGTTCATAATAACTTAGATTTTCATGTACATGCATAATCAGATCTTTATCACTGTTTAGATCTAATGCTTGACAACCAATTTCCAATGAATCTAAACTAGTGGGTATTAATCCCATGTGAATACGATGAGCAATGCCACGAGGACAAACTTGACGATTATCACCTTCAAAAATAGTCATACGATCTTGCACATGATTCAGTTGAATATTTCGCCGTAATGCTTCGATAGCGGCTGGATTCCATTCACAACAATAAACATGTCGTGCATGGCAATGTACGGCAAATATTAGGGCAAAATAACCGATACCAGCGAAAAGATCGACAACAATTTCATCATGGCAATCAAATTTTGCTAGACGTATTTTTTCACTAATGTTTCCTGCAAGGAAAAAAAGAATAAAAAATAATCAATCAACAATGAATGATATTCGATAGTTACCTTTACAAAACATAGTCCTGGTTATATCAAACGTATATTTGATTCCATTATCGATTTGTAATGCCCATGGATCTATTGAATTGTCTGAACAAGAATCATAATCTTGACTGTAGAAAAGGTGAACATTTGGTGTACGGAAATCATCGTCAATAATTTTCGATATGAGTGCAGCACGTTTAAATCGTAATCTTTGTCGCAATTGTTCGAATTTTTCATTGGAATTTTTTCGAATGGTCTGGAACAATTCATCATCTCTTGAGTTGAGATTGAACTCAGACAAAAAAGATTGCTCATTAAACAAGATTAGATCACCATAACGAACAAAGCGAATATCGTTCATGTTTTTCACGAAAAAATGATGCGTACAATATTTCAAATCAATCACAAATGATGATCATCAACAATCTCGCATGGTGTACTGTCATCTATGAACAATGAATGGAATTTTTTTTTTTTTGAAATTATCAAATGCCGCACAACATTCGATTATCATAATCATTAGATAATGATAATCTAAATTTCTTATCACTGGTAGATTAACAATTTAATGACACATTTCAAAACAAAATATTTGTTTGGTCATGTGTCGATTGATGTGTGTGTGTGTGTGTGTGTGTGTAGTATCATCATTATATTCAAGGTACATTCGAATCGTAAAATGGCTAAATCATCATTACGAATTGTATTCTATACAACTGAATTGGTTGGACCACAAAATGCTTGTATTGGATTTGCACAAACCCTCAATGATCGTGGTCATGATGTTTCATTTTTTACAACAACAGAATCAATGCCGAAATATCGGAAATTTGGTTTTAAATGCTTGGAACTGAAGAATGATGATGATGAAAAATCGGCACCTGACGATATGGATTCCGTAAGTAAATTTGTGAAAAAATTGGCTAAATATGGTTTTCTTTCCGATCTTACACCATTGAAAAAATTACGAGCATTAGGTCGGTTCTTCGAGGAAACATTTGCCGATGCATCACGAAAATTTAATTCACAAATCAAGCAATATCTTCAAAATGAACATTTTGATTTGATCATTATTGATTGTGAAATTTTTCCGTCAAGTTTAATAGCGGTAAATCGACCATGGATCTATTTATTTTGTTCACATCCAATCGGATTATTTCAATCAGATAAACTTCCGCCGTTCATATCTGGTGTGTATAAAAGATTTTATTGGTTTTTTCACATTTATTAACGGAATACTTAAATTAATGAATGTGTGATTAGATTTCGCCACCAACAGTGATCCAAAAACATGGGAAATTTTCCGTGAAGAATTGGAACGAATCTTTTATTCGATTGTTCGAAATGAACAACGGAAATTGTTTGAAGAGTTTGGTCTACCATCAACAAAATCGGATGATCAATTCATAATGTTATCACCATATCTAAATCTTTATCAATATCCAAAAGAATTAGATTATGATGATGTTATTGATATTGATAGGAATCGTTTCTTTGGTGTTGATACTTTTTGTCATTTTGAAATGGATAAAGATGGACAACAATTCGAGATACCATTTCGTGATAGAATGAAATCAGATGATAAATTAGTGTATTTATCACTTGGATCGATGGGATCTGGTAGTGTTGAACTAATGAAACGTTTAGTACGAATATTGGCCAAAACTAAACATTGGTATCTGGTATCGAAAGGAAAACTACATGATCAATATGAATTGGCTGCAAATATGTGGGGCGATATATATGTTCCACAAACACGTATCTTATCAATAGTAGATGCAGCCATTCTACATGGTGGTAATAATGGATTCACTGAAGCTTTGTATCATGGTAAACCTGTATTGATAATGCCAATGTTTTATGATCAATATCATAATGGTGTACGTGTGGTAGAGAAAAAAATCGGTTTAACATTGAATCCATTTCGTTTCGAAGATCATGAACTTGTCGAAGCTATTGATCGTTTATTGTCTGATGATCAATTTCGTAATCGTGCCGAAAAAATTGCCAAAAATATCAGTGAACGTCGTAGTAAAGAAGAGGCATGTAAAAAAATTGAAAAAATTGTAGAAGAATTTGTTGATTCTAAGCAAACAAAATGATTTTCTATATTGAAAACAACTTGAAAAATTGCTTTGAAATTATTTATCCATCTTTTTGTAGCTAGCTAGAATTTAATTTTAAAAAAATAAATAAAATTCAAATTTCAAAAAAAAACAAAATTGAAAAATATTTAGTCACGTCGTTTATGAATAATAACAATTCTCAGCAAAAAAAAAAATTTATTCGATCAAATGTGAAGACAAGACACACATAGAGCCACTGATGATGATGATGAGAAAGAGAGCGAGAAAAACAGTGATGATTGTCGTTTTGTATAAATAAAATGTTTATTTGTTGATCACGTCATTGATGATGAATTATAATTTGAGTGATTTTTTTACTTCACACATCTTTTTTTTGTTTGCCATAATAATGAATATAAATAAATGATTATAATGAAGATATATTCAAATGTAAATCAAAATAAAATTTTTCATTTAATCAATTTCAATAAAAATTCGATACAATACAATAACAACTATGATTTATTATTCATCGTAATTAAATAAATCACAGCAATTTTATTTTTTGTTTGTTTGTTTGTTTGTTTTTCTCTAACAACAATGTTCTCAGATATTAATGAATTTAACAATTATTAAATGAATGAATTCGAATTATATATTAAATTTTCAAATTGATAAATAATAATATTGAAGAATCGTAATGAAATTCGATCACACACACCTGATTATTTATTGTCAACGATATTTATTTAGTGAACAGAAATGCGACATCATTAAGCTCATCAATTATATTGTGTATCAACTTGATTCAAATTCTACCTTAATTAATTGCGATCATCATTTGACAACTTTTTGATCATTGTGGCATTAATACGACGACCTTACCTTGAACATCATCAATAAATGTTCATTAAATCATTAAACATTCCAGTTTTTTTTCCTTAAGAAATTTGATTAAAATAACATCAACAGCATGACCATTTAATCAGAAATTCAAATCGTTATTCATTGTACATTGTACATGATTCTTATTTCAATGTCCAAATGTTTGGCTAATGTCGAATGAAACTTAATTGAACTGAATCACCAACGGTCCATAAATAATAAACTTTTAACATTTACAGAATGGCCATGAGTATGTAAATTGGCCTTTTTTTAACCAAAAAAAAAAACAAGTGATAATCACCTTAATATCATCATTGTAAAAGAAAAATTGTAAATTGTTCCAAATAAAGAATTCATAATGTACAACAAAAACAAATATCATCATGTGAATGAAACAACCATTGTAAACACAAAATAAGCGTCAAAACAAAACAAAATTGTGATACACTTTGAAAGAAATTGTTGATGAAGATTTGAAAAAAAAATTCGATTTATTCAATTTTTTTTTGTTCTCAAAATGAAAAAATTTAAATTTTATTAAAATGTAAGACCAGTTAACCGTCAAAACCGAAAAATTTCGCCAAACATACATACACACATACATATACAAACAAAGACATCCAGATATGATTTTTTTCCGTTTTTAATTCAATTCAAGAAATGAAACGGAAATGATGAAAAACTAATCTTTCAAACTATACATCATCATCATTATCATCATCACTCACCATTCATATTTAGCGTATCATCATTTTTTTATTTTTTCTATTACTCTTTTGTTTTCTGTCAACAACAACAACATCCTTTGGGCTATGATTTCTTATTTCTAGGTTTTTTCGGTTGTCATCCGTTTATATGAATTCGATTTACAACAACATCAAGTGCCAATCAATTTTCTTTTGTTCCTAATCTAAATCTAACAGACCGAATATTGAGGAATTTCTTTCGGTTCTTTTGATTTATTCGTCAAAACATTTATTCGATTTTTTTTCATTTATTTGTACATTGTTTTTTCTCACTGTTTTGTGAATAAGTATTTATGGAATCGAGCCTGAATTTTTATCAATCTGATTTTGCTCAACAACAACGACAACCACAAAAATCAATTGATAAAAATTCAACAGCAACAATTAACATCAATCGTAATCATTTGTCAACATTTAATTCATCAGCATCAAATTATGATGGATCAAAATCTAAATTCTTTGATAAATCAGTAACAACAACTACTATAACGACGACCACCGATAGTAGTGGTAATAGCAATAAAACTAATAATAATAATGGATCATATTCCGGTAATATCGGAAATGATTATAATAGATTTAATAACAAAAATAACTTGACCTCATCATCATCATCCGGTCATCAACGAAAATCATTCTCTTCACCATCATATTCATTTTTTTCAAAGAAAACATCAAAATTTCCTTTTAAAACATCTCGATACACGTATCAAAGTAATCAAAATGTAGGAAGTTCAATGAAAATTTTTAATCAATCATCATCATCACCTCATCATAATCATCATCAAAAGCAAACATTTCGTAATCATAATTCGAATTCAAATTCACGTTTTTCATCAACAATAACCTCTTCATCATCATCATCATCATCATCGACATCATCTACACAGAATCTTTTACAAGTAACCACACATAATGAAAATTTAGATTCATTATTGAAAATCACCAGCAGCAATAAACAACAACAATATAAAGAATCGAAAACAAAGCAAAAATATCAACAGCAATTTGATGATAATGATGATTATGGAGAAAACGAAGAAAATCTATTGGATTGGCTGGAAACAGAATTAGATCAACGTGGTATTGATTCAATCATATATGGCCGATATTTATTATCATTATTACAACAGCATACAAATGTTAATGAGGATTCCGATTGGTATGATACATCGATTGGCAATAATAATAATGAACTTGATAGTGGTTATGAAGGCTCAATAACGACGAATAATAATTCCAGATTTAAACAATTTTCAACAACCCCAGTAGCTGGACGACCTGAAAAACCACGTTATTGTGAATCACATCAACGATTATATCGTGGTTATAGTCCTAGTTTATCGTCATCATTATTATCATCATCACAATTGAATCCATTTAGTTTGTTTAATAATCGTTCGCCATCATCTAATATTCAACGGGCAAAAGATAATACACAGAAAGCGCCTTCAACAACAAAATGGATGCATAGACGTTATCGACAGGCCGATAATAAATCGCCAACTAAACAATATAATCGAAATAATGTCAACTTTACAGATGATGGTAATCATAATGAACAAGACGGAAATGATGATTTTGATGATCTTATGTTGATCAATTGTCCGGATTGTTGTCGAAAATATTCGGGTAAAAAATACTGGGAAAATGATTATCGAAAATTTTTGATTGCTAAATGTTTAAAATCTGCAATCGATAAAGATATGATAGAGACTGATCTTGATCAATTTATTGATGAAATTTGTCAAAAATATGATCAACAACATCAACAACCGAATGATGGTGATGATGATCATGACCGACAACTTTTACAATTTTCATCAAATTCGAACCGTAATCATTCAATTATGTATAATAATAATAATCGTCGATTTAATGATAATGATAATGAGAATGGTAAACAAGAAGGGGAAAAAGATTACACTGCATTGAAAATTAAAACAACCACCGAAATGATATTGGATCAAGCGAAAAAATATTATGACGCATTTCCAGCATTAGGTGGAGGTGGATCGGCCATGATAACTATGACTACATCAGCATCAGCATCATCATCAACATCTACATCGATATCATCTGGATCACGGGCTGGTAGCACCAATAAAATGTTCATAGATAATTATCGTTCACATCAATCTTCATTCGATGATTCGGTATTTATTGATAATAATAATGATAGATACGGTGGTGAATCGATCGATAAAAATAATGATGATCAAAAGGGTTGGAATGGAAAGAAAATCATTCGAAATATTGTTGAAAAACATCAACCGAAATTGAATCTAATATCCACATGTGTCGAAGATTTTCATTCTCATCAACAACAAGAATTACAGAATCAATCTACAACGAATTCTGGACAACAATCGAATACTGGAAAACCTTTGGTAGTGAAATTAAAAAGTAAATTACTGGGCAATAAATCACGTACCGGTTTGATTGTAACATCATCCAGTTTTATGGCCAATGATAATATAGATGGTGATAATAATAATAATAATAATAATAATAATAATGGTGATTTACAATCAATGTCAAGATTGACAACATTGAAAAAATTGTCCACTGTAGCGAATAATAATTTGATTATGACGGCGAACAATTACAACAATGATGAAACAATAAATGGTAAAGGAATGGAAAATGTTAAAAATTTGGAACACAATCACCACCAATCGATTGTAACCGATCCATTAGTATCGGTATCGACAAATAACATGATAAACAATAATAATAATACTCATCCGATTCATAATTCGACATCATTATCATCATCATCACCGTTATTATCAGCAAAAGAATTGGAAAAAATCAATCAATTAATGCCATCTTTTTTAATGAATAATAATAATCATTCGAAAACTACTTCTACAACGTCAACTTCTGTTTCGACAATGACGACTACATTGCCGAAAACATCATTGTCAGTTTCCGCACCGGTAATTAAATCGAAAAATGATAAATCATATTTGCATCCAACGGATGGAAATAATCGATTCAATGTACAGAATGTTGTTATTGGTACTGAACAACAATCTCAACAAAGTAAACCACCACCGTTACCACCGACGAATCGATCTTATTTTAATCATCAAAACCGAGATTATCAGCCATCGTCGTCAATACCATTGAATAATGGTAGAAAATTTCAACCATATCAAAAATTATCAATCATTTCATCATCAACATTAACAGGTAGTCAAAATAAGCAACAACAACAGGAGAAAACAGATGATAATGTTATTGAGAATGGTCACAATCAAACATTGACCACTAATGAAGTTGATAAAAATTTTTTAGATGATAATGGTGAAAGTGTTGACTCATTATTGCCTGATTTTTTAAAATCAACACGTGCCAATACGATGACAACTATTCAGCAACAATCGCCATTTAACCAGAAACAATTGGCATTGAATAATGAAATTGTAGAAAATTCAATATTGATGGCCAAGGATATCGATGATGTTGATGAAAATGGTAGTACAAATATTAATTATAACAATAGTGATGGTCATATAAAAATGAAAACGGTCGAATGTTCAAGTTTAAATCTATCATCATCATTTATGATGGATAGTCAAAATGTCATTGACAATGATAACCGGAAAGATTTTAATAATGTTGATGGCCAACAAAAGCAGCAGCACCAACAACAGGCATTTGTGATTAATGACTTTGATATTGTTAATGATGATGATATGATGATGCCATTATCGTCTCATACATCAATAATGATGAACGATAACCAAAAGAACGATCATAATGATGTTAATGATGGTGATGGTAGCAGCAGCCTTGATGCAATTATAACGGCAGATAATACAGTTTCAGCTATGATGACAACTCTATCAACAACAATATGGAAACCCATGTTAAAGATAGACGATGATCATATCGATAATATTTTGACTGATGATAATAAACATCGCAATAAAGTGGATGATTGTCAAATGAAAATCATCATAAATAAGTTATCACAGTCATCGATTATTGAAAACGGTGAAAAAGTAGAAGACAAAATGATTGATCATTGTTTTTCAACAACATCATCATCATCATCATCATCATCATCAACGACATTATTACATAAATCAATTGATGAATGGCTTGATTACCATGAAACAGAATTTTGGCCAAAAAATATAGCAAAAATATTTCAACAATTTTCAAACGATAATTATTCCATTGATGATGACAATGGCAATAATGATGATAATGAAACAAATTGGTGGCAACCATTGCAACCGATGATGAATGATAATATTGTACATGACAAAAATAATAAAGAATCAACAACAATGCCTGAATTTTGGAATCATAAACGACGAATGGAATGGCTAACAAATCTATGGAATCGAAATTGTACACTTGGCTATATGAATGATATGATTATGATGCCATCAACATCATCGAACAACATGAATAATAGACAACAGAAATTGAATGAAGAACTATCGTTGATTATGGATTTTGTTCAACAAATACAACAGCAGCCAACATTGAAAAAATCATCATTGTCCTCAGAAGAAGAAGAAGAAAAAGAAGCAAATAAAAAACCAATAACGGTTAATAATTCATCATCATTTAATGAATTGCCAACCGACGTTATTACTAATAATGTTGTTGAACAACAAAAAAATTCATATGAAATGAATTTGGCAATCAGTAGTGGTGGAGCTGATGTCGGTGGTGGCGCTACGATCAATTCGAAATCGTTACATTTTTATTTGGATGATGACGAAATGATGCAACGTTTTCAGCGTGATTTATCTGGAAAAATGAATAATTATCATTACAATTCTATAATGGAAGATAATGATGATGCAGACAATTCACTATGTCTAAATCAAATGTAAGTTTGACGAAATTTTATTCCTTGTTAAATTTTGATTATTTTTTTTTATTAGGGACAAATCGAATAGCGTTTTTAAAGAAAATTCAATTATTGACGATAATTTTCTACTTCCATCAATGTCATCATTATCATCATCACCGTCGAATGATGTGATTAATATGACAGAATTGATTAATAATGTTCTTGAATCGATTAATCATGAACAACAGAATGAAGAAGTTCCTACAAAGGAATGCTTTCTGACATCATTATCAATACCGATACGATCGACCGAATCATCATCATCATTGACAAATTCGAATGATTTACCATCAGATTTTGATGTGAAACAAATACCCACATTTTTACGTAAAGATCTAGACACCACAAATATTGAAACGGCAAGTGTTGATGAAGAAATAGTTAAGAAACCATCTGGACCATTTTCGAAACGTTATAAATTAAAATCGTCCGATGATTCTGTTGATTCTTTCATAAAATTTCCACAAATTTGTGATGATAATTATATTAATGGTCATGTAGTGACGTCCACTAGTAATGTGGACCATTCAACACGAACATCATCGCAACAAAATTGGTATACATTAGAATCGGAAATACAAAATGGTGTTGGATATCAAGAACATAATGATGGCATTTATTATTATGGTGATGATATGGCAGGCAACCTGATGGATCCAGATGAAACACATTTTATGGAATCATATGGAAATGATTTATACAACTATGATGGCTATCTCATCAATATGCCCAAAGATGATGAAAATGACTTTCTAAAAACATCTTCATTATCTCATCATTATCAATTGATCTCAAATTCATTTGGTGGCCAAAATAATTTTCTCACATCATCAATGTCATCATATGATATTGATGGTTTACAACCTGTGGATTTAAAATTCAAATTGGAGAATCGATTTTTGGTTCCTGATAATGGTAAGTATAACTGTCCATTTTAATAATTTTTCATCTAAACTTTTATTTCTGATGAATATAATAGATACCAAACCAGTACTGAAACCATGTGCATTTTATCTTGAAAATGCATGTGCTCGTCTTGATTGTAAGTTTTCACATGATCTTTCATCCATACCATGCAAGTATTATCTTGAAGGTGCTTGTTACAAGGAGGAATTCTGTCCATTTCTTCATGAAAAACCAAAAAGGTATTTTTAAGTTTTTTAAAAAAATTATTTAGTAACATAATATCTTCATATCCATTTCAGTGACTTGGATCAAATTGATCCGGAAATGTTAGCCTCATTATCATCAACAACATCATATATGAATCCTAAATCATCTCAATTCAAAATTGAATCCGATTCCGACTTTCCATCATTGTTTGAGGAATCTAGGAATACAATTTCCGAAGCGAATGACGCACCAGTGGAAAATCAACGGGTGAATTTTCTTTATAAAACAACCAATCTAAAACCAGCTGTCAGTTCAAGAAAATCGCCATTACAGTCAGATTTGAAATCTAATTATGATGATGACAGTACACAATTGCCAAATGCATCATTTTCATCACAGAATTTTGCCAAATGTTTTAATACAAACAAAACGGTCAAAACACCATTGGTTGTACCATCAACTCAACCAAAAGAAATAGTTGAAGAGAAACAAGAAGAAGAAGAAGAATGGCCATGTTTATCGGGACCTATAGAAAATTCTACGACTATTGATCAGAATCATGTCAATAGTTTATCTACAAAATCATCAACATTGTCATCGATATCATCGTCATCATCATCATTAACGACGAATAAAGTGATATCATTGAAAAATACTAATAATCGTAATGGTTCGAATTTTCGTGATAAAGTTTTAATGAAATCTTCATCGAAAAAGAATAAAAAAAATCAACTTAATAATCATTCATTGACAACAACGAAAAATACATCATCATCATTGAAAAGTATAATGAACAGTTTTTAAAAAAAAAGCTTGAAAAAAACATCAAATCTCTAGTCACATAGGAAAGGCCAAACATACAACAATTCGGTTTTTTTCTCCCATAATAATTGTCATCACTCAAATTACCTGTTTAATTTTTTTCTACATTGCTACTCTCGATTTTTTTACTAACTACTTGATGATGCTGCTGGTATTTACACACACACACACATTGTCCCCATCCATATACTCATGATACATCGTCAATGTCATAATTTTCGGGAAAAATTATTTTTTTTCAAAAAATATCTTCCCAATTTTGCTACTATACCAACACACATGCAACACCAATTGTGTGTATGTTTGATTGAAACCGAGATTATTAAAATAGGAAAAAAACTTGTACAAGAAATAAATTATAATGATGATATTAATAAAAATGATAAAAAAAATCAAATTTTTTTAATGATAAAAAATGTTTATTCTTTTTTCAATGTTTTATGTATGGAAGCCATTGATGGTTGAAAACGTTTCGGTACTAATCCTTGTAATGATTCAGGATGATCCGATTCTCGATTACGTTTTTTCGGTGTTTCTAATACAGCATCTTTTGGTTCTTTCACTACATATCGTTGCGGTACCTCTAATGGCGGTGAGAAACCTTCCTGATATGTATGATCGACGAATAATATCTGATACATTCCATTGGCTGTGATTGGTGCATGTAAAACTTTTCCACGATAAAAACATGTTGTTTGAGGATATAATGCTAATACACGTGTATCGCGTTTATGTAATGCTTCAGGATTAGTTTCAGGATTGGCACGATATAATGGAAGTGGTATTAATGAACGACGTGTAAGATAATGGCGTTCATTTTGCTCTTCATCAATATCATCGATTTCGAATTTATTACCATTAACGTGTACGACTTCGGCCAAAATCCAATCACCTGTATGATTTGGATTATTTAGATGGCTAATCGATGTTGATGGTTTAATTATATCACTTGCTGTCGGGATCAATGCTGCAACTAGATCACCGATTTTAGGAATATATTCCAAATCTGCAGGTATAGCACCACAAAGTGGAGGCGGTTTTTCATTTACTGAACGTCCGATCCATAATGGTAGTGTGTGGGCACAATCATTCAATATTTTAATCATCTGTCCACGACGTATGAAAGATTTTTTATTTTTGAATGCATATTGCATTTTTTTCTGTCTTGAACGGGAATAATTTCTAATTTCTTGGATCAAATCCAACGATAATCGTACAGCATCGGCTTCTTTTTCACAATCCAAAACGGCTTTATCAAATAATGATTTCAAACGATCAGCATCCGATTTATTTATCTCGGTTTTCATGCAACTTTTCTGTGAATTACGAAGTTCATTTACGCTGTCCAATGCCTGTTGTCGAAACAATGTGATTTGTTTGGTCAAACGATTTAAAACCTGAAGACGTTCCTGTAGAAATTCACCTTCGGCACCTTTGAATATATCCTGTGATGTTTGTGCCTGATGGATATTGTTGAGCATTGTTTGATTATTATTACTATTATTATTCATAATGTCCAGACCGGATGATGAACATACACTGGTGGATTGTTGACCTTTGAAATCATCATTCTTATCATCGGCCATTATTTAAAAATTTTCGAACTAAAAATTGAATTGTTTAAAAAAAATTTTGAGCATTGAAAAATCAACAAACAAATACTGCCACCTATTATGAATGCAGGGGGTTAAAAGAAAACATTGCCTGTCGAAATGGCCGAAACATACATTCTTATAATAAATCTTTTTTTTTTGCCATCATTTTAATTTTGAATTTTGTATATTTAGAAAAAAAATGATTTCGAATTAAAATTTTAAAAATATTTTGACAGTATACTTGAATGAATATTCAATAAAATTAATTGATGAATAAAAACAATTAAAATTTAAAAAATATTTTCTTATTTTGTTTTCCATAAATTCGAATAAGGCGAAACAAATGTGTGTGTGATTGATCACTATGTGATTCTTTCGATTTTGTTTTTGTGGTGTGTATTATTTACAAATTTTTGATTTTTTTTTTTTTTTTTTTGAAAAATACAATAAATATTTTTTTGTGATAAGACAAAAATTGAATCAATAATAATATCAAATAATTAATGAATGATGATGGCCAATATTGATGAACGAAACATGTATTGACAATTGGTTAATTAAATTAAGCTAAAAGATATATATGATTGAAGGATTTATATAGTGTTGAAATTAAATAAATTCTCATGTGTGTGTGTGTATTGTGATAAATTTTGGAAAATTATATTGTGAAAAAAGGGCATATTGTTGTTTTCCGTTTTTTTTCTTGAAACTGTTTACATTTTTCTTGTTGTTATTGATAATGAATCTTTTGTTATTGTTAATGTTATGTGCGTGATAATCGTATCTTTTTTTTTTGAATGTGAAAAAATCAATCAGTTAAAAAAAGGACATAACAGAAATAAAAAGGACCAGCCCGGTACAGGCGCTTCGCGCCTGCCCCAGGCTGGCCCTGCGGGGCTGACTCCTGACAGTCAATATAGCTGGATACCCGCAGGTGTGGCGGCTGCGCCGCCCCCCCTGCTTGGTACCCAGCCAAAGGTATCAATCCTTGACGGTCAATATAACTGGATGCCCGCAGGTGGGGACGGCTGCGCCGCCCCCCTGCTTGGCATCCAGCCAAAGGTGTCAATTTTAACGCTTCGTGCCTGACGGTGGATTTCTATGCACGGCGTTTTGCTTCCGGCTTTCGGTTTGGTACCGCAGGCTCAGCCATGACTTTTGTATTGTACCTGACACCTTTGAAAATGTTACGTAAATCCAACATCAACTTATCGATCAAACAGCATACTTATTATTGTTCATCGATATCGATAAGTTGGCGGAATACGATATTTTTGGTGTAGATGCTGCGATCGTTGTTGACCTTCAGCAAAATAGGTCAACAACGATCGCAGCATCTACACCAAAAATATTTGACGAAAATCTCCCCCAAAGATGATTAATTTACCACCAAAAACTTCTTGCGACTGCATGAGATCTTTGAGCAATAAGTCAATTATGTTAATCACATGAATCGACATCACTATAACAATACAATACTCACTTTTCAATACTTATAATAATACAAACATACTCATCAAATACTCATATACATTCACACAAAATGAAAATCACGTGGTCGCTATCAAAATTCGAATTCGACGATTCGAACTCTTTCTATGTTCTATTGAATGACTGCACCATCTATGGGATGCAAAATCTGCAGCAAAGTGTGCGGAGCTAGAACAATGAAAAAATGCTTTGTCAAAGCTACATACCACAGAATGCGTTTCTTTGGAAGCGACTTCTACTTCTGAGCTGGACGAACTGTTCAGAGGCATTCAAAAGTTTTCCCGCATGCTCAGACACACACACACACAACACACACTGAATAGCTCATACCAAATAGTTATGTTTGTACTGAAAATAAGTAGGAATGGCCGGCTCAGCTTCGCCGCAGTTTACAGACATCCTTAGCGTCATAGAATAGTAGATTGCACTTATTAGATGAGATAATCCTATTTTATTTTATTTTATTTTATTTTTTGTTGATAGTTGTTATTGTTGTTGCCAATATTCAAAAATAGTATTAATCAATTAAGTAGATGTAGATGAGATAGTTGAATATAACTATTAATAATAATAATAAAATATGACAGGAAATGTGGATGAAAATAGACTGATTGCGTTGACGAAAAAAAAAAACAGATGATAGATTAGATGAGTTTTTTGTTGTTAATGTTGTTAATGAGGTTTTTGTTATTGTTGAAGAGATATAAATATTTTTCTGTTTTCGACGAATATTGTATTAGAAAATAAATGTGATTGAATGATATGGAGTTGGCATATCTATTTTGGATATTTTTCAATAAAAAGAATAAAATTTCAAAAAATCAAGTATATTCGTAATATTCAGTCCATCCATGACTAGGTGAACCAAGACAAATGAATCCAACGGTTTTATCTTTCGATGCGGTTACCAAAACTATTTTTGTGCAATGAAAAATATATTGATTGAATTTGTCTATTGATAAAATTAGAAAACTTACATTCATCATATGGTGATATATCCATGTCTAGAATATCACCACGATGACGATAAACTTCACCCAAACAATGAACATTTAGATTTGGATAACGGCGATATTGTCGAACGAAACCACCTTCACCGGCAGCATATAAATGTGCACCATTACTTGAGAATCGAAGTCGATTAATTTGCTGTGGATGATTCATTGTCGAATTGCTGATTCCATTGTTATTGTCGATAAATTGATCAATTCTATTTGAATGATCCCAATGATCATGATAGAATAATGTTTTCTTTCGTACAAAACTATTCGATGGTGTATGATGATCAATAATACGATTGGATAGAATGGAATTCATTGAATTATTAGCATTCGAGGCTAATGATGATGTAAGATTATTGCATTGTTCATCATCATCTTCGTCATCATCATCATCATCATCCTCATCATCACAGTCATCAGCCGGAATATTTCTTGCCGCAGCTGCTGCCGATTGTTGTCGTTGTTGATGGTGGTGATGTGAACGAATCGATGATGCAGAATTACCACCACCAATAACAGAGGAAATATCAAGCGTACCACCAATACCATGCCATGGAATTGGATGTTGGAGATTTTGTTGTTGTTGATTATTCGACGAATGATTATTATGATGTTGATGATGATGAAAAAGATTATGAACAAAACGGTTATTATTGCTATTGGATGAACCGGATCCCGATGATGATGATTGCAATAATTGTTGTTGTTGTTGTTGATGATGATGATGATGATGATGGTGAATATTAACATTCGAACCGGAAGAACCACCACCAATAGCACCAGCATTGACTTGTTGTTGACTTGATGCAACAATCGAACGTATTGCACGATGTATACGTATTGGATCGATCGATGATATTGGACCAAATATCAATTCATTACGACGAGGTATTTGATAAACATTGAGATTAACATTATTCGGATTGCTTATTATTACATTGAACGATGATGATGATGATGATGCTGTACTTGATGATGAAGATGAGGATGAACCAGACGACGCTGCTGATGGATTATTATTATTGTTATTTCCAAGCCATGATGGATTTGTACGGCTATTTGTTTGCTGCTGTTGCTGCTGATTATTATTATCCATATTTATTTCAAAGTTATTGCCACTATTAAATGATTGATTTATAAAATCTGTTGTTGTTTGATGATGATGATGCTGTTGTTGTTGTTTAATCGTTTCATCATTCGGTACATAGCTTGAAATAATATTACCACCACAAAGCCATGCTGATAGAAAACCATCATGTGTATAGCCATAATGTTCGGGTGTTGGTACAATTGAATTTCCAGTATGACCAAAATCAAATGTATGTAATAAACGGCCATCAATAGTAGTTAATTTGGCTTGACCTTGTGATGATAATGATAATAATGTATAGCCACCACCACCACCACCACCAGTATTGATAATTCCACCATTCTTTGAATGATTTTGTTGTTGATGATTATTGCTACCATTATCATTATTATTGCTGCTGCTATTATTATTATTAACGTTGTTGATATTATTATTATTATTATTTTCCAACAACGATAATGATGATGATTTGGATGAAAAAGGCCAACTTTCATGCAAAAATATTATATCACGTATAATGTCCGTATGAAACTGGAAATGGAAATAGAAATAAAATTAGTTGACAAATAAATAAAAATAAATAAATAAAATTTTTTTGAAAATTAAAAAATTACATCGAAAATAAAATCCAATGGAAGTGGCATACGTAGATCAAGTATGGTAACACCTTTTCCATTTACATATGAACAGGCAGCAATATTTGGTGATTCTGGATCGACAGCTAACGGTGTACGATCTCTACTTGGAATATATGCACAACTATCATAACAAACGATAGGTGTTCCATGTTCAACATCGATTACGGAAACACGTCGTGATGATGTTGTTGCCAATATCTGTCAGTGAAAATAATCATTTTTGTTCTGATTAATAAATTGGAGAGAAAAAACAACAATCAAAGAAAAAAATTGTTCACCTTTTTACCATCGCTTGAAAATGAAACAGCACTAACACAACGATTAAGACCTGATGAGATCACAGAATTTGTTCGTAATAATTCTGCACGACCAGCATGATAGATACCGATTTGGCCATCATTACCACCGGAACAAAATAGATAACGATCTTTTGGATTGAATGCAACCGAACGAACACAGCTATTGTTGTGTGTCGAAAAGAATCGACATTTACGATTGTTAATTGAATCCATATCGAATATAATTTTGTTGATCTTTTCTTCACTTTTATAACAATAATTATGATGATATGAATTTCAAATATATATTAATTTTTGATTCATCAAAAAATTGGAGGCAGAAATAATATGAATAAAAATGAACAATTGTAAAAAATTGATGAGATCAAATTAGTTTTGTAGTTGTTGTTGTGGCCGTAGAAAGATGATCAACCAACGTTTACATCAAATATAATATAAAAAAAAATAGTAGATAGTAGATATAACAAACAAAATGATAAATCAACGAAAACGAAAACTTTGAAAAAAAAACGAAAACAATTGGAGATCAATTATTATTATTTCATCATCTTTATCTTAAAACCAAACATTAGCATCTATCGATCGAACACATACACACACAGACACAATGAGTTATTAAAAACTTTCTTAGGTTCGAATTAACCGTTAGTTATTGCTCTCTTTATTTATGTTGTTTGTTTGTTGATAATTGTTATGACACAGATTTATTTATGTAACCAAAAAAAAATTGGTCAGCAGCAACAATAATAAAACCGTAATTAGTCATGTAAAAAAGATAATCATAATGTGGTGGCGGTTGTTGTTGTCCGTTGTGTTTTACAATGAAGATTTCATTTCGTTTTCTAATCAGGATTAGAATGAAATCAATCATAGATCGTTGATCATTTTATTGATAATAATGGTAAATGTCGTTCGAAGAATACCACAAACCAAACATATGAATAAATTTCACCAAAACACCATTCAGATTTGATTCATTTTTTCTCCTTTCTTTCTCTTGGTTCAATTTGTATGGACCAAATTTTGTTTATCGTGGCTCATTTAGCACATTGATTATCAACACAACACACCATCACAAACAAACCGAGAGAAAGAGAAACACAATTTTTTTCACACAAAAAAGAGAAAATGGCAAGATTTTCATAAGCAAAAAAAAAAAAAAAAAAAATGAAGGTAGAAAAAATAAAAAGATCATTTCCTCGTCATTTCTACTTTCATCATCAAGCAAATTATGTGCTTCTCTCATACACACATTTATCTTCAAGATTTTTTTTGCTCTTTTCTTCAAGTTTGTCTTGTCTTTTTTTTTTTTTTTGATATCTTTTATCTACACAACATTGCAATGATCATGATGATAATGATGATGATGACGAAGAAAATGAAAAAAAAAAAAACAAAGAGCCTATGCATAAAAAGAGACAATCCAGGATCAAAATTTTTAATGATGAGTTTTCAGTTGTGTTCAGCAGCAGTGTTTTTCGTGTATGTGGTTGTGGTTGTTCTTATGGTGATGATGATGATGATGTTAATGATGATGGAGAAATTTTTTTTTGTTGCTCTTTTCTGCTAAAAAAATTTATTTGTCGTCGGTTCCTTTTTTTTCCGAAATCATTTGGGTACGTCTGCACAACAGTCAGCCAACCTGCCACACCATAATATTTTTTTTTCATTTGCCATAAGTATTATATATGGATGGGGAACTCTGTTCTCTGTGATATCGTATATTCGGCAATAATTTTATGGACATTTATATTTGAGATACAATCAAATCATATAACAATATCTCAATGTTATGGATGAAAATTATTTTATGGCATTCTGATGGTAAATAATGAATGTGGGGTAATTTTGATATTCAAATTTGTTTTTTTTTACAAATTTAGATCCATTCATTGATCAAAATGTGTAAGACATAATCACAATTTATTTAGCCCAATTGAATTCAATTGGGATAGTGTCTATATATTTTTTGCTAATCAATGTATAGCAATAATGGGATAGACTGGCATTGCTGCTGCTTCTTCTGCTTGTGTATTTACAAATGGCCCATAGCTGCCACTATCCAAATACACACACAGACATGGCAACACTATTCGAATATTGAGAAAAACAAATCGAATGATGGAAAAAAAATATCAACAATAAAATCCTATTCAAAAATATAGTGTTTTCAGAACTTATTTTCGTGTATGTATACATCAATTTTGTTTAAGAATTTTTTCTTTTGAATGTCTATTATTGATGATGGTGATCCATCGATCGAATGTTCGAAAATCGACAATATTATCACCAATGGTTGTGAAACATTACGACAATTATGGGCATGGTTAAATCTGGATATTTTTTCAAACACTTCCAATAATTTAATAGTTTCGACAATTCGACGGCCACGTATACACAGAAATTCGAATGGACCAAAAGTTATACTTTGTCATGATTATCGTTTTAATTATCATGAAAGATTAGCCGATGAAGCTATTGGTTGTCATTCATTTGTTCAAAATTATCATGAATATTCGATTCAATTTTATACATTTATTTATTGGTCATTGATCGATATTTTCATATATTTCTCTCACAAATTCATAACAATTCCACCACCAGAATGGATTCAAGCTTGCCATCAAAATGGTGTTTCATGTTTTGGCACGATTCTTGTTGAAGAATGGACTAAATACGATGATGATGATGATGATGAACAACAGATTGATGGAAAACAATTTCTTGATAAAATATTAGCCAACACAGATGTGATTGATAGATTTATAACCGCATTGGTAAACATTCAATTATTCTATAGATTCGATGGATGGTTATTGAACATTGAAACATCGATTGATCCAGAGAAAATTCCTCACATGAAATATTTTATCCAGCAACTTAAATCTAGAATAAAATCTAATACATTGCAAACAAGCAACGAAACACAAATCATATGGTATGATTCCGTTACGCGAACTGGTAAACTAGAATGGCAAAACGAATTAAACGACATGAATAAGACATTTTTCGAAGATTCAGATGCAATTTTTCTAAATTATACATGGAATAATGAAAATCTTGTGAATAGCCGTAATAAAGCCCGTGAATATTGTAGACAATATGATTGTTATGTTGGTGTTGATTGTTATGGTCGTGGATGTTTTGGTGGTGGTGGCATTGAAGGAACATGGAAAGCTGTGAAAAAAATTCTCGACAATAATCTATCTGTTGCTATATTTGCACCCGGTTGGACACATGAATCAAAAATCTGTCCAGATGATCTTTGTGTTCGACATTCGAATGATGATGTCGCTGATGATCAAAAACATAATGATTGCCAGATGCCATATTGGAAACGGATTCAACAACCAACGACCAACATTTATAGTATGGAAGATGAATTTGAATTTTGGTCTCGAATCGCTATTGATGGACAATTATTGGAAAAATGTGAAAAACTTCTGATCACATTACCATTAAAAACATGTTTCAATATTGGTCATGGTTATGGATATTTTCAACATGGTCAACGAATAGAATCAAAATCATGGTTAAATTTTCATCATCATGATCTACAGCCATTTGTATTTAGTGGGCTAAATGAATGGAAAAATGATTCATATCGTTTATCAATTTCATATGATCAACCATACAATGGTGGATCATCATTAAAAATGGATTTATTCGATACGTCCAAACGACCATTAATATCAAAACCAGTGATATTATTTCGAACACAAATTCCTATTGATGATTCCAAGAACTTTCTATATCGATTTGTTTATAAATTTCATGAGAATAATTCGGATGACAAGAAATGGCTGAAGGAAAATCTAAAAATTCGTACTATTATCAATTATAATCGTGACATTGTCAGTGATGAAGATAATTATTCAGCCATAATCATCGAATCTGATGGATGGTATATTCGAAATTCCGATGAAATTATCATTGATCCTATAATTCGACAGCCATTCACAAGCTATCATCAATCAATCATCGATGATTGGTATTCGTTTCAAATGTGTATAAATCTTCATGATCAAATTCATGATTATCATCATCGAATTATTTTGACAACGTTTCAAATTGAACCATATTTTGTAACCGAATTGATTTCGGAAAATTCATCATCATCTGCTGCTCAAATATTTTTCGGTAAATTTGATTTTGATCAATTTTAACAATTAGAACATTAACCAACACAAGATGGCGCCTATTTGACTGTTATTTTGATGATGTGATAATTTATCTTGGTATTCGAATTTGATTTTTTAAATACTTTTCCATTTATATATTTGAACAGTATCTATTTTTTCAATGTTTTATTAATTGAACAAGAAACGAAAATAAAAAATTATCTTGATGAATGATGATAATGGCAATGAAAGTGAATTCATTCAAATATGGCAAAAACAAGTTTTTTCCTCTTCTTCTTCGAATGATGGGGTGAGTATGATGAGGTAAATGTGAATAGTTTTAATTTTTTTTTTGTTAAATATCTCGGCTATATAAATTCAGCATCTTCACCTATTTTGCTTACTGACGTAGTGGTAATCAATATTTCAACCGAGATTTTTTCGTCTATTTTTTTGGTGATAAAGATATTTAAAATCAAAACTGAATGTGTAATTATTGTTCGCAATGGCTAAAATTTACTTCATCATCATAATATCGTTATCTATTTTATTGATTGATAATTATAATTATTTGATGATTATTGATGCAGCGAAATCTAAATCAATACAACAACAATCAACCTGTACCAATGTTGATCATAATCGTATGGATAAATGTGTTACGATTCTATCATTTCTAATGGATGATCATCTTCTCAATAATCCACCATTATCAATGAAAGAAGTAAATGGTTATTGTCGACGTTTAAAACCGGCCGAAAATGTGTTGAACAATACTTGAAACGTTGTACTAGCCGCCATGTACAACAAACGGCTAAAATTATCCTTTATTCATTGTTACGAACAAATCGAAAATATTGCAATAGTAAAAAACGTAAATCATCCGTTCTACGTTTAGTTAAATGTGCAAAAGATCGTCTACCAGAATTTGGTGATTTAATGAAAAATTTTACCGCTGATATGCATGCATTACGTACGTTTGAACCACAAAATCTACGTATTCCATTAGTATGTTGGTAAGTTGTTTTTTTTCATTTGTTTAAACATTTCAAATTATTAAAAATATTTTTTTTGTTCACCTGAAAAATAAAACATTTAGTGATTATTTTAAATATCGTGAACTTGGAATTCAAATGATAATGAAAACATGTGATGTACCGGAATTGATATCAGTGATACGTGATGCATTACAAGGTTATACTGGTGATTTAACAACAGTTATGTGTGGTGATTATACCGATGATTCGGATCGTTGTGATCAAATTATTGATTCAATGCCTAAATGGACAATAATAAATAAACAGCAATTACAATGGAAAACATTTGCCATGCCTTTAGTTGAGATATTTGACAGTTTTCAATTCAATAATAAAGAAACACAATATTAAAATGAAATGAACAAAAAACAAATAAAAGAACTAAAAGCAGAAAAATTGTTTTTTTTATTATTATAAAAATACTTTATTTAAAAAAAAATGAAAAGAAAATTTTAAAATCAAACAATCAATCAAATAATAATTCATTCATAATCAATGAGAGTATTATAGCAAAAAAAAAGGAAATGAAATCAAACAAACAATTGTATCAAAAAAGATGTTTCCTTTTTTTGGATTTAAAAAATTAAGATAATAAAATAGAATCAAGATCCAAAATAGAAAAAAAGAAAGAGTTTAGATCAATTGTAGATAATCACTACGTAGTAAAGATTTTGTCGATTGACAATGATGACTTTCATTATGGCAATGATTCAATAGATTTAGTTGTCGTTGTGATGCTGATGATGATAATAATCGATGTTGGCGGCCAATATAACCATATTTTTGTTTAATCAAATCGATGACCGTATGTGCTAATGTATGTAATACATTATAGATACCATAGCTAATTAAAAATATACCAAACAATATCGATACAATTTGATCCAAATATTCGATACGATCATGAAATTGTATTGAAATGACAGTGGTTGCAGCAAATATAGCTGATATGAATGAATTAATACCTTCAATAAGCATTGAATTGGAATCCAAATGATAATAGATGAATAGTTTGAAACCCATTAATATAATATTCATTGATAATGATATTAATGCCAATAAATATAATGGTGACATTTCATAATAATGATCATTAATGACATCTATATCATCATCATTAACAACATTAACATTATGAACATTTTCAATAATTTCATGTACTAATTCAATTATTGAACGTATTATTACACCAAAACCGGAAAGTATCATTATTTGACCAAGCCAAAATGTTGACCATAATTCTCTTCGATTATCATCGGGTGTATCATCAATAGTCGATTGTAATGAACGTAAAAATGGATGTATATCTGATTCATCATCAAAACGACGGCTACTACTATTACGACGACGATGATTGATATTAATATTATGATTTGGATTAAGAATTGGTAACTGTTCATCGTTGGTTGAATCATCATCATCGTTATTATTATTATTATCATTAATTTTATTATTGATAATAATGGCTGTTTCATGTTTAATTGATGCAAAACGCCATATAAGTATGATAGCAGTCAATACACCAATTATTGAATCGGCACCAAATGCACAATAAAGTGCATTCCAACCATAAAAGAATGTTGCAATAGCAAGAAAAAGATTGACAGCCATTGCGGCTAATGCAATCTGTAGAGCAACATTGAAACGTAATAAATATAAAGCCGTACGTGTCATCGATGGTTGTTGATCATTTTGTTCAAGTTGTTGTTGTTTACCATCACCACCAACATTATCATTAGTATTATCGATATTAATTGTAGGTGTTGTTGTGGCTGGAACTGTGATTATGATCGAAGGTCGACGAATATATTCCATATTTTTTTTTTTTTTATTAAATTGAATTGAATTTAAATTGTTTTTCTGTTTTTCTTTTGTATATTTGAAGGGTTATCGATCGATCGAAAGAAAAATATGATGATTGATCACATTACTATGGTTAAAAATGAAAATTAAAAAAAAATTGAAAAAATTATTATCTTGATTTATTTATTGAATTCATTCATTCATTCACACGTTAATTTGATGACCATGTGATTTGTGTACTTACAATGTGTAAATTTTAATCCCAAGTTGAATTCTTTTTGGTTTGTTTGTACTTGTTTATCGATAAATATGATCAGATAATAATTTCGTTTTCAATGTATTTCGATATTGGTCGATGCTATGATAATTTGTTATTATTGTTGTCGTTTTCATCCACAATCTTGGTGGTGGTTTTGATGCCGTCAATAATGTTGATCCGTAATAATGATGATGAAAATATTGATGATGATGATGCTGACACCGTTTAGCCGTCATGAACGATGATGACGATCGAAAAAATCAGTAGAACAAAATAAGTGAAAAAAAAATTATTTGCCAAAAAAATTGGAAGAAATTTTTTTGTTTTTCAAATTTCAAATATCCACGAATCACATGGAATAGAGTAATGATCAATCGATGAATAAAAACTTTTTCATTAAAGACATTGAAAATTGTCTGGTTGTCGCGTGTTGAAAAAGCCAACAAATGTGATGGAGATTTTTTCCACATTCCTTTTTTTATATACATCAAACCAAATCAATTAATTTTTTTCGTTTTTTTCTATCGATAAAAAAATCGTTATCATTACAACGAATGCAATGAAATGGCAAAAACAACCAATCGAATTGAACCAAGAAAACAAACAAATCGAATGATCAATTTTTTATCAATTTTAATTGATAAAAAAATGTGTGAATCAAGATTTTTTGATTTTTTTTTTGTACACATAAATGTGCGTATTGAACAGATGATCGCAAGCACGTATCAATACAATATGATTAATTCGATGAAAGACGTTTGACTGATTTGTATGTTGTTTTTTCTTTTTTTTTTTTTTTTTGATTTAACAAAAAAACAAGCAGCTAATTCAATCTATACAGAGTTATTATTTTGACAATGAAGACCAGGACAACAACAACAACAACAACAACAACAAAAAAATAAAAACAAAATGAGTCTAATTTGATTGACAATATTTTTGTTTGATACATGTTTGCGTGAATCAATTTCATTCAATCAATTAGTCAAAATGAATCGATTGACCAAAAATAAACGATCAATCAATCATGATTGTGATTCATTATGATGAATGTTTGTCAATGTTTTCATTTAAAGTAACAAATCAAACACACAAAATTTAAACCAAATATATATATAAAGAAACCAGAAATGATAACGAAATATGAAAAAAAATGATGATGAAGAAAATGCCAATAAGAATGTACTTTTATTTTTTGCTATCTTTTATTGTATGATTGATTGATTGTTTGTTTGTTTGTTTGTTTTTGTTTATATGATTTATGTTTGTTATCGTTATTTTTTTTCCATCCTTGGATCATCATCATCATGATTATCAATAGTTATTTTGTTTGTTTTATTTAATGAATTTAATTTGGATATAATTAATGTTGACAACACAAGTAATTTTTTTTTTTTAGTTATCATGAGAGAACAAAAAAAAACAGACAAAATATCCTAATTGTGTGTATATTTTTTTTTGCTTAAATGAAAAAGTTTTTCAAAAACAAAACAAAAATTCTACAGAATTTTGAAAAAGAATTCTTTTATGACAATTCTTGTTTATTAACTGATTATTGTATTCGATAGAATAACATGATAGATTTGTTCATCAACATTGTAATCATTATAGCATGATTTTTGTTGGTTTTTTTTCAGTCAAAATTTAATTTAATTTATCGATAGAAATGTATCTCATTGATGCAAATGCAATGCAATCAGTCACGTCAATCATATTTTTTTTCAAATGATGACAGCATTTTTTCTCTTTCGTTGATTGGATTTCAATTTGATTTGGAAATTCATTCGATTCAATCACAAGTTCGATTGTGATTTGTTCGAAACAATCGAAATTGATTGAAAATTTAAAAAATTAAAAACAATCAAAAATCTGTTCCAGAATTGATTGATTGGCGGTGAAGAAAAAATGGAAAAATTTTTATCAATAAAAATCAAAAAAAAAAAAAAAAAAGCAGCAAATTTAAAATTGGAAACGAAAAAATTTTTTCCCACAATCCAATCACCAATTCAAGGCACAAACAACAAACTAAGCAATTCTGTCGAATCAATAACATTTCTTTGTTCTTTCTTGAATGATTGTAACCTTTGAAACGAATATATCAATTAATGTTTCCAATCAATCAATCAATCAATCAATCAATGATAGCATCCATTTTTTGTATCAAATTTGGATTGTTTTTTTTGCTGTTTTCATCACTGGAAAAAAACGCGTGCCTTTTTAATCACAAATGATGATTTATGCTAAAATCCATTTATCCATTATCCATACAAATTCATTCATATTATTTTATTTCATATTTAACCTTTCATATTTCACTAAAATGATCTGATTTCTGATTCATACGATGATGTTACTATTGCATTTGTTGATTATTTGATAACTCTTATCATCATCAACATCATTGCCATCATTGAATGTACAAACAAAATGTAATGTACAATTTGTAATTTGAGAATTTTTTCTTCTCTGTATTTATTGTAAATTTTGTTTTTTTTTCCAAAAATTTTTCCACACATTTGTTTTTTATTTGCTTGTCTGTTATCCGTTTATCTATCCATCCAATATATATTAAAGATGTTTGTTTGTTAGTTTAAATTGTTCTTTCATATATTATCTAATGTGTGTTCATGTTAAATGTGTTGATCGTTCCATATGTTTCTCTGTGTGCGTGATAGACATCAAGGTAAGAATAACAATAGCATCACCCATCATAGATAACATGTGATGGAAAATAAACGAGAGAAAAAAAAAACCATTTTTTCGTATGTCATGTTGTTATTGTTATTTTGACAATTTAAAATTTTTTATTTTATTTTATATTTATTAATGGTTCAATGATTTTCTTTATAATATATAACAATAGTAGTGTGTATGTGTATGTAAATCTATTTATCTACTTGAATTTATTTTTTAAAATTTAAATGTAATGGATGTTTTTGTTGTAAGAAAATGTTGTTTACACACACATATACAACATATAAATATTTTTTGGTAAAAACATCACAAACTCCAGCCACACCATACACACTCTTAAAATGTTTCCCTCCATAGAGGTGTGTATTGTACATAGAAGGCTGAAATTATGATCCCGATGATTATGATCATGATGTTAATAGACAGAATTTATTCTCTTTTTCCCGGTTTTTGTTTGTTTTTTTTTTCTTTTTAGTTTACATAAATCTTCATTCTTTCATCCTTCGGGAACATTACTTTTTTTTTTTGGTTGATTTCGGTTCAACACACACACACACACACGACTGATTTTTTTTAAAAGCAGTATTTTTTATTTTACAAATAAACAATACGAAAAACACACAACAACCGACAATCATTGGATATCCTGTTCCCATCACCTTCAAAAAAAAAAAAATAAATTATCAAGTTCAAAGCTGCAAATATACAGGGTTCTAGGTGAATTGAATTAAATTTTATCGAGCAAAAAAGCCCCTAAAACAGAGGTATAGGTGTGAAGAGAAAGTGCTATTTTTCACATGTTTTTCATCCAAAAAAACATCACTATTTTTTGAATGAAACTTTTTCATAATTTATAAGTTTATTTTTAAATAATGGGAAAAATGTTAACTTTTGTTCACGAAAAAAAAGCTAAAGTTGATTATAGAAAGACAAACACCCCTACTTAAATTACTCCATGTGATTGGAAATTTGAAATGAATGAAACTAATCAAAACAATAACATCCATAACTTTATTGATGATAATCATGATTATGATTCGAAAAACAACACAAACACGTGGTTTTTTCACGAAAACTAGAGATAAAAAAATCCAGTTTAAACTGGATCAATTAATGTTGATATTGCTGATGAAATCATTAAATGATACAATTAAATCATCAAATATGATTATTATTTATCATATCTATAAATGTGTGCAATTCAATTTGATTTGATTTTTTGTTCTTCGAATGATTTCAAAGAAATGAAATTGAATTTCAGTGAAACGTGGTGAAAAAAAATAAAATATTTCCCACTATATTTTATTACAAATGACATGTTGATCAATCATTATCAAATCGCAAATGACTCACATCTTGACATTATAATTAAAAATAATTATCTTCAAATGGGTTTTACGGTGGCTAAATTTTATTCAAGGTTTCATTTTTCTTGGTATCATTTGGCTTTTTTTTTGCACTTGAAATTTTATGGAAAATGGAACTGTTTTCTTTTTTTTTATTTCGTCATACGAAAGATTCAACAGTATTAAACCATTTATATACAAGTACAAAAATGGTAGACATTTGTTGTGTACGTGTGTGTCGTAAGATCTAATAAAGTATACACTATTCACTGTGATAAAAGTAATTTGCTATTTGGTACAAATTATTTTAAGTGTATTGCTCTCTCTCTCTCCTTCTCTCTTTCTTTCTTACATATCCAATATATCGAAGAATAAATTGAGAAATTCCGTATATCATTTTGCACGAAAACAAAAAAAAAATGAAGAGGACGTGTTGTTTTGTTAACCGAAGAAAAGTCACTATAATCACATGAGTACATTTATATTATGTGTTGTTGTTGTTGTTGCTGTTGTTGTTGTCGGGCATTGACAATCATCATACTTTTCATCTGAAAGCTTCAAGGTCAAAAAATAAATAAACTTTGTCATTGTCATCATCATTTTGATGATGATCATAATAATCAAATGGAAATTGAAAAAGGAAATGGATCCTATCATCACATTGTCAACTATCGTCTTTCGATTCTAAATGTTATAAAAAATAGTTTCAAAGTCTGTGTAAGTAATTGTTTCTGCTGATTCTTTGAATTTAATTTGATTAATATCTAACGACGTCAACAATTTATTTGTACTAAAGACAAATATATCAAAGAGAAAAAAAACTAAAAGACAATGAATTAAAAGCAAAATAAAGAATGAAAAAAAAGTTCAAATCAAATCCATTTAGGCGAGAAAATGTGTGTGTGTGTGTGTGTGTGGTGTGTGGAAAAACTATTTTCATTTTCAAGATCCGAAACATTGAAACTGGTAGAAATACGGCCAGAGAAAAAATTTTATATTTTAGGTAGAAATTAAGGAAAAAATGAATCTCTTTTTTTCTGAAAAAAAGTTTTGTTAAAATCAAAATTGAACGATGTTCTAAAAATTGATTTAACAAAAAAAAAATCGAATTAGTAACTAATAAATAATTATATCTAATAGCTAATGGTAGCTTCACTACATTGCATTTTTTTTTGTTTCATGAAACAATAATAATGACAATGACGGCTAGCCAAAAACAAACTAAAAAAAACTATGAATTAATGTTGAAAACATGTATGTGCGCGTAGTATATATAGCTTGAATTAAAGTCAAAAAATATAATTTTTATTCATCATATAATTTACGTAATTTATAAGATAAGTGATGATTACAAATAAAAATATGAGAAAGAAGATATCGTTGGTTCCAAAAAAAAAAAAAAAATTTTCGGAATTTTTTTTTCCTATAGTTTGACAAAACAAAAGTGACGTGGTATTGGTGTGGGAGTTGTGTAGTGTAATTGAAGAATCCCACTTTTCAATGTTTCATGTTTTTGTTGAAACTTAAGATGGCATACAACAACAATGGTCTACTACAATTTCTTCTTTCTATTTTTTTTTTTTAATACACACAATGAATTGAAATAAGAATTATTTAACATTATCGACATCACTTAATAATCAAACAACAATCAATTCTGATGGTTGACAACATTTTTCAATCAATCTTTTTTGATGACATTCATCAATTTGAAATTGAATGGTTTTTTTGTTCTGTTTTGTTTTGTTTTGTTTATGCAAGCAAACTTGTTTTGGCTTCAACAATGCAATGTTTGATTGATGTTGACAGCCACATACACACACACACCATTGATTGCTATTTGAAATTGATTGATGATCCAGAATCCAAGAAAAAGCGATAACAACGAAGGAATGAACAAAAAAAAATCTAGGTCAAATAATGGTGATGAAGAAAGTGATTTTCCTTGAATGATTTTGAATAGTTATAATTCGTGCATTTTGAAATCATATATGTGTGTGGGTGTGTTTGGATAGCTTAACTTTAGTATTTGATAAGTTAATAAAGCCATTGTTTTGAACATTTGAAACCTGTTTTTGTGAGGTAGATCCGGTTTCATCGAAAAAAGATTCATGTTACATAAAACATAGCTTTAGAAAAAATGATGATGATGATGATGATGATAATAATGCCAACCTACAAACCGAAAAAAAGGAAAATTCTGTTGAAACGTCAAAATTCATCATTCAACAAAGTATTACCTCTCACTCACTCACTCACTCTTTCTTTTTTTGTTAGGAATCAGATGACGATAGACAATATTTCTGAAATGGATGAATGGCTTTATATTGGCCTAAAATAATCAGAGAATTGACAACAAACAAATATGAAAAACATCAAAACGATGCTTTTTTTCTCTCTCTCTCTCTCTCTGGTATTTTTGTGTTTTATTTGAAATTTCTTTCCCCAGTTACCGCTTTTCCCCCCATTATCGACAGTCGTCAAGTTTACCCCAAATCTGTTGCAATTTTTTTTTGCATTTCTATTAACGAAAAGTTGATTTACAAAAAAAAGAACTGAATATAAATTAAATCAATAAACGAAACAAAAAAAATAACTATGCAAAATTGAACGAAACGAATATTTATTTCAACAACAAAAACAATAAAAGAATAAGGAAAAAAGCATATCAACAAGTGTGTGTATTGTATGTGTGATTGGTGAGCTGATGAGCAGGTCAAATATGAAAATTTAAATCATTTTTTTTACTGTTTTATTCTTAAAAAATATATAATTTTTTTTTTGATTAAAGAAAAATTTAAGAATTCATTCCTTTATAATGATTATTAATTAATTAGTTGACCATTATTATGAATAATATGACTAGCCAATATACCATTCTGTAGGCTAGTTATAAATAAACTTTCTTGTAATTCTAATTCATTAATTGATTCCATATTTGTAACCATATTTGTTGTTGTATCAATCTGTGTCATCGATATTAATTCACCATCATCATCATCATCATTATCGTCATCGTCCATATTGGTCGTTAGATTTAATCTTGTAGTACGTGTTGTTTCTATTGATTGATTTCAATGGGGAAAAAAATAAAAAAAAACAAACAATAATAAAAAAATGTTAATCGATTCTGTTGAACAAACAAACCTAAATTATCTTTAGGAACAAGACGACCACTGTTACTACCACCAACACAACCGCCACCAAATGTTGATTGTTTCCATACCATATTACGACCAACACCGGTGGTTATATCGCCACGATTAATATCGATTGCATTATTATTATTATTATTATCATTATCATCATTATTTATTCTATTATTTTGATTGGTTGTTTTCTGTCGTTTACGATACAAAAACCACTGTAAACGATGCATAATGGATGTGAATATTGTATAGAATTCTTTGCGAAAATTATCATTCAACCATGTATATAAGAATGGATTATAACATGTTGAAGACATTGCAATCAAATGAAATGTCATGAATAAAGCTCTTGAATGTTTCCAATATGCGATTGGTATGTAAAAATCTTCCATCTAATCATTATAATGGATTATATGGTATGGTGATGAGAGTAAGTAAAAATAAAAACAAAACAGATATTATATAATTAAATTATAAACCGACACATACACACAGAGAAAAAGAAACAAATGAATCAAAGACTAACCAAATTATATGTATTTAATGGTAACCAAGAGATAACAAATATAACAACCATAAATATGAGCATCATATTTGTACGACGTGCACGTTTCTTCTCTAACCATTGTCTTTGTGATGAATAATTTCGTAAACCTAAACGATTATGCATACGATACCAAAGTCGTAGAAATACTTTTGTATAACAAAATGTTATGATACAAAATGGTATTACAAATTGCATGATTGTTGTCATTAGGCCAAATAATAAACGTAATTGATCATTTGGCCATACTTCATCACAATACCATTTACGTTTATGTAGATTTTGTAATAAATTTTTCAATGTTTCAATTGAACGTTGTTGTTGTTGTTGTTCATCATCTGTAATTATCAATGTCGATTTCGTCGTTGTTGTTGATGATGATGATATTGTTTCATTATAAAAATGATCATTTTGATGATACATTAAATATTGATATTGTGTCTGTTGTTGTTGTTGTTGTTGATGTCTTGATGGTGATAATTTTGTTGCCGATGTCGATGTTGTTGTTTGTGGTACAGGTATTAGATCAATAAATATTCCATATGGTAATGTCAATATAAATGCTAATAACCAAATAATTATAATAATTATAACACTATGTATTATATTTAAATGTTTTTTAAATGGATAAATAATAACCATATAACGTTCAATTGCTATAGACATTAATGTCAATACGGATATGTAAACGGACATTCCTTTATTTTATTTTTATTTGAAATAGAATAAAAAAAGAAAAAAAAATTTGCAATTTAAATATGATTCATTCAAAATTGGAATATAATTCTCTGAAACTAAAAAAAAAAAAAAAAAAACAAACCTTGTACAAATGGTACTAGACGACAGAATATTGGCCCGAATATCCATTCTTTATATGTCAATAGATATAATGGTGTGAATGGTACAGCAAATAAACAAAGAAGTATATCGGATAATGCAAGATTCGAGATGAATATATTTGTTACTGAACGCATTGATGGATGACGAAATACAACCCAACATACTAATATATTACCAATAATACCAATGATGAATACAAGAAAATATGTATTATATAAAAATAATTTAAATATCATATTCAATTCAGTCGAACGTTCAATTAGATCCAGATAATGGAACCAATGATGATGATAACGTAGAAATAATTTTATTGTTTCATTATTTAATGCTTGATATATTTCATCAATTGTAAATGATGATGAACTATTCAATAATTGTTGTTGCTGCTGTTGTTGTTGTTGTTGTTGTTGTTGTTGTTGCAGTTGTTCATAATTGATGGTTGTCGATGATGAATTTATTGTTTCCATAATCATAAATGATTCAATCTGTGGTAATGATTGATCAATTATTGTTGCCATTGTGATTACAGAAAAAAAATGTTTGTAGTTGCTGTTGTACTATTAGTTATTCAAGATGAAAAAAATGAATTTTTTTTCTGTTTGATCATTCCTAGTTTTTTTTTGGAGAGAATACAATGTAAAATAAAATAAAGATCAGAATTAGTCAAAGAAATGAACTATGAATATCAATAAAAAAAAATTTGTCTAAATTCTTGTCATCTATATCATTTTTATAAGATTTTTGAAGAAGAAAAAAAACCAAACGATAAACACCATAATGAATGAATGGAAATGAAGAACGTTATTAATTGAAAACAACCGAAGCAACAACAATAATAATAACAGAACTTAATCCTTGTACTTTTGTATTTTTATTGAAAAACAATGATAAATGAATGAATAATAATATTCATGAATAAATGAATGAATGAATGACGTATTCAAATTTATTAATATTCAGTTGTGGATGGTGAAGAATGGGGTAAGGGAATGGTGAAAGTGGTGGAAAAAATTGATAAATGGATGTATAGTGCAAACATTTTTTTTATGTTGTTTTTTTTGTATTCGATATTCACTAAAGAATTGATTATTGTAAATTTGATTTTAGTGATATATTGTTGATAATGATGATTTTCTTTTCCAAAACTTTCTGAGTAATTTTGCATTTTTTTGTTTTCAATTCAAAATTCACAATTTTATTTGTTTCGAAAATTGATAATCTATTTTCAATGACATTTTATGACATTTTTTTGACAATGTATTCGATATTTGTCAGGTTTTTTTCGGGCGAAATTGAAAAGAAAAAACTTTTTTTTTTGTACAAATTTCATAAACAAAAAATTCAATAAAAGCTTAGGAAACAAAAGAAAAGTAGAAAGAGAAAGAAAAAACCTACAAAATTCTCATCAAATTTTCATCATTCATCATTTGTTTTTTTTTTTTTGGCAACAGCCGTTCACCATCTTTCAAATAACAAAAAAAAAATAAATAAAATAAAATAATAACCTTAACATTGTAAATAGAAATCTTAACAAAAATTTCTAGCTTCAATCCATGAAATCATTTCTCTCATTGATTCATTCATTCAATTTCATTGTCACATTTTTTTTCAGAATCATTTGTTACTACTATTTTGTTTGCGCTAAAAAAAACTATTGACAATAAAACATTTCAAAACAATCAAATGTCGATAATATATAAATATATAACGAAAACAATGGATTGAATTTTGTTTTCAATTCTACCGGATTTGAATTAGACTTCATCATCATCATCATCATCATCATCATTATCATTGTGAAGCCAAACACATGATGCGTTTTATCAAGTGTTTGTTTGATTTTCTAAGATTGTGTTTGTCAATTTTTTCCAAATAGAATGCGAATGACAAATGAAAACATTTGACAAATAAATGGATTGAAAATTACCTGTAAATTTTGTTTCGTTTGTTTTTTTAGTGCATTTATTGACATTTATCTGACTATTTGATTATGTTATTGTTGTTATTATTGTTGTTACTGTAATGATTAATGAAATTGAATCGAAACGAGACAATCGTCACTGTAATGTACCGGATATTCGATAATAATAAATTTTGAATGTTTTTTTTTCAAATTGTTTACATTATTTTAACATGAGAATGAACAAACAATGTATAAATAGTGACCAGTATCATTACATGATTTTTTGTTTGTTACATTCGAATAGAATCCTACATCAATTAATCTATAATTCATTATGATGCTTGTTGAAATTTGAATTGAAAAAATGATTATGACATTTTTTAGTTTGAATGTGATATATATGAAAATGAATTGTGGAAAACAGAAAAAAATTGAAACAAAAACATTAATATCCTCCAAGGAAATCGTGTTCGGTTTTTGACATCATTTCCGCTTGAATTCTAATAATAAACATCTTGTTTTTATTGACATCTATCATAAATTTTTTTTTACGACTGAACACACACACACACACACAAACACAGACAAACAATGTTTACGTTTACTTAAGTAGTAATAATAAAGGAAAATAAAAAAAAAATTGGTTATAGTTATCGAATAGAAGCCAATTATCGTAAATATCATGACCATCATCCATCATCATCATTCATATTCGATGATTTGTATTCGAATTCAGTATAACTTTTTTAATGATCAATTTTTTTTTATGTTCAATTGAAGAAAATTCTATAAATTGTGTCCATAGCCATTATAAATGGATGAATGTTGTGGAAATAGAAATAGGATGTGGTTGTTGGAATATTCTCATCACAACAAAAAAACAACAACAGCATGTACAACGAATGTAATACTCGAAATTCAATTCTACTAGAAATATTATTAACGTATATAATTGATTGATGACATTTGATTTCAAATATAATGATCACCGGCATCTAAATGACCCTTTTTTCCAGATTTCATTCTTTTTTTTCCATCCAGACATTTCGACTTGGAAACAAACTGAAAAATAATTCAATTCAAACACAAACAAACACTCAACTATGTGCATATGTAATCTACAACCAAACTAACTCCAGCACATTTGGTCACACAAATTCGAATGGCATCTTCCTGTGGGAATTTCCGTTTTTTTTTTTTTTTTTTTTTTAGTTTCAGAATTTAAAAGGAAAAAAATCCTGGAATTTTTCAATGTGTCCCATGCACCAATAACCATTATTTTAACCTTTATTCATTTTTTTTAAAGAATTCTAAAAAATTTCGCTTTACATCTCTTACCATCAAATGAGGAGACTAATTTTCTTTGTATACAGAATAATTTTTTTCTTTCTTTCTTTCATTCCACACGTACACACAGATACACTTCATGTAAATAAATAATGAATTTATTGTTATGGGTGTGTTGTTTTAAAATTTTTAAAACAAAATCTTATTCCATCATCATCATCAGTGTCATTATTTTGTAAAAAATGGCGGTTAATTCACATTGATGATTGATCGTCGAATGACCATTATGGAATGTGAAAAGTGAAAATAGAAATCCATTTAAATGTAAAAATGCATTAAAATTTAAAATTTAAATTTTTATATATTCTTATACTTTGCAAGAAAAAAAAATTTATTCGTTTTTTCTTCCTTCCCTTTTGATGATGATGATAATGTTCATAATCATTGGAAATACTGATCGAAGATGAAATGAATTTTGTATGCTATAAAAAAAAATTCACGGAAAATTACTTTCAAGTCTTCTTTGTCATTTTGTCTTTATCGAATGTCATAAATGATATGCAGAAATCGATCGAAAAATATCGTGGTGAAATTGCAAAAATTTTTTTCGTTGCTATTATTTTAACAAAATTTACAAAACAAAACAAAAACATCACTATCAATAGTAGAGATTTTTTTTCCCTTCACTTTATTCTTTTCTCACATTAGTTCATCATCTCAATATTTGTTCGACATATCATTTTGGTTATTATCAATTGTCATATTATTTTGTGATGATGATGATGGAAATACTTTTAGTTCCGTTACAAGTCATTAGGATTATCAATTGGAAAACAACTTTGTAGTGATTTTGACGAAAATGATGATGATGATAATGTGTGTCAGGGAATTGTTTTTGTCAGCAACTGATTTTTCTGATATATGTTCTAAGTCTTGGTATTTGGTTTTGTTAATGTGTTATTTTGATGTGTAATGCACGAAAACGAAAAAATCATTAATGTATCGAAATATTATTATTATTTTTATTTTTTTTTTTTTTTTTTTGATTCAATCCTAATGGCAAATGTTTCATTTTTTTTTCTTCTTTATTACTTCTTTACTACCAACAAAAGAAAAAACACTGACTGATACACCCAATTCGAATGAACAAAAGCATGTTAATCTCTTTTCCGGTTAATAGTATTTATGAATGAAAACATGTACCACTTTATATGTGTGTGTGTGTGGGTGTGGGTGTGAGGAATTGCAAATGACAAATAGATTCTGGCAGAGAAAAAGAGTGAAAGAAAAAACATCTAAAATGTTCATATTTTTTTTTTAACAGCAACAATTGTTGTTGTTGTCTTGTTTCTAACTTGAAAAATTTTAATTTACGCCACATTTTCATTGTTGGAATTTTCATCGACTTTTTTTTCTCCTCCCGACACACGCTTATAAATGTACAGTCTTTTTCAATTATTTTCAGTTGTTTTCCAGAGAAAAAAAAACAATATGCTTGATCAGATTAGATTCAAATAAGATTAGAACAATGATGAAATGCGTCGTATTTGATGTATGTATTCCATGTTCAGTTTGTTTCATCATTGCAACCAACTTTTCATTTATTCCAATATTCCGTTCTTTCTCCCTCTCTCTCTCTCTCTCTCTCTCGTTTCGTTGACTTTCATTTGACGTATATCATTACCATCGCTTTGAAAAATCTGAATTTCAAGTTCTTAAGAAGAAAAACTAGAAGACGAAAAAAATGCGATTTACCAAAAAAAAAAAAAAAACATTTCATTTCAGTTGGTTCATTCATGGATCAATTTTTTCCTTTCAATTTCCATTTCATTTATTTTTTCTTCGCTCTCTCTCTCTCTCTCTCTTTTTATTTTGTTTGTGTTTATCGAATGTTAATGAATTTGTGTTAATCAATGAAATTAATTAATAGAGCGGAAATTATTTCGTTTATGTAGTGGAACTAAAAAAAAAAAAAAATAATTACATGAATTTAGTGTAATGAATAAATATTAGTATGTGCATATTTTGTACAACGGATTAACGGCAAATAGTATTCAATTAGAGAGAGAGAGAGATGATGATGATGATGATGATGAATATAATGATAAAGATAATGAAAAAAAAATACTTTCGTTACTTACCATTTAATAGTAGTTTGGATATTTGTATGTTTCAAGTGGACGTGTGTATGTGTGTGTGTGTGTGTTTGTTCATTAATATTCATTTATGAATTTTTTTCACATTTTTTGCCATCTATAATGTGGAATTAAAAGTTTATATGTTTTAGTTTGAAATTTATTTCATTTTATTTCAATTTAGTTGCGTTTTTTCCCCGTTTGTTTGTCCAAATTGCCAATTCATTAATGTTGGTGTTTTTAATTTTCATATGTACCAATCACATGCACACACACACACACGCACACACATAATGCAGGTGTGTGTGAATGCCACGCACTTTAAAAAATAATAAACAGAATATTCTGATTAATCAATTTTTCGAATTCGAAATCATAGAATAGAATTGAACTAAAAAAAAACATTAAGTCATCGAATATGAAGTTGTTTTTCAAAAATAAATTTAAATGAATTGATAGAAAAAAATTCACAAAAAACGAATTTTGAAAGTTTTAATTTTTAACACACACAGACAACGATGCAGAATTTTTTTGGCAGTCATATAAGGTGATTAGTTTGGTTGTTTTTATAGTGCTGAATTCAATTCAATCAATTTCGATTTGGATTGTTTTTGTTTATTCACTGTTGTTGTTTTTTATCCTGATTTGATCGATAAAATTTTTACGAAACTTTAACTGTTTTTTTTTGTTGTTGATTGTAAAATGTTGTTCGTTTTGAATATTCGACATGGAATCCGAACCATCAATGGTCTGATATGATCCAATTGTCAAGAATCATTGTCATATTCTGGCCATTCTTTGTGTGCAACGGAGATTGCTCGGTAATGGGCCATGAAAATGAGATGGAAAAAAACCAAATTGCAAATTCAAATCATGCGCATTAATAATTTAGATGAGAGAGAGATGGAGAATAGAAATCAAATTTTTTTAAAAAAAATAAAAATTTTTCATTATTAATCAAATACTTGTCAGGGAATTTTTTTTTTATGGTATACGTTTTTACAATGTCTCCATTTTAAAATCTATTTTAATTAATCAAACTAATTATTTGTTTGATTAAAACTAAAAATTCTGACTTATCTTTTTCCTTCGTTTTTCTTTCATTTATTGAAATTGATTCAATTTTTTTCCTTAATTATTTTTTTTGTTATAAATTCTTGAATTCTGATCAGCGCAGAGTAGTGAAAGCAATTTGATTCAAATGAATTTTTGCGATTCTCTGACGATGATGATTTTCAGCCACATACGTACGTAAAATAAAGGGAGAGAGAGAGAGCTTGATAAAGAAAAAATCAAAATTCCAAATTACGAAATTTAAATCAACCTATTTTCATTTTTAATATTGAAAAAAGAATGTTTTTTTCACCTCGCCTTTTGACCGTTTTACAATGTTGATATTTATCTTATATAACATTTATATTGTTTTTTGTATTTAAATTTTAAATTAGACACAAAGAAAAAAATTCTTATTCTTTTCATTCTTTAGAAATTTTTTTTTCAGTTTTTTCAAAAAAAAAAAAATTCCAATCAAATTCAGTTGTTGTTACCATTTATTTTTCATACAATACAGACAATCAAACATTCCAAAATCCATATGAATACGGTGTTTATATGCAAGAAATAAACGAACTGCACATGACATATATGATAGTAGTTTTGAGATTTTAAAATTCCGCATTCGATTCTGGTTTCAGTTCTATTTTTTCATCCTTGAATAGAGAGAGAGAGAGAGAGAGAGAGAGAGAGAGAGAGAGAGAGAGAGAGAGAGAGAGAGAGAGAGAGAGAGAGAGAGAGAGGAGAAAAACGTAATGCTGTATGGAAAATTGAAATAAATTTGTTTTTTCTCTTGGATTTCCATTATTATTATCGTTGGTGTTGTTGTTGAAAATTTTTACGCTCAAATTATATCTGGAAAAAATTATATGAAATTTTTGTTGGATTTGTGTGTGTGTGTGTGTGGAGTAAAATTTGATTCAGTTTTTATTTATCATCATCATCATTTTACGATTTTCATGATAGTAGATATTTAATTGTTTGTTTGGTCGATTCTTTTGTTGATTTTAGCTCCATTAGCAATACGAACTAGTATTAAAATAGGAATGAATCACGTAGCAATTTTTTTTTTGCTTCACCAAAAAAAAAAAAAACAAACTCTACACTCAATCTAATCAAAAAGCTATTAAAATATTTGCTGAACTTTTGTTCATTTTTTCTCTGGATCGACCATTCCTTCGGATTGAATGAAGAAAGAGGAAAAAACACTATCAATGTAGAACAATGAAAAATAAAATGAACAAAAATCGGAATCGAAATTTTTTTTTCTAACCATCACTGGATCGAATTCAATTTCATAATAATAATGAAAAAACGAAAGTCACATGTTTTGGGCAACTGGAAAATAACAAATTCCGGTTATATATTAAATGATTATCATGTGTGTGTGTGGGAGTGTGTACAATGTCCAGACGTCTGTATATATTTTTTTACCTCAACAGAATATTATCCTTACTAAACAGAAAAAATAAAAAACAAGACATTCATAAATATGATTCTTTTTTCTTTTTTGTGGTCAATTTTGTGGAAACAAGCAAAATCCAGAGACAGAGAGAGAGAGAGAGAGAGAGAGAGAAAAAAAAAAATAATCTTTGATTCAATGAACCAATCTAATAGTTTTTTTTTCATACTGAACATCATTATTTCAAATACTGTGTTATTATTGATAATAACAATTATCATTAACATTGCCATCACCACAACCAACATTGACATTTTTTTGTATGTATCTAAATTTCTCACTATTTTTTTTTACTGTTTGACAATAAGGCTATTTGGTTTTTTTTGTTGTTGTTATTAGCTATTAATATATGTTGTAAATCTAATGTGGTCAATTTTTTTTTATTTCTATCTTGTCTCTATGTGTGTATGTGTGTGTAGTTGAAAATTATTAAATTCTATCGCGTTCATTCGATCGAATGCGTTAATAATAATGTCTTGTAATTTTTTTTTCTCTTTTTTTTCGTATCGTTCATCATCTAAAGAGTTGCAACACCAAAGTATGGTATGAAACCAAGACTGACCCGGGTCTATGTATGTGTGTTTGTTTCATGAACAAAAAGTTTCATGCATTTGATTATTTGTTGTTGTTGTTGTTGTTATCACCATCGACTACAACCAATTTTTTTTTCTTTCTCCATTATCCATCAATGACATCAACGATGGGACGGAGATGTTCATTTATTATTCATTTTTCTGTTGTTGTTGTTGCTGAGGCTATATGGCTATTTTGGAACATAATTCCTATGAATTTGGAATTTGTTTCCAATTTTTTTCTCCCTCTCTCTCTTTCTTTTTCTATCAATAATAATGATAATGATTCAGATCGATTCTCGTTTATCATTATCATTATCATTGTTATTGTCGTTTTGGGGATGTACACACAATTGACTTTGATGAGCATATCGTTTTTTTTCTTCTGTTTGATTTCGATCGATCGATCGATTCATATTTCATATTCTATTTCCAACATCATCATCATCATTATTATTACTTCATCATGATAATTACTCATTAGAATTCTGAAAAACAAAAATAATAATCATAGATTTGTTGCAGATGTGAATTCTTGATAATAACGATAAAGAATTATTGTAATAACCATCATTATAATTAATTGATGATGATTATTATGATTTTACAACATCACAGGTATCAATTTTCTGTCGAAAATACAAAGAACGTTCGGATTCTATATTATTTCTCTTTCTATCTATTTAGATTTTAATCATGTGTTACGTTTTTGTGTATCTGATGTATGTATGTTGTCCATTTTGATTTTAAATCATTAATTATAGATGAAGAAATGGTTTTTCTCTTTATACAATCTTCGAACAGCTGTTAAAGTTATTCGAAAACTTTTTTCGTATATCAAAATGCAAGTTCAGAGAAATAGAAATTTCTCAACACTGATATATTACCTAATAATAATGCATTTATTTAATTTTTTCTGAACATTTTGTTTTTTAATGCCAATTCTTATTAATTCTAACAGGAATAAAAAAAATGCAAATCGAGCCAGAAAGTAGAGAAAAATAAAATATCTGTTTATTCTCATCATATTATCATATTGGATTCTGGACACATCAATTATGTATGATGTTGCGATCGACTAGAGAATTGTTCATCGTACTGTAACTGTGTGTTGGCGTCTGATGTGTTATTTTTATTTATTGTTAAGTTGTATGTGTGTGTGTGTGTTTTGTCATTTTTTTTAAAAATGAAAATAACTTATTTACTGCGTTTTATCGCACCAACAAATATTAATCTCAAACAATTTGTACGCACAGTGTGTGGAAGATGTGGATTATTTGAAAAATGAAATTGGATTTTTTTTTTGTTCTTTTTTTATCAACAAAATTTAGATTTCTTAATACCAAAATTTAAGTAAGTGTTACAAATATAACAAATGGTATTATTATCATCATTGCATTGATGTTTGTGGAATGAATGTGTGAGTGGGTGAGTGATTTGACGAAAAAAAAATTTTTTTTTCACAACAACAGAATTAATGGGCGTTGGATAGAATTAGTATGAAAAACCTTTCTTGTTTATTCTATTTGTTTTAGCAAAATTATAATTTTCTTTTTTTTCCATTGATCTTATATTTATATTCATCTATTTCGGTTATTACAACAATGGGTGGCTCTCGACCAATCATTCATAGACATTCATGAGGTCCAAAATGTTCTTTCCAGTTTTCCCTGTGTGTGTGTGTGTGTGTGTGTTTTGTAATGTGTAGAATCCGTATGTTTTTGACATTATTTGATTTTATTCTTTCTATTCATTGGTTCTAAATGTCATTTGCAAAAGCATTGTTTGAATTATTATCATTTGTTAATTCATTCTGTTCTGTTTTATTCAAAAAAAAAAAAAATTTCCAATTTTATTTTGTACAAACTTTTTTTCCCACAATTCGATTATATTCCAGTCATTTTTTATTATTAATTTTTAATTAAAACAAATTATTATGATTTTTGATGTTTAAAATGTCACAATTATTCATTTGAATTGATGAATTTGGACAAAAAATAAATCATCAAATTCAATGAATGAATATTTTTATATTTTCTAAACAATTCAATGATGAAAACAATGAATGTTTGTAATAAAAATATCAAATAAATATTGAATAAAATTTCCAAATGTTCCATACGCATTTGTATTTTTGTATTGATGTTGATGATTGATCATCATAATAATTGTTAGATGTCAATCCCGATTTTTCCATCTGATATGCTTTATTTAATTGTTCATTATGCCAGAATTTATCTGACCACCGTTTAGTTAAACCACAGCCAACAAATTGAGCTAACCTATTTGAATGAGAATTATAAATCATCACAATAAATTTATTATCACCATTGTTTATTATATTTACACTCGATTAAATTCTTCATGATAATAGGAAAAATGATGATGATGATTATTGAACGTTTTTCGATTGATTGGAATGGCAACCAACATTGATATAATAGTTGAATCTATTTTAATCGGTGGTAGATATAATAAATCTTTACCTAAAATAAATTGTAGAAAATCACCACTACTTTTCGTCATAGGCATTCCAATTTGTTGTGGGTGATTCCGTTTACGTTTATTAAATTTGCCATTTGTTTTATCAAATAAAAAATCTAAACCTTCTTTACGATTTTTTGTAATGATCATATTATTATTTAAATTCTTTGTAATCACATTATTATTTTCGATAAATTTCTGTAATTTAAAAAAAGGATTAAGTTATGCTCAACATGTGTGTGTAGTATAAATGTTAAAGGATTACCGTTTTAAAAATATCCATTGAAACAGCTGAACCGACCATTATAATTTGTCCAGAACGAAACATTTTGAATAATTCCCAAATATTATCAATTTGATTACGATCCGGTATGGTTAATTCAGATAAAAGACAACCGGAGTAAGTACTGGTCAATACTAGTATAGCGACCGTCCAACATATAATGGTAATTTTTTTCGACAAATTTAATCGATTGAACCATTGATATGGTTGGCGAAAAAATTCTCGCAATGCAATCCATACTAAATGTTCTTCACGATTGTTTCGATTATTATTATTATGATATCTTATTATTGGAGACATAATAGCATCGTGAACAAAATTGAATAGAAAAAATAAAATAAAAACCATAATCAATGTAATCCATATGGGCATGCTCAATGGTCGTAAAAGTTTATTCATTTTTTGTTCAGATTTCACAGTGTTTGTTATAAATGTTAATGGATCAATCCAATGTGGATAAAGATAATCGACCATTCTATATCGTTCAGGAGTCATTACAATTCCACCATAGGCAAGGTCGATTGACTATTGTTTTTTTTAATGAGAAAAAAAGGTTTTTTGCTCAAGTATTTGAAAATTTTTACAATTAAACTTACATCATTAATCATCCCGCCAATTAAACCATTCCATTCACCATTATCATTTACAATACCATAATGGCCATTAAAATCAATTAGATTGAATGTAAAATTAAAATATTTGGCCAATGTTACAAACATTTCATCTTCAAAACCATTATGAATTTGATGATTTAAATTAACAGCTGAATATGGTGGATTCTTTGAAATTTTTTTTTATTGTGAAAACAAAATTTTAACTCATTTTTTTAGGACGTACACATAGAAAAATGAGTCATGAAATAATTCGATCATAAATGCCATTGAAATATTTCTCGACTTTTAGTCAAGTTATTTCATGACTCATTTTTCTATATGTAATTCAATTTCAAATCAAATTTTAAAAAAACTTACAAAATTCGTGCCGATACGTAATTTTCTTTGTTGTAAATTTATTCTCATCGTTATTGTTTTGATAAAAGTCGAATATCCACTTTTATTATCACCATTTGATGAATAAATGATGAATGAATGTCTGAGAATTCCAGACAAAAATTGTCATCTGACAATTTTTTACATTAGATCCATTTCGATTACAGTGGGCACTCTACTAATGAACAATTTGCTTTCCAGAGGAAAATTCATAACTAGAATTTGTTCGTAGGTCGAATTTTTAACATTTTAATGAATATATAAAGTACAGAAGCAGGAAGCTTCTATCCAACTATCAAACTGAATTTTTTTTTTGCTAAAATTTTGTTCATAACTCCGAATATTCGTAAATCGAGTACCCACTGTATTAATCGATCGATTTATTACTATTATTATCATTGAATTGTGTAATTGAATCCCTATAATTACCATTGTTTATTATTACTAAAATCCAATCAATAACCGAATATTAATTATTAGTATTGTAATAATTTCTATATATAGTAAATGTATTCATTTTTATTTTCAAGTTTTATTTCAAAATTAAACAAAACAAAAACACCAAAACAAAAACAACAGCAACAATCACACCAACAACCACGTCATCCGTTCCTTTGGCTTTTACAAAGTACGAAACACCAGCTACACAATACACAATTATCGATCGGATAAATACGAAAAAATTATTTCCATTATAAGTAATAGTGAAGCGATTGAAATGTGAATAAAATAGACATAAAATATGACAATCATATTTTCCATTCGTATTGTTATAAATGATGTTTTCAATGTTTCATTATCATAATAATCATTGTTATTGGTTAAATCTTGAAACCAATATAAATCTAATCGATCACGATCAGATAATGTCGATGTTGTTGTTGTTGTTGTAGATGGATATCTTTGATTTTGATAGAATCGTCTTAAATACAATGAAAATTGTAGGCCCCAACATTTCTGCATACCGGTGGCAATTATACGTTGAATTCTTATTTTTGGGAAAAAATCAAATTAATGAATGAATAAATTGAAAGAAACAATTTACAATTGATTAAAGTCGTTATGATATTGATCATATAAACGGCTGTTTATTGCAAATGACATTATATTTTGATTTAATGTTGTGGATGGATTATTCGGTGGTAGATAGAATGAACCATCACCTAATGATATCCGTATCAGATTTGCTCGTTCTTCTGATAATAATATGGCCAATTGTCGTCGTCGACTTTTACCATTATACTGATAATAATGATGATGAGAGAATTTTGTCGATTCATCCATCAATATTCGTAAACTTTCACGATGATTTTTAATCATTACAGTAAGATTATAATGCTTTCCATGTTGATGGTTTCCAATCAAACGTTTTTCCATAAATTCCTGAAGATTAATCACAAAAAAATTGTATCAAAATAATATCCCACTAATAATAACAATCAAATAAATATTTGAATACCTTTAAATAATTTAACTCAGGGGTCGGCAACCTGCGGCCCGCGGGCCGCATGCGGCCCATTGCAACTTTTTGTGCGGCCCACCAAAGCACCAACATAATTTGAGGAAAAATATTAAATTAAAAAAATATTGTGTCGACAAATTTGCAACAATCAACATCACAAATGACAAATCCAACCTAACACGATCAGTTCAGAATTCAAAATTCAAAATCGAGAAAATAACAAGTCCAAACTAACACAATCAATTCAGAATTCAAAATTCAAAATTCAAAATCCAGAAAATAACAAGTCCAAATTAACACAATCAATTCAGAATTTAAAATTCAAAATCCAGAAAATAACAAATCCAACCTAACACGTCTAGTTGAGAATCGAGAAAATAACAAATCCAACCTAACACGACCAGTTCAGAATCGAGAAAATGGCAAATCCAACCTAACACGATCAGTTCAGAATTCAAAATTCAAAATCGAGAAAACATCAAATCTAACCTAACACAACCAGTTCAGAATTTAAAATTCAAAATCGAGAAAATAACAAGTCCAAACTAACACAATCAATTCAGAATTCAAAATTCAAAATTCAAAATCCAGAAAATAACAAGTCCAAATTAACACAATCAATTCAGAATTTAAAATTCAAAATCCAGAAAATAACAAATCCAACCTAACACGTCTAGTTGAGAATCGAGAAAATAACAAATCCAACCTAACACGACCAGTTCAGAATCGAGAAAATGGCAAATCCAACCTAACACGATCAGTTCAGAATTCAAAATTCAAAATCGAGAAAACATCAAATCTAACCTAACACAACCAGTTCAGAATTTAAAATTCAAAATCGAGAAAATAACAAGTCCAAACTAACACGACCAGTTCAGAATCGAGAAAATGGCAAATCCAAACTAACACGATCAGTTCAGAATTCAAAATCGAGAAAACATCAAATCCAACCTAACACGACCAGTTCAGAATTCAAAACCGAGAAAACATCAAATCCAAACTAACACGACCAGTTCAGAATTCAAAACCGAGAAAACATCAAATCCAAACTAACACGACCAGTTCAGAATTCAAAATTCAAAATCGAGAAAACATCAAATCCAACCTAACACAATCAATTCAGAATTCATCACGAATTATCACGATTCATAACACAAGTGATAGAAATTCTAAAATTATTCATATTTACTTTCAAGGTATGAATATGGTCATTGAGAGAGCGGAACATATGTTCTGTGTCAGTTGTGCTATTTATTCTATCCGATTTGTTTTTATGGTGATTTCGAATAAAATTCATTTGTTTTATTTATAAATTTGTGAAAATTGTGAATTATCGATAAAAAGGTTCGCCATCCGTACCGATCATTAATATATTGTTCTGTCTGTAATGACCCCTGATTTAACTCATTATCCGTACCGATCATTAATAATTGTTCTGTCTGTAATGAATCAATTAATTTCCAAATATTATCAATATATTTTGATTCAGGTATAGCTATATTTGATAATAAACAACCAGAATATGCTGATGTTAAAATGATTGTCGATAATAGCCATATAATGAATAGACATTTTTTTGATTGTCGTTGTTCATTTGTAATCCATGATGATGATGACAATGGCTGCCGTAATAATGTACCCATCATTGACCATACGAAACTATTTTTTCGTTTCTTATCAATCCATAGATAACAATCTAACCAATTGAATATGGTGAATGAAATGAATACGATGATCAACATTATCCATACAAACGAATGGAATGGATGAAAAAATCTATCCAGATATAGTTGTTCATGTTCGGGCATTGTTGTCGCATACGTTAATCGATCAATCCAATGTGGATAAAGAAATTTTATCACTTTTTGTCGTTCATATTTATGTGTTATGCCACCGATACCGAGATCAATTTTCTGAAAGAATAATTGAATACAGATATGTTGGTCGACGGGAAATGAAAAAGAAAAACATTATGATTTTGTCCGTTTTTTTTTGCACTACCACATTTTACATACATTAGCTATTAATCCGGCAACAATACCGGTCCATGTACCGTTTATGTAATTGTGGTCGATCGGATCACCATAAATACCATTATAATTGATTAATTTATAGGAAAAATTAAAATAATTTGCCATCGTATTTAGCATTTCGATCTCAATTCCATTTGTTGTTGATGATGATCTAGATGCTGATAATGTTTGATTCAAATCGATAGCTGTAAATGGAGAATACTAAAGAGGTTTTTGATGTGATCAACAACAAATAATCCGGAAATCAAATCACAGAAATAAGAAAAAAAACATTCAAATGGTCAACTAACTTACATAATTGATTCCAATTCGAAAAATTTTTCCCATCAGATTCAATTTCATCGTTTTTCTTTTCTCATTGTGTGTTGAGCAACAAAAAAAAAACAAAAATTCTGTGGTGACGAATTCAAATATTGTTATTAAAACAATGCTGGTCATTATCGACAACTACTACCACTACTATTACTACTACTACTACTACTTTCTATTTGCATGCATGAATTTTTCAAGAAAATTTCTTCACTTCAATAAACGAATTGTATCAATTATCGATCCGAAATGATTATTGTAATAATAATGTATTTTTTTAATTGATTTTCCGTTTAAAATTATATTATTACTTTCTTTATTAATTAACAATAATTATTTTAATGAAAACTAATGACATTGGAAACTTTTAACTACATCTTTGGCTTGGTTTATATTACAAAATAATTTATTTTTTTTCATTCCAGAAATAATAATGTCTCCAAAATGGTAATTCGTTCAATATCAATTGAATTTTTGAATCGATCATTATCTAAAATGTTTTATGAATTTTATTTAGATTTGATTAATCGAATGGAATCGATTAAACACTTTGATCGAATCGAACGACATTTTTATTCATTATTATTTTTTATGGCCATTTATTCGATTGATGAAAATTTCACCAATAAATATCACCATCGATAATAGATTTCCGGTTAAAAACACGTAAAATATATTGGCTAAATTTTCAATATTCAAATCATCCATTTCGTTTGTTTGCATATAACGAAATTTTTCCACCGTACGATTCAATAAATTGGCCAATGTTATTTCCTTGAAGATCCAATGTTGTAACATTCCCGATGAACGTATAAGTCCTAAACTGAATTTTGATATGAAATGAGATGGATAAATAATAATCATATTTAAAACGAATGAAACACTTACATTCGTTCAAATGGACGACTATATGGCCAAAATGATGGACTTGTTGGTATGGCTAAATGCATAAGAAATAATGTTGTACGAAAATCATCATTCATCGCTGGTATATAGATTGAACCCGGTCCAAGTACTAGTAATGCATAAAAAATTCGAGATTTTGAATTAATATATGCATATTGTTTCTGTCGTTTATTTTGTCGTCTATGTCGTTGTTCAATAAAGATTCCATCATTATTATTATTGGCTCTATGAAATAACATTTGTGGTGGTACAATTCCATACTCATTCTCAATCATTGTTAAACAATTACAAAGATGTTTTATTGTCAAATCATTAGATCGCTTTTCAAATGAAAATGATTGTATGAAATTAATGAAAAAACAAACAACCAGATAATATTAATAATTACAACACAAACCTTTAATGTATTCATTATGAATGAACCTTCATCACCAAAAATTTCAATATTTTTTTCATTACATTCATTATTTAATTTTTCTATAGAATCAATGGCCGGCATTGTTGGTGATAATGAAATGAATGAGAATAAAAAACTAACATAATGATTATTCAATATTAATATAGCTAATGACCATGTTATTAGAATGAATTTCAACGATATAGCTAAATGATCCATATATGGCCAACGATATGGTTGATTTAATAATAAACGCAAACCAAATAACCATGGAAGATGTTGTTGTTTTTGGTCATTTTTATTGATAAAAAATGAACAAAAATATTGATAATAAATAATAATATGAATGATATGATCAATGTTAACCAAACATCCATATTGAATGGACGTAAAAATATATTAATATCATGTGCTTTCATAACACGTGGTGGTAACGTAGCGAATGTATATTGTTCTAACCAATGTGGATAAAGAAAGCTGACATTATTTTCGATACGTTCTTCGCTTACGACCATACCAGAAATGCTTAGATCCATACGCTATTTTATTAAAAAAAATAGATTATCATGACAATAAAACATTGTGTGTTTGAACATTATTTTTTTGTTTGTTTGTTTTTTTGTTTTTCATTGAAAATCATTTTCAATACTTACATCGTTTGTTATGTTACCCAACATTCCTGTCCACGATCCATTTGGTAATATTTTACCATAATGATCATGTGTATTGATAAATTTTGTTGAAAAATTAAAATAATCACGTAATGTATATAAAAGTTCGACTTCAATTCCACCCAGGATTGTTGATCCATCATTATCGATCCGTATGAATGGTGGATACTATTTTTATTTTTTATTTTTTTTTGACAGATGAATGTGTGAAAAAAATTGAAATTATAGCAAGATTAGAAACAAAAAACCAGCAATATACCTGATTGATTCCAATGGTGAGCGTCTTATTTGTTAATGAAAATTTTTGCATTTTAAGATAAATGATGATGAATACGACGTTTCGACATTGAAAAGTGAGAGAAAAAAAATTGACAAAAATTTGATGAAACAAAAAAAAAAAACATTTTTAGTATTTAGTTCTTGTTCGAGATCGATTTTTTCACTTTTTCATTATCGAAAAACGATCTATAATCATTTTATCGTAAATTTATTCATAATTGTTCAGTTGTCAATATTTTTATTGATTTTTATTTAATTTTTTCCAACTAAAAACGTTTTTTCTTTGTTTTTTTTTTGCTCGTTACAATAACTATAATTTTCATTTTTTTTCAATTGGAATCGATCGCATTGAATTTGGAAGATAAAATTTGTGAAGAAAAAATATCATCGAAAAGATTAGATAGATGTGGAAGATATTATTATCCAGTTGATTCATACTCAATGATTGAAATGAATTCTGTCCATGATTATTGTTACTCAATGTGAAATATTCTTTCAATTTTTGATGATTTTATCCAGGTGATTTTTTCTGTTGAAACCAATCGACCATCAAGCCTGATCAAGTGATTAATCACTTTGTTATTATATATTTAATATTGCAATAAATATCCCCCCATGTCAGGATATTTCCTATGAATGCACCAAATTCAAGAAAAAAAGGATCTATTCACAGAATTTTTTTATTTTATTACCATAACAATACAATTATAATAATAATAACAGTACAGTATAGTATAGTATCGGAGAATAAAAAGAATCTAACTACAATAATAGTCTGCTATATTACTGAATTATTAATGAAATCATCAACATTCAAGAATAAGAAAAAACAATAACATTTCATCATGTATCATGATGAAATTTATATATTAATATTGCATATAAATTAAAAATACATTGAAAACAATAATCCTTAACAGATTGGTTGATTTTTTTCATCTTTTCAAAATAACGATGATTTCGAAACAATTCGTTTGTCAATATTATTGATGCAACAATCATACCGGCTAGATAAACATAGAATACATTCTCAAGATGATAAACAGTAAGAACGGAAAAATCACCATCAAATATGTTACGAATGATTTGCACCTGTTGTTTACGATGTTCTAATTTAGCCCAAGTGATTTCTTTTGCACGCCAATAATATAATAGACCCGATGCACGTAGATATTCTATACTAATTCAAATGAAAATGGAAAGAAGAAAAATATTCATCATTATTAATTGTTAAATCATCATTCACTTACACAAGATTAAATGATTGGCTATATGGTTGTAATGTTTCACTTATAGGCAATGCAATAAATACATCATAAAAATATGCATCACCATTCGATGGTGGCATATAGATTAATTCGGTGCCAACTTTCAATTGTGCAAAATATAAACGTGAAATAGAATTTAGATATGCATATTGTTTAAGGCCACGACGACGACGATAGCTATTATGTTGACAATCCATTGTTGAACATTCCCATAGCATTTGATATGGTAATAATGATTCTTTATGATCGACAAATTTTATACATTCATGGATACTAAGAAGAAGTGGATCGGTTGAACTCTATATATGTAAATGAATTAATTAAAATTGAAAAATTTTATTTTTTAAAAATTAAACATTAAGATAAGATATTGGAATCACCAAATAAATGAATTACATTTAATGAATCCATTATAAATGAATTATTCATTGCCAATACTTCAATCTGATTTGATTGACATGCATCGGATAATTTTTCAATAGTATCGATTGCTTCATTTGGTGGAACAGAGATGACCGAATATAAATAGCTACTATAATAAGTGGTCAATATGGCCGCGCATGATGTCCATATGATTATAATCAACTTTCCAGCCACCAACCATTGGATCCAATTGATTGGCCATGATATTTGTTGACGAAATAAAAGACGAAAACAGATCCATATAATATTATTCTCTGAATAATATTCATTATTATTACTGTTTCCATATTTTACAGGTGAATATAGTTGAAAAATTTTATCAGCAATAAATAATGATATGAATACAAGAAATAATGATAACCAAACATTCATTTCGAATGGTCGTATAAACATATCAAAATGATTGGATGGAACTTTTCTCGGTGATAATGTAACAAAACTATATTTGTCTACCAAATGTGGATATAGATAACTTATATTTAAAAATCGTCGATAAATCATTGCCGAACCAGCAAAACAAATATCCATTCGCTGTAATAAAGAAAAAGAATTTATCAATTTTATCAATTAATTATTATTATATAATAATTACATTGGCATTAATTTCACCAATCATTCCGGACCATGTACCATCGATATTTTCTTTACCATAATCATCCTGTATGTTTATCATGATTGTAGAGAAATTAAAATATGATTGAAATGTTTCCAACATTTTGCCTTCAACACCGCCAACCACTTGACCAATATGATTGAGCCGTATATAAGGTGGAAACTGAAATGTTGATGATGATTAATAATGACAAATCAAATATAAAAATATAAATGAAAAAAAAGAGAATAAACAAACCGGATTAATTCCTATACGTAAAGTTGTATTGGATAAGTCTAATCGTCCCATCATCAATCAATCGTCAAACTGATTAGAGCATAAATAGTTTTTTTTATCAATGAAATCGAAATAAAAATTCATTCATTTATTCAAATTAATCGAAATAAAAAAACGATCATCCAGAATACAATCAATATCGATATTTTTTTTGCACTCTCGTAATTGTTTGTTCATTTTATACAATTCTTGATCGATTTCAATTCATTAATTAATACACTATTATTATTTTTCTATTCTTTATGTTTATATCGTATACTTGATTGTTTTGTTTTAATTATCATTGATGATGACTTACATGGAGAAGGGCCGGAAATGGATCGAAAATCAATTTCATTATCATGTTGGACGAAAATGAATGATTGTGTTTGTCGTTGTTGCTGTTGATTACCGATAAATTATAGTTTCAATGTTAATGACTGAATAAACCGATACTAGGTACCAGGCTATATATGCAAAGAAAACATTTTTCAAATGATGAATATATGGAATATATATTTTAATTAAAATGAATGATTTTATTTAGCTTAATGATTTAATAAATACAAAAGATGTGTGTGTGTGTGTGTGTGTGTAAAAGAACAAAACATAAAGAAATGATGACGATGACAGACAATAATGATGATGATGATTGTTGTATTGAATATGATTTTAGAACAAGTTTAAATAGTTTATTATATATATTGTGTAAACCATTTTATGAATAACCAAGAAACAAGTAATTCGAACTTGAGTACAATTGTTTCGTCAACAGAATATGGAAAAATCATCATTAAAAATGGTTATATCATAACAAATTTTTCTATTTCAATTATTTTAATCCAGCATATGCAGCTGTTTCTCGATCACGCCAATGTAATAGATGCAAACAGGATCCACGAAGATATTCAATACTAAAGGAGGAAAGAAAAAGAATTATTGCATAATTTACTATATTCATTCATTAATTCATATATGTTGTTTTTCTTTTATTTTGGATCGATATTAATTTCCCGTGAATATTATTCAATTATATTTAATCTATTGTTCTAAATGAATAATTTTGTTGTTGTTGTTGTTGTTGTTGTTGTTTATTATTAACAAACATTCTGTCAACAATCAATTTTGAATGGATGAATTTTTAGCCTATCATTTCGGTCACATTGAAATCGTAAACAAGCGATTAATATTTCCAATGAAAAAATTATGGTCGAATTAATTAAACAAATGATAAGGACGATAAATACAATATGCATATGATTCAATGTTATTTTTGATACAATTATCTCATCCGAATCATCGGAATTGTCCATATCTTTATCAGAATATTCATGAAATTTTGATGCTTTATGTTTATAATAGGATGTTTTAGCATCCAACGATATATGTTCAGCCCAAAGTTTCAATATTCCCGATGATTTTAGTTGGGAAATTCTGTTTTTTTTTTTGTGGGAGGAAAAAACAAATAAAAAAAATACTTTATAATTTAATATTGGTTTCACTACAGGTTATTATTAGCGCTTACACATCATTGAATTCGGTTTGATAATGAAAATTTTTTGGACTGATTGGAATGGCTACCCATAGAGTGAAAAATGTTGATTCATAATTCGAAGGTGGTAGATATAGTGCATCCAGTCCATAACAATTTTGAAGAAAATTTGCACGTTCTCTCGACACAAATGTACCAATAATATTGTCATATTTTTTCCGCCGTTTTCTTGCTTGATAATGGCCATTAACCATTTTCATTTCGATCGTTTTCTCCACCAATTTTTCAATGCCACTTTTTTGCATTGAAATTGTTTCCTGACAATTCTCTAATGATTTTTTTCTAGTAAAATTCTTGTTTTTTTTGTCAAGAAAAAAATTATTAATGTTAATTTCTAATGGATTTTCTTTTTGGAAAAAAATTACTCACACGAAAAAAGTTGAAATCTTTAACCGTACCAAACATTGTTAAACGTCCAGATTGACATGCATCGGCTAATTTTTCAATACTATCAATAATATTCGAATTGGGTACGGTCAATTCGGATAATAAACCACCAGAATATATGGATGTCAATACCGCTATGTTTAACATCCAAATTCCCAATATTATTCGTTGAGGAAAAGATTCTGCCACTTTTTCTGTACCGATCATCCATTGATATGGTTGACGTAATAATGATCGTAATGCAATCCAAACACAATGTTGTTCATAACGTCCTCTGTAATGACGTTTGGTGGTGTTGGTTGTCGACATCACATTTATCATCAATCGATCGACCAAGAAAAACATTATGAATACTAATATTAAGGCTAGCCAAACATCGGTAGAGAATGGATGTAAAAATTGCTGAATTTTATGTTTACGTTCGATAGGTGATGTTGCGAAACTAAATTGATCAGTCCAATGAGGATGAAGATAATCTATGACCTGTATTCGATCATTTCGAAGCGTTACACCACCTAAACCGAAATCAATATTCTATTTTGAAAGAAATGAACAAAAAAATCAATGTTGAATGAAAATAAGCATCTGATTAATTTGAATTTTTTTTCAATAACAACAGAATCTTACGCCATTTAATAAGCCATGTACGATACCATTCCAGGTACCATTCTCCATACGGCCATAACGGCCAGCAAAAGGTATCAGGTTAGAGGTAAAATTATAATAAAATTCCAATATCTCTAATAATCTAATTTCAATACCATCCGGTCGACATGATTGTGATTGTTGTTGATGCTGTGATTGTGATTGTTGTTGGTGTTGTCGACAATGTCCATCACCATGTAATAGAATAAATGGTGGATACTATTTGAAACGTGAATGTGAAAAAAATAATAAAATATAAAAATAAAATTCTTATAATTTAATAATAAAATAAAAATGAAATTTTCTTACATCATTGATGCCAACATTGAATGTTTTTTGTTGCAAATTCAAACGCATTTTTTCCATTCATCTAAATAATAATAATAATAATAAAATATATATGTGCAATGTCATTATTATCAATGAAACTAAATTCATCTAAATGAATGATCCAAATAATAATAAAAATAACAATTAGAAATTGAATCGATCAAATTTTCATTCGAATTTGTTTATTATCATAATAATTATTATATTATGTCATTTTCTATAAATAGAATAGAGGTGATAATTCATATATAGTAATATGTTGACGACATAATGTTGTTGGATCAAATATCTGTTGCTTGGATAATAATGTAATATATGTTTTCTTTTATAATTTTTTTTTGTTTTTCACTAACCATCATGATCATATGATGGTGGTGATGGTTTTTATTTGGATGAAAAAAAAATTGTTACCATTTTCAAAGTTGTTGTAATTCAAATTTTTTCACTAAAAATCGAGCTCCAAATCGATAATATCGATTTTTTTTCATTGGTCGTCTTTAAAATTTTTGAACAAAGTTTTTTTTTCTTCGTTCTTCTCAAGATTTTATTGTTTCAATTGAGAATTTATATATATGTAATAAATAAAATACAATGTGCTATTTCATTTTACCAATTCTACTTCAATGTAATTTTGATCGAGAATTGTTTTGTCTTCCATTTGAATGCGCATGATGAATGCTATCGAACATCTGGCTGCATCATTTATGAATAGCGATCGGTAACATACGATTCGAATGAAAACAAAACAAAACAAAAAAAAAACTAAAATGAATGACTGGAAATCGATTCCAAGAAAAAATTTGTTTTATTATTTTTTCGTATTACATATCATATAAATATAGAAATATGTAATCCATTGGAAAATTGATTTCTTGAAAATGTTCACATGTTTCTTATGTTATTCTTGTTTCATTTGGAATCGGCTTCTTTCGAAATATTTCAATTCCATTTTACCATCAGCCAATGGCCAGTTTTTTTTTAAAAAGCAAACTCAACAATACTTTATAGTTGTTGTTTGTTAAAGTTCATTCTTTATATGATATTAGCCCTCCAGGTAATCATACTATTAATTCATTTCATTATCATTATAATAATAGAGGTAATATTAATAATAATAATTTTGAAAAGTAAAAAAAAAATCAAAACAATAATATATAACAATGCTCACAAGAATCTAGATTCTAGATAGAAAGATGAATGAGAAAAAAAAGAGAAAAATTTTATACATACAATCTATATAGTCATTATTATCATCATCGAATGAAGACAAATACCATTCAAATAATTAAGGAAAAAATTGCAATTATTTTTTCCGAAAACAACATCAACATTTGTGTTCGTTTTTTTTTCGTTTTCTCATCAACAGTTCAAGAATGTTGTTCATTATGTATTTTTTTTTTTTTTGCACTAATTAAGTAGTTTTTTCTTTGACGTAGAAATAGTCAGAATCAAAAAAATATAAATATATGTGTAAGACCGGGTGGAAGTTATTCCTTACCAGACTTTTAGCAGCTATGGCGAGGGTTGAGAATTAATAACATTCACAGTTTCGGCCACTAGAGTCGCGTTTTATCCAGGAAGAAACAAGTGATTGATAAGAAGACTGGGTGTGGATGCTTGGCCATTACATTTATATTCCGAGAATTGATTTGTTTACAATAGACATCTGTGACCAAATATCTATTGTCATTTTTGTTTTTTGTTTTTGCAAGATAATGATGATGATTATTATAATGAAATGACCTTTATATGGACTAACGAGAAAAAAAATAAAAGAATTTGCAATTCAAATTCTTGTGCTTTATATGAATCGTGTGAATATGTTGTATGTTTTTGTCTTTTTTTTTCATTCATTTCCAACATCATTATTATCATCATCACCGAAATTCGTTTTGAACATTAATATTTTTATATTTATTATTATATTTCCCCTAGAATTAGTCCATAGTTTAGATTTTACAATTTTTTTCCTGTTCAAAGATTTTTAGATTGTCTTGGTTGTATATAATATTTCCGGTTCATCATTCAATTATGAACATCATCATTAATATTGTAAAATAATGTTGTTGGTTAAAAAATTTTCATTGTTTTTTTCAACAGTACATTTCCGGTCTTTTCTTTTTTTTCCTTTCTCAATGAATGAGTGTTATGTTTTTTGTTTGTTTGAAACATTATCATTGTCGTTATTTTATCGGAAATGAACTGAACATCATCACCATTATTGTTGGAAATGAAGATTCTTTTAAAGAGAAAACTTTTTTCTTCTCAATTCCTTGTTATTTTGGTCACACACACACACATACACACACTTGGAACTTGAATAGAATCTGGTTATATCCATTTAATATTCTGTATGATTTTCTGAGAATTATAAAATTATTTGAATTTGAATTCATTATTAAGCATACAGTAAAACAGCGGCGAAAAAAATCAAGTTTTCTCTCTTTGGAATGAAAAAAACAGCAACTTTTCTTAGTTGATATAATCGATTTTGGCGTATGATTTGATTCAATATCAGGGCTATGAATTGATTTTGCAAATAAAAAACCAGGGATCCAAAAAAAAAACAGTGACGGAAAAAAATGGCCAAAATTTTTCATTTCATAAATAACAGCCATGAAATCTGGTGATATTATTTACCGCCGAATCTCGATATATTATAAGGTCGTGGAAATAAGAAAAAGAAAAAAGAAAGAAAAATTATGGCCTGGCCAATGAAATCAATTGCCACGTTGTCGTTGCCATATATGAAAAATTGAAATGGCTGTCATTTTCTGGCTAGAAAATTTTTTTTTCTGGATGTTTCAAAAATGACCCGACCTTATTGTATTTGATTGATTGAATTGAATGAATAGCAAAGAAAAAAACTATAACCATGTATAACATTGATTTTTTTTCCTATACTATCACCATAACTTTTACAAGAATATCAACGAATGAACACACAAGTTGAGCACAATTTGTTTGAAATTTTGAAATTGAACATAGACCAAAAACATTGAATGATGTAGATATTCATTGAAATACACAGAAAACAAAAAATGAAAAAAAAATCCTTTAGAAATATGAGAATAAAAACCATTCATTTCATTGTTTTGAATGAAACAAATTATTTGCATCATTTCACATAGAATCGATGTTGTTGATGATGATGAAAAACAAGGCAGATCAATTTCGTTCGATAAAAGAATCCTATCATTTCGATAACATCATCATTAAAGTTCTAACGAAATTCAATTCATTCGTTTCATTGAAATATTATGAAGATATGACGTTGAAACAATAGTAAACACTATAATAATAATAATAATAATAATAACAATGAAACAGCTTTTTGAGACAGTTTTATGAAAAAAAAGAACAAATGATTACCACTCTTGTTGGTTGTTGTTTTGTCACCAGCAGCATCATTGTCTTCGTTTTTTTTATTTGTTAAAATAGTTTCCATTTGGTTTCATCATTTTCAACATTGAAAAAAATATTTGATTCATAGGATGGCGATGACGATGATGAAATCCAGAGCTTTTTTCATCTTTATGATGATGATGATGATGAACGATTCAATTCGATAAAGACATTTTTTTCTCTTTTCTTTTGACAAAATTCTTATTGTTCGAAATGAAATTGAAATAAAAAACTAAAAGTTGTACAATTCCATCAGCGACCATCATTTATCATCGATTATTGTGATGATGATGATGATGATGTGTGTGTGTGTATGAGCAAAAGAATCATCGAAATGACAATCATTTTTATCCATTTTTTCTGCTTCATCCGTTGAAATTTTGACATTCTTTTCATTTTTTTTTCACTTAAAGAAAAATGAAAAACTATTTTTTTTTCAATAGACCAAATTCGACATTGATGATCATGATAATGTCGAAATAGAATCGAATTTAATCTAGTTTTAGAAAAAAAAAGAAAAAATGAAGAAAAAAAAATTCATATCTTGGATCATAATCGTAATATAAAAATAATAATAATTTCATCGAAAACATTGCTGTACAGGAAATGTTCTCCTTATAATATCCGTTTTTTTAAGCAAACAAGATAAAAAATTTAATGAACCAAATCGAAAATAATCTGCTTAAAAATGTGTTGAGTGGTATGATCATCACCATTATCAGCTCATTTTTTTTTTTTTTTTGATTCTTTTTATGTATTCGGTATGAGAAATTATTTTCAATTTTCTTCGCATTGTATGTTTTATAAATGTCCTCCTCTGTCTATATATCCATCCATACACCGACTACATAATAACTAATCGTGACAAACATACATTATCTTTATTTTTGTTTATCTTTAGGAGAAAAACCAGAATTACCGATTTATGTTTGTTGATGATGATAAAATATTCAAGAATGAACCTGTTATAAATCGAATTAATTTATAAAATTATTAAAATGATTTTCCTGTTATTCGAATAAATCAACCAATCAACTATTATTAAAACAGATAGTGTTCAATGTGATCATAAATCAATCGATTTTCATTTGTTAAGAGAAATAAAATATAAATATGGAAGATGAAAATGTAATACGATCATCATCATCATCATCATTACATCTCATTATTAATTATAATTTGATACATGATTGACTTTCATATAGCTAACAATAATGATTCTTTTTAATACAGTAATACCCCTGTATTTACTATTATTAACCCTTAGCTCGAAATCATCAATAACAAAATTTGATTTTTTTTTCATCCAAAACACAACATTTGCTGTGTGTTTTTATTGAAACATATGATTGTTTTATCAATTTTGATACATTGATTCTTTTACAGCTACAATGACTTTTTAATACAGTAATACCCTGGGGTATTACTGTATTTAATTATTATTAATGTCAAATATCGGATTATCGAAACATTGGAACATTGTTGATGTATGTGCCTTGAATGTTGTCATCATCATCATAATCATCATCGAATCATTCAGTGATTGTATAGCGTTGATTACATGTTTCAAGAGAAAATGTAGCTCGAAATCATCAATAACAAAATTTTATTTATTTTTTTCATCCAAAACACAACATTTGCTATGTGTGTTTTTATTGAAACATGAATTTTATCAATTAGTAATGATTATATGTATCCATAATGATCATCATCATCATCATCATTAATATCTCATTATTATTAATTATAATTGGATACATTGATTCTTTTACAGCTACAATGACTTTTTTTAATACAGTAATACCCTGGGGTATTACTGTATTTAATTATTATTAATGTCAAATATCGGATTATCGAAACATTGGAACATTGTTGATGTATGTGCCTTGAATGTTGTCATCATCATCATAATCATCATCGAATCATTCATTCATTCATCGAATTGGATTGGAATTTATTTATTTTCTGCAGAATTTTTTAAACTTTACACATTAATAATTGATTGTCGTCATTTGGATTCTTCTAGTCACACACACACACACACACACACACATGTTCGTTTCATAAACTTGACTGTTTATTATCATCTGAAAATTGATCAATGATCAATCATTTCTCTTTCTCACACTCTTTCTCTTTTCACAATTGATCTTCAATATAATATTATCGATGATCAATGGTGAGAGAGAAAAAATGGAAAAAAAGAAAAAAATTCCAAATCGAAATTCTTATAATGAGAAAAAAAAGATGATAATTTTTCAATGAATTTTGTGAGTCTAATGTCATTATTCTTGTTCAAGTCCATTGTCATCATGATGATTAATATTCGAATTAGAATGAAAAATTTTTTTAAATCATTTTTTGTTGAATTAACTTGAAAATATTTTTCAATCATCAGATAAAATGTTCAAATGGCCATGAAATTTTGAAAGATTTTTTGTTGTTGTTGTTGAAGGTGGAAAATTAAAATGAAACAAAATTCTTTATGAATGTAACTGGGCATAAAAAAAATGAGAAACGAACGAACGAAAATCTTTCGACCATACATTTATCTAAAAAATGAAAAATAAAAATTCACGGATATTGGATCGATTCGGAAATGAAAAATTTTCAACCAACGAAAAAAAAAATCATATAGGAGCCTAAAGGGCAATATATATATATAAAAAAAGGGAGATAGAGAAGAAAAGTTTGAATTTTTCTTTCTCTCTCACTCTCTCTCCGTAAGATGCTTTTCGTAGATTTTTTTTTCGATTAAATTTTCATCCATTGTATAGCGTTGTTGTTATTGAACAAAGAGTCGAGATTCAAATCGTGTAGTAAATTTATTCAATTTTTTTTGTTCGAGCCAAAAAAAAAAAATAGATTGAAAACAAAGTTTTTTACTCTTGGGTACAAAAACACAAACAATCGTTATGAAGAATAAAAAAAAATCTAATGAAGCCATAGAAAACAAAAAAAAAGAAACAAAAACAAAAAATTCCCAACTGATTGGTCAGAATGATGTGCAAACAACATTGCAAGCAAATAGAAAAAAATATATTCAAATACTAATGGATCAAAATTTAAATGCCATTGTCATCACGATCGATAGTGTACATTGCACACACACACACACACACATTACAGTTAGGGTTATAATTTCAAGTTAAGTTTTCAAATATCAGACTGTTCAATGAATGAACATAAACACATTTAATCGATAATGATTTACAACAATCAAATTATAAAATTCTTCATGAATTTCAGAAACAGAACCAATAAAAAAAACGATAAGGAAAAAAAATTCATCTCATCAACCAACAGTCAAACAGTCGTTTCCATAGTAACAATTTCCATTCTGTTTGTTGTTGTTGAGAAATTCAATGAGATTTATCAACAATGAATTTTTTTTTATTTTGATCCAATTGAATCCATAGATTCATATGTTTTTGATGAAAAATAACAAGATGATAATAATAATGAAAAAAAAACTGTAGATAAAAATAACAAGATGAAATACTTAATGTTGTGAACAAATCAAGCAAACAAACAACCGAAGAACAAAAAAAAACTAAAATATATGGCCCAACTAATCCTCGGTCTTGGTATTGGACTATTTACATTGTTATTATTATGGTCCGTAGCAATCATATTCTGTTTGATTTCATCTCGTCTTCGTGTTCCGGCCAGGTAAAATTTTTTTTTTTCGTTTCAAAGTTTTATATTTTGAAAAGAGAATTTCTCATTTTTTTTTTGTTTCCAGTTATATTGGCCCAGCATCCTGTATGATTGCATTGTTCATTACAATCATTTTATTATCATTACCAATATCTAAACGTTTGGATCAATCATCGATGATGATGGATCCTATTAAAATGGAAATCAATCAATCGATGTCATCAATGATAACCGATGATCATCATGAATTATCGATTGTCGATTGGAACACCTATGTTATATTACCATTATGTTTAATAATATCGTTGTTATTATTAGCAATAACAACGATAATGTCTTTACAATTCCATCTATCAATCAATCATCGATCACAAATTAAAACTTAATTATTAAAAATTCGTCAATTCACTCTCTCAAACACTAGAATCGAAATTTTATATTAAAAAAAAAAAAATTTAAATTCAAACATTTCGTATGAAAAAGATTCGGGTTAATGTTTTGTTTTTTTTTTTGTTTAGAATTTCAAAGAATTCTAAACAAACATAAAATTTCCATTTCAAAAGATTTATTGAAAATTGAATTCTTTTTATTTTTGCCTTTTTTTTCAATTTTTCAATTGACACAACATATACTATATACGTGATTTAAAGCATGAAAAAAATAAAAGAAACAATCAATAACAACAACAACAACAAAAAAAACAAAGAGATTCATAAAATTGATCGTTTGAAAATTCGAAATTGGATAAAAAAAAAAATGATACACTCAATGTTTATTGATGTGTGTGTGTGTGTATTGTCCTTGAAAAAAAAGAACTAAAAAGTAATTGAAAAAAACTCTCAATATACAATTTATTACATAACAATGTCTAAGAATACGAATACGAAAACAAATTTTCTATAGAAAAACAAAACAAACAAAATAGGCCAATGATGGAATTCAATTTTTTTTCGAAAAATTCTTCAATATAAGAATCTATCTATCTATTTATTATACTAATTAGACAATTCAGATTCTGTGGAAGCATATGAATATGTTGGAGGCAAACATTCAAAAAAAAATGCATTGAAATTCATGGATTGCAGAAATTACAGAAATAGAAGTAAAAAAGGAGAAGCATTGAAAATTGAGAGGAATAGCCCTGCTGGACAGCCAAGGCAGGCGCGTAGCACCTGACCAATGATGGTGTAACGATAATGATAATGATAATGTTGTTGTTGTTTTTTTTTTGTCGAATTGGAAAAGAATCCAAAAAATAATGACAGCTATAGCTTTAGTTTTCTTTTTTAGAAAAAACAATTTGGAATTAAGATGTTCCTTAGAGAAACTTAAGACATTAAAAAAATGATAATAAAATCGTTAATAACACATACGCAAACCGAGAACAAGAAATGGGTCTGAAAAACCGAGCAATTGTTTTTGTTGTTGTTGTTGATAACATGAAACATCGATGAGCATCTTTGGCATGTGACGAATGATTCTTTCAAGCTATAGTAGTAGTTAGTTCATCCTTTTTCTGGTTGTAAGAATTATTTTCGGTGAAAAAACAATAGATCGATTATTAATGATTATCGATGAGTTGATTAATAATCATTGATCATTGTAATGTACCGGATCGTTTTGAATTGCCAGAACCGGATCCTAAATAATGGACAACAATGTGTTAACAAAAAAAAATAATTTTAAAAATCAAAATAATATTCTTTCAGTCCAAATGCTGCCATCTTCATTTTGGATCGTGTGCAAGAATTACAGAGAATTAATTCCAAATTTTTATATGAATGTTTAATGGCGTCAATGAAAAAATTAATTAATCAGCTTTGTCATTCATAAAATGTAGACGAAATGTTCAAACAAAAAAGCGTACAAAGAAAAATTCTATAAATCGATATTCAATCATAGAAAAACATAGAAATCCATGGAAATGGTGAGAAACAGAAAAAAATGTTAAATAATAACAAAAAAAATGTTAAATAATAACAAAAAAAAATATAATTACATATTTTTTTGGGCTGAAAACCTATTTTTTCTTTTCTCTTCATACACTCTTAACTGTAAGAATCTTCATTTTATTATCACACTATCCAAGTGTTAGTGACAAAAGATCTTAACATGGATGATTATTTCGAATCACCTGAATCTGATGATAATGATGATGATGAACAACAAGGTTTAATGGATGGTGATGATTCATATTATGAAGAACAACAAATAGATACAATATTGAAACAACGACGTCGATCATTGCAGATTCTGAATCAGCATTTCAAAGATATTGAAGATTATTATGAACATCATGATAACCATGATAACGAAGAATTGGAATTCTATACATATGATACAGCGCCACGAGGTGATTTTATTTTTTTGTGATTTTAATTAAAATTTAACAAATAAATTAAATTCTTCATCTTCATTTTTTTCGTTTTTGAATGAAAAACTTGAAACATCTTAGAGAATCGTATACAAATATTCTGGAATATTTATCAACAATGGTCACAGTGTTTACCAGGCGGCGGTGTTGAACGTATGCTTTGCATTATGATGGCCACATTTCTTGTGTTGATGATTGTATCGATTCAATTATGTTTACGTATGGATTGGTATTTAGATTGGATATGGTCAACAAGTTGTTTACGTTTTCCATGGCGATATTTATGGTGGTGGAATAATGATCCTAATTGTTTATGTGAACCACCAAATCATGGTGAAAAAATTAGTTTCGATTGTTATGTATTGTTCTTGATTCTTGGCTGGTTGTCATCAATGTTTTTGGCCATATTTACAATGGCCATTCATTTTGTTTATTGGTGTTGGTGGCGGCGATGTTTTGGTCGACGACGACATTCATCATCGTCGTCTCAATCACATTGACAACAATCAATGAATAATCATCATCATCAACAACGACAAACATATGATGAATTGAATTGATCAAGAATTTAAAAAAAAAGTCGAACATTAGTATCTCCAATAACGAAGACGCCATCTATCGAACTGAATAATTCTCAAAAAAAAAATTTAATTTTTTTGCAATTTCATTTAATTTATATCAAATCCAATAATTGGTTATTATTTTGTACGTCATATTTTAGAAAAATATAATTATCATTATGATGATGATGAATTTTCAAAGTCGATGAAAAAACAGATACAAACAAATAAACAAAAAAAAATCAGACAATAATAATCGAAAATAATAAAATGAAAAAATCACACAGACAATTATTATATTCGAATTCACAGAATTTTTCATCAATTTTTTCCACATATATTAATTAATATATGATAATTAATTTCATTATAAATAATTTCAATTTCATTAATTATGTTGTTGATGATGTTGAGGGCATTTAATCAATCGAACCAACACAGGCAATTTGAATACATTTTGTGCCGAGCATTTTATGTAAATTGTGGTGGGTGTGTGTGTATGTTTGTCAAATAATTATCAATTCAAATTTTTTTTTTTTAATATAAAATAAAACAAAATAGGAAAATAATGATGATGTAAAGACAGATTTGTATGCAACATAATGACCAGAATTATCATTACATATAATGATTGAAAAATTGGATTTTTCTTTTGAAAAAAATTGTGTTTAATTCGTTCATCATTATTATTATTGATTTGAATTGAGAATTTGAATATATGATTTGTTTGTGATTGTGTTTTTTTGAAGAATATCTTATAGGCAAAAGAAATTGATAAAATGAGAAGACGGAGAGGATTTCATTTAATTTTGTAACAAATAAACAGGAAAAATTGAAGACAAAGAATAGAAAAAAAGAATTAGAAAAAAAAACTAATTCAATTCATATGATGAGATCTACGGACAATTTTTTTTCTATTTTCACATATATTTTATAGCATGAATTTTTTTCCAGGAATAGGTTCAAAAGGAAATGGAAAATAAAATTAATTTGACCAGTAGTAATGCTATTTCTGTACATGAAACGTTTGTGTGTGTGTGTGTGTTGAAGCTATAAGCGAAAAAAATGAAATTCTGATTCTTAATCATAGTATTTATGGATGTAATTGTGTTGATGATGATGATCAAGCCATTATTGTGGATGGTGATGATGATGACATTTTTACCGTTCGTGATGATGATTCAAATTTTGGTATACATGGCTGTATTATATATAATGAACGATTCAATTCACGTGGATCTTTTGGTGGTTGCCATTGTTCAGAATATGATACCATCGGTAACCAATCATCATCATCATTATTATTTTGATTATTATAAAGATCAACGAATGGATCATCCAGTATAATCACTTCATCATCGTCATCATCATTATCATTGTTTTCACTTTTTATTTGTTCATTTTTCATTATAAAATTCTCCATTAAATCATCCGGAGAATCAACAATGATTGTAAATGGATATTCCGGCGTTCTATTTCCATGAATTAATTTACGTTTTTTAAGATTTCTAGTTATTGGTGATGGTAATTTTTCATGACTTGTACGAAATTTTAATATGTTTATAATCTTTTCACTTTTATAGCCATCGTTTGCCGATGATTTGTCATTCATGGTGATTAATGATTTTGATTTCAATGCATAGGAACCAACTAAATAGACAGTGAGTTTAGTGGCCGATACTGAACTGTAATCAAAAAATAAATCAATTTTTTTTTCATTTTAAATTTCAATCAAACATAAATAATGATCGTATGAACGAAACGGTACTTACTTAACTTCAGGTTCATCAAAAACACCATTAATATAATCAATGTTAAAACGATCAGGAATATCTACGGCAATCAGTTCCAGAATTGGACATGTAAATTGTCGTTTTGTTCGTGAATCATTCAATTCTACAAAACGTATGGATTTTTGTTCCAATATTTTTAATGATAAATAATTGTATGGATACGTTTGTGAAATTTCCAACCGTGCCGGTGTTATCATTGTGGCGAATACAGAAACATCTAGATCACGACGAACATAGCGATCAATTGGTATTATTTTTCGTCGTCTTTGAATGCAAGATGATTTCTTCATGTCAATATTCGAATCGTTTTGCTTATCTGTTGTCATATTTATTGATGGTTTAACATCATCACCATCATCGGATGGTTCTCGTTTTACAGAGTTATTTAAAAACTTATTCAATTGTTTTGTTGTATCCATTAATAGATTTTGAGTTTTTAGAAAATTTCTTGGACTTTGATTAGTATTAGTCGAACATTTAATTGGACTTAAAAATATTGGTGATGATGAACCAGATGATGATAGATAACCAGCTGTTGTAAATGGATTCGGTCGTATATTACGTCTTGGACGTAAATGTAATGCCGGACAATCACCCGATGATGATGATGATGACTTAGTATTATTTGTTGATGATTTTTGTTGTTGTTGATCACATTCATCTAATAATGATGATAATTTGTCATTTTTTATCATTTTTATAGGATTTTCAATCAATCCATTTGTCCCATTTTGTTGTTGTTGTTGCTGCTCGGATTCAATCATACGAGTTACTTTAGCTGCTAAAGAACTGTCAATTTTATGTAAATCATCCATAAGACGTTGATCTTCACCACGACGACGTTTACGTTTGGGACTATTATCCACTGATGATGATGCTGATGATGATGATGATGAAGATTTGATTGACATGTTTGAATTTTCATCGATAATCGTTATGATTGGTGGCTGTGATGATGATGATGACGACGACAACGGAGGAAGATGATGATGAGAAGTAAGAGGTGGTTTATCATTTTTAATAATAATATTGTCTCCGGCTATCGATTTTGAATCAGACACGTGACCATTATTCGGAATAATTATTCCATTATTACCATTCATAGTGATTGGATTCTTATTATTATTATTTGTAATTGTAACAGCAACTAAAATTGATGTTGATTTCGGTAATGCTAATGATGGTGATGAGGTAGTTAATTTTATTCCATCATTCATATTATTTTGATTATTGTTGTTGTTATTATTATTATCATCATCAAATTTTGTTATTCGAAACATAGCCGATGATGATGATGATGATGCAATAGCATTATTTAAAGATATGGACGATGTTGTCGTCGTCGTTGTTGATGTTGAAAGACTTTGACAATTAATATTATTCATTATTGTACTACTATTAATATCATCATTATTTGTACATTTTTTTATATTCGAAAATGTGGATGATGATGATGATGATGATGATCCAATTGGTGTTGTTGGCGTAAATACCAATGGTGTATGTGGTGATGCCATCATATTTGTATCCTGTATGTGTGTTGATAATGTTTTTATGATTCTAAAGGCAACAATTCTTCTTCGTTTTTCTCGTTATTCAAATTGAGTTCAAGAATGATGGAAAAAAGGTGGAAACAAATCAAATTTTCAGATCGATTTTTTTGGATTGGTTGAACGTTTAACAAACTATAAAATAATTAATAAAAAGAAAAAGATGAAAAAATAATGATTATAGAGGTTAGTCATCAAATGATTTGTAACAATGATCAAATTAAAATGAATCGAATAGAGTTGTTATGAACAATTTTCATATTCAGAAATTCAATAATCTAAATTCAAAGAATTTAAAACGATTAAATCAGAATAATGAAATTTAAAAAAAGAATTATTATCACAATTGACTTTATTAACCCCCCCACAAACACATACACACAGAATATGTCTGTGATTATGACAAGGACGAGAAAAAAAATGATGGTGAATGACAACGCCCGACAACATTTTTCGATTTTATATTATCGATTGTAGTCCATTTATATGACATTATGCGTATTTGTGCTTGTATGTGTACGTTTATGCATTATATATGTGATATATGATAAGAAAAAATGAAAAAAATGATAATTGAAAACAATTATAAAATCGAAACGAGCAAATATTCGATTATTCAATCAAAATACAATTTGAGAAAATTTCGAAAACGAAAGAATTCATTTGATTCTGTTTCAGGGTTCACAAGAGCAATCTACCATATGCATCATAATGCGATATGAATATCGGATATTATAGCCATTAAAAATGTGACCATATAAATTAATAAAAAACAGGAAAATCCGGTCATTTTAATTACCAATGGTCCCTGTAAATCTTTTTTCCTCGTTGCAACAATTTTCATTATTTTTTGGAAAACATGGAATTCAATCAAAAATTTCGTCATCACCATTCGCAAGCAACAGCAGAACATAACGTCGGATTGATAATAAAAATGATTTATACAAACACACACACACACATACAAACAAACGCACATACACCCACCTTTTCCGGCCACGCTACTACAATGACATCGAAGACAGCATCAACGGTTATGATTAAGTGGATGAAATCATCATCATTATCCGACCAAAAAAAAAATGGAATTTTGGAACCTTGAATTGTTTTAAAAGAAAAAAAACAATGATAATGATGATGATGAATGCGAGAAAAAAATAATTTTTTTACGAAATGAAACGCACAACCATCACACACTATATTGTTGGTGGTTGGTGGTGGTGGTGGTGGGGAAATATAGTATGTTTATAAGGATGATGAGATGATGAAGGGGAAAGGCCAGGTTTTTCTCTTCACTTTTCTCTCATCATTTTCGTTTTGACAGGGCTGGCTAAATCTCCCCTTCATATTATTACTGCTACTGTGTCTGTCTGTCCATGGCTGTTCTCATTGTTAATGTTTTTGTGTGTATTTATAATGTAAAAATTGTATATTGAGATCGAGTCACGTCGACACTAATCATCAAACTACGCATGTTCAAAATGAATATTTTTTTATTTCTTTCTTTCATCATTACAAGCGTTTCCCAAACTTTTTGGGCCACGGACCACTTTAAAAAAAAAACATGAAAAATAATACAAACAAACGACATTAGTGGTCGAAAAGCATTTCAGTAAAAAGAAATCAAAATTTTTATTGAAATTTTCGTAGAAAAATTTTTTCTCGCATACTAGTTTTTTTTACTCGCAAACCTTTACTGGGTCGTGGACAACAGTTTGGGAAGGGCTGATCTATTCGAACCAAACAATTGATAGTTAACCAACATTAATTATGTGGACAATAATTATTGGGATAGAATTGAAATACATTTCAAAAATAAAAATAAAACCGAAAAACAAATTTGGTTTATAGATTATTATGAAGAATTCTTTTTACAACATATTTGAATGGGGAAAGAAAAACATATTTTCGATATCATATTCGAATTATTATTATGCAAAATGTATGAAACAAAATTAAAATGTCCATATAATTATTGTCAGTAGAAAAAACCTGTATATCATCATCATCATCATCATTGAATTTAAAGAGCTAAATGATGAAAAAAGCATGTCATGTCATTGCTATTGTTTTGTATTGTTTGTTTGTATACCGATAGGGTCTATGGCCCGAGCAATCACATACAGGGGGTGGATGGTGGTTGTGGTTGAAGGTTAAAAATTAGCTATAGAACAGATTTTTTTTTGAACAAATTCGAATAAAAAAAAAAAAAAAATTCTCACGTACCTTGAATTGAGTTATGGATTGATTATTATCGATTCCATGATTAATTCCAGGCTATAATGTTTGTTGTATTTTTTGGTTGTAATAAAATTTCCATCCTGAATTCCACGTTTCGAATCATCAATTTGACGCAACACAGAAAACACACAACTGGAAGCCGATTAAATGGGAAAAATTTCCTGAAAATATAAAATTCCTAGAATTCGATTTAGGTGTAAAGAAAATTTTCCGGAAAAAAATTTATACAGACGTGTGTGTTTGGATTCGAATTTGATTGATTCCAACAACAAGAAAAAAAATATGCCACCAGTTAAACGTCGATACATTTTGTTTCGGATCGATTTTCTCGATTTGGATGGATCATCATCATCATCATCGATAAAATCACAACAAAAACAGCGGCCAATAATTCATGAAGGTGATCTTATACATTCGGTTCGTGATATGATACAAAAACTTTATGGTGATTATGGTCTTGCATCCATATTGTTCAATTTTCATGCGAAAAAATTCGATATAACCACCAGAACTGGTGTTTTTGCCGTTAAACGTGAATCATATAAATTTCTTATTACATCATTACCATTGATACAAACGATTAGAAATTATTCGATACGCTTTACAATATTAAAAATTTCTGGTACAATACGTGGTACATTACGATCATTACAAGGTTATCATGGTCGTATGATACATAATTATAAAAAATTATTGCCTGAAAATTCCCAACAACAACAACAACAACAAAATGAAATCAACAAAGGTTATGAATCGATTGTAAAAAGTTTGACCGAAAATTGAAATTGATTGTATTAGTTATATTGGAAAAATGACAAATTTTATTACGAATTTTTTTTTCTACTGACAAAATAAAAATCAAATAAAATGATGAATATTTTTATTTTCATGGTCATTAATTTTCCGGTAATTTCATCTGTTCAAAAACAAAATCAACAAATGTTGTCATTTGTCGTAATCGTTGTATTCTGGATAGATGTCGTTCACAATATGGTAATAATTTTGTAATTTTCTTTTGAAATTCAGGCATTTTTTCCATTTCTTCTGGTGATATCTGTTCAAAACAGGCACGTATCACACAATGTGCAATAATCCAATGTTTACTATTCGTATTCCAATGTACAGAATAATCTAATAATGTTAACAATTGATCACGACGTAATTCATGAACAAGATTTTCAACAAGAATTTTGGTTTGCGAATATTCTAATAGCATTTCTTTCATTATCGTCAGACAACGTAATGGATGTCCAAAACGTATAGCCATTTTTAATGCTTTTGGCCAATGTTTTTGTTGTAGTAGATTTTGTAATGTTTGTTCATTTTGTATGGATTCTTCCATACGTATTTGTTCTTTTTCTTTTGACTCTTCTGTACGATCCATCCATATGGCTATAGTTGAATCATCACCTCCGGTAACTTTTTTTTTAAATAAAAAAAAGAATTTTAATTCAAATTTTTCAATTTTACAGAATTTTTTTTTCAAAAAATATAAATACCTATAGTACGTTCATCATCAGTCACATCCATAGCCCATACTTTTCCTTCGTGTGCATCGAATGTTGCCAAACAATCATTTGATTGTAATGACCATATTTTTAGATTACCATCCGATGAACTTGATAATAGCTGTATTCCTTCATCAATAAATGACAATTTCAATACAGATGATTCATGTCCTTGAAATGTTTTCAAACATGTTTGTTGTTCCGTACCGATTGACCAGATTTTTATCGTTGAATCGGCTGATCCAGTTGCTAGAATCTGATCTACGGGTGAAAATCGTACGGACCATATTCCTTTTCGGTGGCCACGAAAAATCGATATCAATTTCAGATTTGGTAATGACCACAATTTTGCTGTACGATCTTGTGATCCAGTAGCCACTAATTGATCATTTGGTGCAACATCAATCGAATTGATTGTTTTTTCATGACAACTTTGTGTATATTTGGATCGAAGATTCGTCGGTTTGTCATTAATATTTTCAATAGATAATTGTTCCGAATCGAAAACAGTTTCGGTGTTTGGAAGTTTCCAAAATTTTAATGTTGTATCTTCACTACCACTGAGGAAAAATAAATTGCCAGCCAATAAAGATGTTGCTAATGATGTAACCGAATGAGTATGGCCAGTTCCTTGATATATACACCAAGCACGATGACAATCATTGTTATCGAATTTCCATACACGAATAGAATTATCTTTAGATGAACTAATCATTAGATGACGATCATATGGAAAAACAGCCAATGTTAATACAATATCATTGTGACCGATTAGAAATGAACAGCTAGATGTATCCAGATCGAATACTTTAATCTTTGGACTATTTGTTGCAACAGCTATGTGTCGATTCGCTTGGCCAATGAATTTTAAATCCAATACCTCATCATTTGTACCGACTAATTGTCTTGTTGGTTTTAGCGTAGAAACATCATGGAAAACAATATCTTTATCATAGGAAATGGCTACAATTTGTTCACTGACAGGATGATATACAAGTTGATTAATCTGTGTATACTGTTGTGATGATGATGTATCTTTATCATGATTTTGATGAATGGCCAATACACTTTGCTTTTGTGCAAACAATTGTTGGCCATTTTTCCAATCCCATAATGTTAATAGGCCACCATCACCGGCCACTACTAAAACTTGTTCATTATTATCATCATCATCTATGAGGGTTTGGGCGAATTTTCTTTTTGGAACTAAAATCATTGCTTCAATTGCTTCATATACGGCGATTGTCCGATATTTTTGCATTGTATGCCAATTCCAAATAATCACTAATTTATCACGACTACCAGAAATGAAATATTGATGATTCGATGTAAAAAGAATTTCCGTTACTTTACTTTCATGTCCTTCGAGTACGCACAAATGTTTTGAATCGATAAGATTCCATACATGTATACCATAATCATCACCCGATACAAATATATGATACGAATCTGTTGTGAATCGTGGAGCAAACGTAATCGTTTGTATAACTGCACGAACATGATTCTTAAGATTATGTGTACAATATTTTTGCATCAAATTCCATAGTTTAACTGTTCCATCGGATCCACCGGTCGCTATTAATGTACCAGTCGTATCGAATCGTATACGAGCAATCGGTCCAATATGCATTGATTTCCATGTACGTTGTAAACTATGATTGATTTCGATTTTGTCCACATCATCGATGATAATTGTCAACGAATAATGTCGTAAAAGACCACTTGTGTATGCAATCACTACATTTTGTTCGACCGAATTATAGGCAAAAGTTACAATACATTCTTCTTTACCATCATCACCATTATCGATTGTAAATTGTGATTTCTGTTCATTTGCACTTAATTTATAGATTTTTTGTCCAGATTTTAAATCGATAAAATTCAAACATTCGATACATGGTGCAATAAGAATTCGACCATTTTGATCCAGATCAATACGATCACCACGAAATATATCATCGAAACGTTTTTCAACAGTAAAAATTTCTTTTAATAATTTTTTATCTTTCATTTTACAATATATTTTTACAAATGATGGAATACACAAATTTAACAATAATAACAAAAAAAATTCTGCAATTCCAAACACGTGAATTCATGCGCCACTATTTCAACCTTTTCAAGTGGTTAATGCGAGACTATTTTAACAATTTTTAGTTTGGACACTTGTTGCTTTTATTTGAATTTTTTCTTTTGTGCCAAATTTTAAAGCGGAATATTTCCATGTTTTCGTTGTGGTAACATTGATTTTTTGTTCCGTAATAGATTCAGGTCGCGACAAATACGCATTCGTGTTGTACGTGGTTCGATAATATCATCGATGAAACCACGTGTAGCGGCCGGAAACGGATTACCAAATTTTTCAATATATTCATCTTCATATTGTTTAGTATTCTCTTTACCTCGATATAGAATTGATACGGCACCTTTAGCCCCCATGACAGCAACTTCAGCCGTTGGCCATGCATAATTGGCATCAGCTTTCAGATGTTTGGAACTCATTACATCATATGCACCACCATATGCTTTGCGTGTGATAATCGTAATTTTTGGTACACTAGCTTCAGCAAATGCATATAATAGTTTAGCACCATGACGAATAATACCACCATATTCTTGTGATGTACCGGGAAGGAAACCTGGTACATCAACAAATGTCAATAATGGAATGTTGAATGCATCACAGAATCGTACGAAACGTGCACCTTTCACCGATGAATTTATATCTAAACAACCAGCAGCATATTTTGGATTATTACCAACAATACCAACCGTTTCACCATTCATTCGAGCAAAACCAATGACAAGATTTTTAGCGAAATCGGGCATTATTTCGAAAAAATCACGCTCATCAATTATCTTTTGTATGTGAGAGAAAAAAGATTTAATCGAAACTACTTAAGATTAGAATAAAATCTCACCAACCTCCATGATGACATCGGTCATATTGTATGGTGTGGTCGTTTCTGGTGGTATAATTGTGTCCAAACTATATACCAAACGATTCCATGGATCATCACATTCACGTATAGGAGATTTATGTTGATTAGAAAGTGGTAAAAAACTATAGAAATTTCGTAACTGTAGTAACATATCGATATCATTTGGATAGGCACGATGTGCAACACCTGAAACGGCTGTATGTGTTGCTGCGCCACCCAATTCTTCCTGTGTGACATCTTCATTTGTAACTGATTTCACAACATCTGGTCCGGTAATAAATAGATATGATGTATCTTTAACCATAAATATGAAATCAGTCATTGCCGGTGAATAGACAGCACCACCAGCACATGGTCCCATAATAACGGAAATTTGTGGTATAACACCTGAGGCATGTACATTACGATAAAATATATCAGCATAACCGGCTAATGATTCAACACCTTCCTGGATACGTGCACCACCAGAATCATTTAGTCCGATAACCGGTACGCCCACTGATAATGCAGCATCCATAATCTTGATGATTGAATTATGGTAATAATTATGAAAATTTCGAAATATTTTCAATTCATTTAAATAATAATAATAATTACTTTACAAATTTTTTTAGCATGTACACTGGAAAGACTACCACCGAATACGGTAAAATCTTGACTGAAAACATAAACCTCTTTACCGAAAATTTTTCCATGTCCAGTTATAACACTATCACCTGTATACTATGATAAAAAATTAAAAAAAATTAATGATTCAATGCTGATAATAATGGCCTCACTTTTTGTTTATCCATATCAAAATCTGTACAAGTATGTTCCATAAACATATCCAATTCAACAAATGTATTCGTATCCAACAATAGATCGATTCGTTCACGTGCAGTTAATTTTCCCTGAAATCAAATTGATCATTATTGGAAAACAATTTTACACAAAGAAACCTTTTTATGTTGTTGTTCAATACGTTTCAAGCCTCCACCCAATAATGATTGTTGACGTTTTTCATCGATACGATTCTTGATCTTAATGGATAATGATGATGACGATGATGTGGATGCAGATGAAAATGATCTATATATCCATGATGGTGATGTCAATATATTACTATTGTTGTGACATAATCGTCGTAAAAGTATGGATACCATGTTTGTTTTGGAAAAAAAATTCATAACAAAAAAATAAACAATTCTTGGGTTCTTGATTAAATTGAAAAATAATAGAAATCAATCAATCAACAAAAACTGAAATAGAAACAAGATGAATTTTTTTTGCCAATTTTCTTTCCTTAGCTTGCATAAAATTCAACAGTTTTTTCAGTATATGCAGAGAAATTTTATCCTTGAACATCATCAATAACGATAATCACCATGCATCATCATCATCATTGGTTATTGAAGACTATAGTCTTATCAAAAAATTTGGTGAAGTGGAAAAAACTGGAACTTGTTTTCCCTCATTTTAATTTGCCGAAACATTTTTTTTCATGATATCATTTTTTTTCAATGAATATTTTTATCATCATGTGTTGATAATAATATACTTGTTTTCATTTCATATATGATGATAATAACGATGAAAAATTCTACGCCAATTACGCCATCTTTTGGTGGTAATTTTCTCAGTAATTAATATTCGGATCATATGAATCAATTGAATTCGATATTCAAACGTGTATGTGTTTCAATTCAAAAAAAAAAAAAAAAAAAAAATTGATCATTTTTGAAAAATATTTTGAGATTTATTTTCATTTTCGTTTGAAAAAAATAATTATTCATCTTTTTTCTTTATCCTCAAGTTTTTCATTGATATTGAAATTTAGATTTTGAAAAATAAAATATTAAATATTAATATATAAATCTATCATTGCTGCTGCAACTTCAATTAATAATAGTAACAAAACATCAACAAAATTCATGATCAAGGTGAAAATTTTATCAATAATAATTTTGATCAATGTTCAAGATAATGTTTCGAAAATTTGATGGCAATATATCCATTTATTTTTTTTTCACTTTTTCATTGGCTGTACAGATGAACAAATTGTTTATGATCATCATCGTTGATAAATTGTTGAATTAAACGCTGTAATTCCATGCCACGTGTCTTAGCCACATTCTTTCGTAATCATAATTCAATATGAAATCAATTATAATTAATAAATAAAATTAATGAATAATCAATCAATCAAAAGAAAAATACAAAATACTAATCATAAATTACCAGAAAATATTTGCCATGTGATCCATTTGGATCGATTGTAAATTGCCATAATCCAAAATAAGTATCCACTGCATATGCAAGCAATGTAAATGCTTTTGATTCGGCTCGTAATTGTTGTAATGAATACTGATGATGATCATCGTCGAGTATTTCATCCATCCAATGATCATGATCATCATTATTATTATTAGTATTATTACATTTTAATTTTCTAACCATTTCATGACGATATTCATTAAGAAAAATATCCATTTCATGATCGGTTGGAAAACTTTCTGCACCAAACATATCATCACGATGACGATAATTGGAAAAATATCTTCCAAGATCATAACCACGATAATAATAGGTAGAATAATCAAGATCAATTAATTTGATATGATCATTGCAAACGATACGATTATTGCGATTAAAATCATTATGTGAAAATACAAATGATGATTGACCAGAAATATCATGACATAATCGAATGATATTGGCATTTAATTTGATAATATCAATTTTAGCGGCAAAATCATCTACATGCAATGGAGAATAATATTATTATTATGAGAAATTTAATAATTTAATTTATTTTTGTTTTCTTCACATACAATATTCTTGTCGTAATTGTTCATCGTGTTTGATTAACGGTAAATATGCTTTGCTTTCGAGTATGTCATAGAATGGCATTAATTCTAGATTTTCAATCATTGATGACCAACGTTGTTGTGAATCATTGGAAATCGGTACATTAAGCCGATGAAATCTTGCCAATGTTCTTGCCAATTTTCGAACAGTTTGTTCATTGCAATCATCATTGTAATTATATGTACGACCATCGATTAATTCATATACTTTATATTGATGATCAGTGTAGAATAATCGGGGTCCAATACCATTGGAACAAATAATAGTATTTATTACCGATGCTTCCAATGGATCATATTTAATAAAAATATTATCTGGTAAAATTTTCACAACAATTTCATTGTGATAAATTGATGAAAATTTTGTGTTTTCTTTCGTTAAAATCGATGGATTTAATCGACAACGTATCACATCACAAATATTACCCTTTCTATAAAATGGATGATTGAATAAATTTACATAACAATAATAAATGAAATGGAATGAAAATACATTTATCAATTATACCCTAAATATTCAGCTTGAAAATCATTCTTTCCGGTTATCTGTGACCAAACATTGATTGTATTGAATTTTTGAAATAATTCAATAAGTTTTCGAAGAATTTCATCGGATTCAATCATTGTTTTGTTGTCGTTGATGATGATGATGATGAACAAATTATAATGAACGAATCGATCGATCACCATAAATTGAATTTATGAATGAACAAAAAAAATTTTACATTTCGCCAAATCAAAATGTTTGATTGATTGACAAACATAACTTACTATTTTCACTTATTGATGGATATCTTTGCACACTCTATATCAAGATAAGAAAAATTTTGAATTCAGATATTTTGATCAATCATATGATGCCATCATTTGTGTGTGTGTGTGTGTGTGTGAAGAAAAATGGAAATATATAGCAATTTATACAATTCAAAATATATATCCACTAATCAATAATCAATTATATATTAATATTTGTATTTGTATCCTTGTCTTTGAAATCGCACAAATAAAGTTCAATACATTATTTTCAGCCAACAAAAGTCCCTAGAAATGGAATCTATGTAAAATTTATGCTTTTTTGTTTGAAAAATTCGGGTTTAATAACTTTATTCAACAAAACAAAACAAAAAAAAATTGATCATTGATCATTTTATTTCAAAGAAAACATTTTACTCTCTCACTCGAAGTTGGTGCCGCCACCATCTCTCGACCATTACAGATTGAAAAAAAATCATTCGATTTGATAAACTAAATGAAATGTTAGATATGTTGATGATAATTTGTTTGCAAAAAAAATGATGAATCAAAAAGGGATTTTTTTTTTTGGGATTTTTCTGACCATCTTACTAATGACATCACTGATTAATGATGATGATGATGATGATGACGGAATAGATTGAATTTCAATTTTTTGCCTTCTTGCCTGATTATTTCTAATTATTTCAAGATGGAGGATCCTCATCATTGATTTGATGCATAATTTTTAATGTAACCAAAATTCGTAGCTATAATACGCGTCTTAAACCAAAAAAAAAAAATGTTATTGCACAAATTTTAAATAGTTACTTAGAAAAATATATCTGCGTTTCGTTAGTAGCAATTTTTTAGGGTATATATTCAAACGTAATTATTAATTGTCGAAATTTGTCTACTCACATTGTGGCATCGATTTTTTTTTCTATTTGTAAAATTAATAAATATTGATTGGAGTATTACCTAGAAATACAATAGTATTGAAAATTCATAGGAATTAATTTTTCTTTGATACTGATAACTTTGTTTTGAGGAATAATTTTATCACATGAATTTTTATAAAAAATTTTTATGATCGACGTCAATTTGATAATTTGGCAATATGTAATTTGAATTGAAAAAAAAGAAAGTCATGCTACTTATATAAAACAGGAAAAATATGATCAATCAAATGTTTATTCATTCGATCAACAATATTCAATCGAATATTCAATCAACAATGGTAAATAGTTCAGTTATCGTAACGATACTATTGATAATTGTATCAATTAAATATTCTAATGAACAAACTATTAATTGTGATCGAAATGCTGTTGATCGTTGTATGTTAAGATTGACCATTTTTGGTGATCCAAAATTACGATTTCCATATGATTTGAATACAATGAATAAACGTTGTCGAGAAGTGAAATCATTGGAAACGTGTATAAAAAATTATACAAAAAATTGTCTTCCATTAGATGCACGTAATACCGTATCTGTGCTTATATTTAGTATTAAACAAACATTCAAAGTATATTGTACTCGTAAACGAAAACCGGCATTCATTTCCATTGGTTTGTGCATGAATCCAAACATGGTAGAAATGTCCAAAACGATGAATCAATTTACACGTTCATTACACGGTATTCGATTTTATCATGATGAAAGTCTTCGAATTCCAATGGTTTGTTGGTAAGTAGTAGAATTTATCACTTTTTACAATATTTATTTGATGAAAACTTTGTTTTAATTTATTGATTTCTATAATAATGAGTAATAATAATAATAATTTTGAATTAATTTCTTTATCATAATTGTAGCAATTATTTTCTATTAAAAAGTCTATATTGGATTTGGCCACTGTTAAATGTCCAAAAATACTTGATGAAGTTGAATATATGGTCGATGGCTATGGAAAAAATGTTGCTAATCTTATCTGTGGTGATTACAATGAAGAATCGGATAAATGTGAATCTATTATCGGACAAACACCCGAATGGAAAAAGCCATTAAATTTTACTAGTTTTGTCATACCATTAGCACAAATTGTTGGTAATTTATAGATAATCAACGAAAATCGATCATTTGACAATATTATTTTCCAAAATCAATTAAAATTTTATTAATTAAAAAAAAATTATCCTTGAAATTTATATTATTTCAATGATGGTCATATTTTTTGGCCATTCTTTTAATCAAAAAGAAAAAACAACCGGATGTAACATTGAATAAATGAACAATTGATTTAAACCTATCAAATGGATTAATAAGTGAAAAAAAATTGAAAAAACAAACACAAAATTGAAAATGCATGTATGCAAAATCACAAAGCTGCAATAACATTATCATAATCAATGATACGAATATAAAACATTTGATGAAATAAAAATGATGAATTCATCCCAATGTGTGTGTATATAATAACTTGTTTTAATTGCAATGCAATCTATAAACAACAAACGAACAAGTAATTAATTTGAAAGATATGAACCCCTTATTCTGATTGTGAAAAAGGGTAAATGAAACGACCAAAAGAGAGTTGTTTATAGTGTTTGTGTTTGTTTTTGATTTTAAAATTTTTTGATATAAAAAGGTCTTCGTCGATGATGAATTCAAATGAAAATTTTTCTTATTTTTTTTTCAACCAAAAATACAAATATTTGAATTACATCACCCGTTCATCGAAAAAATCAAGATAATTATGATTAAAATCCGACTGATGATGATAATGATGATGATGGTAACAATGTTATCATCAATAATCACCATTGTTATTGCCACTGCTGCTGAATGTGACGCAAAAAAAGTAGATAAATGTATGCTTGAAATGACCATAATTGGTGATTCACGTCTACGTTTTCCAACAAATCAAACAATGATGAATGATCGTTGTAGACAGATGCGACATCTTGAACATTGTGTTAAAGATTATTCAAAAAATTGTCTTGCAGAACGTGCAAGTCAAACAGTTTCCGTATTGATCTATGGTATAACCAAAACAAATAAAGCATTTTGTTCGAAAAAACGACGACCATCATATTTACGTATTGGACGTTGTGCAAATAGTAAACCAGAATTATTTGCTACAATTATGAATCGTATGACCAAAGCATTTCATGCTATAAAATCACATCCCAAAGAAACGATACGTATTCCATTGGCCTGTTGGTATGTTACAAATTCAATTTTTTTTCTTTTTTTGAAAATTGAAATTAATCTTTTTTACTTTTTCAAAAATCTAGCAATTATTATCAATTCAAAGATTCCATTATGCAATTAGTGGAAAAAATCTGCCCAAATGAATATGATGATGTTGAAACATTATTGGATGGTTATGCAAATGATGTTTTAAATTTAATCTGTGGTGATTATACTGCTGATTCGGATAAATGTGATTCAATCATAATGCAAACACCGGAATGGAAACGACCATTAACATTTAAAAGTTTCGTTATACCATTGGCACAAATTATAGATAGTATTTGATTTTATTTCTTTCATAAATCATCTTTCATCAATATATCATAATTTTTGATCAATTTTAAATTTTTATAATTAATAAAATTTTAAAAAAAATTCTAATCTATTTGATTATTCATCATTATCATTATTCACTGAAAGTGGTCGACGAATAGTGGTTTTAATATATGTTGTTGTTCATCACTTGCCGGTCATTTTCATCGAAAGCAAGGATTTTATTCACCAATCGATACATTCATATGCGATACGTTTTATATTACATTTATAATGATTCCATCATGATCAATGCCAATAATAAATCCAAATTGTCCCAAATAAAAAGAATGATGAATTGAAACATTTTTTTTTTTGAACAACAAAAAACAAGGAACCACGTTTTTTTTGTTTAATTAAGACAAAAAAGCATTTGATGGCATTGCCATCATAGATGAGAGTTGATGACCTTTAACCCATTATTGAAAAGGCAGAAAACGAGTTTTTCTTCTTTTTTTTTTCCTCATAGAATTGATACAATCGAAAATCAATTTCCACGGTCAACACGCTGCTGAAGGTCGATAATTAATTTTTAAAATGATAAAAAATGACTAAATTGACCTTAACAATTAATGAATTATTTTTTTATTATCGAAAATTTATTTTGAAGGTTGAAAAAAGGTTTTAATTTCCATTTGCCAATGATAATGAATTTATTGTTGCTGTTGTTGTTGATGTTGAGATCGTTCGAGTTTCCGTTCCACTGATATGAGACGATTAGATATGATTTGTAATCGTTTGATAAGATCTTCATGTACAGTGTGATGACGATCAATCAGATCATTGATATCACCGAATGGATTCGAAGCTTGAAATCTTAATCGAGCCAATTGAAATTGTAACAGGCATAGCATTCGTGTTAATAATAATTTTTTATCATTCATAATGATTTCCGTTTCACTATCCGAATCATCATCATCAATATTATTATTATCGTTATTATTATTATGATTATGATTAGTAGCATTAGTTGTATTTGCATTGGTAGTATTTGATTGTTGTTGTTGTTGTTGTGATGGTGGCGGTGGTGGTTGATTTTTATTCGCTACATTTTCTTCGCTTCGTATTGTCGAAGTTAATGATGATAATGATGATAATGATAATGAATGTTCATGTATATTTAATCGTCGACATAGAGCACGAAATGTAATGGGAAATTTTGTTGGTTGTATACGATCTTCATCGATATTATCATTTGTAGATGGTGTTTGTCGTGGTAATATTTCTTGTTGCCGTTTATTTTGTTTAATAATTATCGATCTTGTTATTCCATCGAAATCCTCATCATCATCATCATAATCGATATCATGATTATTGATTTGAATTGTTGGTGATAATGATAAAGTTGTCGGTCGACAACGAATAACAATATAATAAAGCCATGTCCATTGTATTAGTAATACAGCCGGCAATCGTCGTCGAATATGTTTTTTCTTATGTCGTTTTTGTTCAGATACTTTCAATGCAATACCGGTGGCAATGATACCAGATGGAACAGCATATAATGATACGGAAAATAAGAACACTAATGATGCTATAATACGGCCAATAGTTGTCTGTGGATACATATCACCATAACCAATGGTCAATAACGATATGAGTGACCACCAAAATGTTTTTGGTATAGATGTAAATTGTGTTCCCGGTTGATCATGTTCAATGAAATACATGGTAAATGTTAATAATATTAAACACATCGAACAGACATAGAATATGGTGTATAATTGTTGATGTTGCATCCAAACCACCGACATGACAAGGCGCCATCTTTTAAATGGTATATCTAAACGTATCAATTTCAGTATCTGTACAAAACGAAGCCAATCAAAACTATTATGATAATGTTTTTGGATCATTAATTGTTTAGCCAACAAAACACCGGTAATGATTAATACGAGTAGATCTAGTAATGCAAATGGAGTGAATATATATCGTAATAGGCCACGAAAACCACGATATCGTGGAATATGTGGTGCGGCCCATAAACGGATAGAGAATTCGCAGCCTAGAACGACCAGTATAAGGGCATCGGTCCCTTTTAATACAATAGATGACCAATGATGAAGTTCTTGTACGGTTGCCAAAGAAAGAAACGTTAGATCGAGTATCATCAAAAAGCCAACAAGATAATGATATGTTAATGCCCATCGATTCGTCGGATATGTTAGGGCATGAAATAATAATCGTCGTTTTTCATATCGTTTACGCTGTAATAACCGTTGTCGTCGTTTATATGAATTTATTGATTCGTGTTTCAAAAAAACAGGCCATTGTTTTTGATTTTGTCTTTGCTGCTGATCGATATTCATTCGTTCATTTAATTTATTGTTTCGATGAATTTGTCTGAAAATCAACGATTCAAACGATATATTTCACCAACGTAATTTCTGGCCTATTTATTGAAAAAAAAAACAAATTGAAAAACAAAATTCGAATTTGATTATACTTAGCATTTTGAAAATTGTCATATAGATGGCGCTTCATCTATTTTCTTACTGCAATTTACAGAATTTTCATTGGAAAACAAAACACGACAAAAACAAAATTTTTTTTTTTATGAAACTATCATTTTAATAATAACCGGTTATGATTTTTGAGGATCCTAGTTTCTAATGGAGAAAATTTCCTGATCATGTTTGTTATTTGTTATTTGTGGTCACAAATTACACAAACACACACACATTGAATGAATAGGGATTAAAGATCAAGATGAAGAGATGATGATGATGATGACCTAAATGTCATGTCGTCATTTCGTTATATAGAATAGAAAAAATAAGAAAAATTCACATAAATCAAAATAGAAGAAAGATGGGTTAAGGTTGTTTGTTTGTTTTGTGTATGAATTAAGGAGAAATAAAAAAAAATTGAGGATGATTCACAAAAAAAACTAGGTTAGCGTTTCAAATAAACATAAAACAAACTAAATAGACACAAATAGAACCAATTCTGTCAATATGGAAAAAATCAATCGAAAATTCGAATTTTTTAATAATTTGATTTAGTAGATTTTTTTTTCTTTTAATTTCGAAAATAATTTAACAGGACCAAAAGTTGTCCTATTTTAATTTATTTTTAATTTTTCATTGTTTTTATCATTTTATCATGATTATCAACAGGTCATCAATCATAATCATCATCATCATCAATTCATGATCCATCAACACAATCATTGAATTTTGGAATTCAAATTGGCTCAAGTAATAAAACGACCAGAAAAAAATAAGCAATCAGTCAAAAAGATCTAAAAATATGATCTAAATTTGGATCCGGTTTTTGTTGTTTCTTGGTTGTGTATATTTTTAGAAATTAGATCAAAACCAGAAAAACCAAAACTGAAAAAAAAATAATGAATCAATCCGGTTTTTCTGTTGTTGTTGTTGTTGTTTTGTTAACCTTAGAAAATATAGGTTTCAAATCGTGATCATCATCGGCCATCATCATCATCAAGTATCTGTAAATAGAAGCGAGGAAAACACACATCACAATAACGAAACGATCCACTTGTGTGGATATTTATAATATATACCAACCACAAGGTTGAAGACATTCGGAGATATCGCATTAATCGACCATTATCAATGTCTAACTATAATTTTTTTTCTTCTCTATTCTCTTCTCAATGTATATCGGTGACCTCGACATTGACAATGACCTAGATAGGTAGATAGACAGAGAAAGAGAGAAATAAAATCTTTTTTATATTTCTGTTTCCTTTATTTAAATTTCATCCTTGTACATGATACGATACCACAAATCGACCGACTGACAAACTGGTTTCCAATGTTAAAAAATAGTCATCTAATATGGCCGATGAAATTGATCAACCATAAAACCAAGCCAAGAAAACAAAAACAAAACAAAACAAAAAATATCAACATCGACCTTTCATTAAATGATGATGATGATGATGATGATGAAGATCTTACTAAGATGCCATAAACATTAACATTGGTTTTTTTTTTGATTCACCAGAAAATTAGAAAGAAAAAACAATGAACGATATTCATATTGAATAAAGCAAGCCAAAAGAAAAAAAAATTAATTCCGAAATGAAACTTGATTGGCTAGAGTGTTAAGACAGTCAAAATAACAACATATGCTTTTTCTATTAATAGCATCCATCAATTAATGATGATGATGATGATGATGCTGATCAGATGCATCAATCTCGGCTATGTAATGCTATTATTTCGCTATCGATTGAAATAGAATAATAAAGGATAAAAGATGAATAAAAGAATTGAATTGAGGTTATTCAACTATCAATGTGGATTTCGTTTTGTTTTTGTGGTCTAAAAAGAGTTCATGGTGGTCATTAAAGATGATATTTTTTTTTGTTTCGATTTTTATTTGTTATTATCATCATCACAATCGCCATCATCGATACTATCGATAATGTAGATCAGATATAACTATTGTATCAATCAATCAATCCGAGAATTCATAAAATTTTGTTCGATTTGATGATTCATTGATTCACTGCTTTTTGATTTTTTTTTTTTTTTGGCCATTTACCATACTTTTTTCAATTTAAATGTTATTGAACTAATGAATCAATCGATTGATTAATTGATAGATTTTAGATTTAAATTTTTTAGTACAATTAATTCATCTGTCTATCAATTTATAAAAAAAAATTGCAATATCATTTTTCTCCTTTTGGTTTTTTTTTGGTGATGAAAACCTCAACAACAAACATAATAATAACCAGAATGTGGCTGTTTTGTTTTTGTTTGAAATTACATCGAGATAAATCGGATTAATCTTGATTCAAGAATCGATTTAAAAAACAAAAACAAAACAAAAAAAAATTCCACCGGAAATGCTTACGTTTCATTCATGAAATAGAAACAAATAGAAGAAATTTCCACTTATACATGTGATGTTTTTTTTTTTTTTTTGTTTTGTTTTGCCAATTTTGATGTCAACAACAATAGCTATCAAGGTCATTTGTATTTAATAGATTTATACATGGCTACTATTAAAATAATAATGTTTTCTCTTACACACAATAGTGTGGTGTAAATTTCAACAATTTATTTCTTGTAAAAAAAATAACCAATTTGAAATCACATGTATGACATGTTCATGTTTTTTGCTTTGTTTCAATATTAATATTCGTCCATATTTATTCCCATGAACAATTATGATTCAGATTTTCAGGTGATACAGCCAGATAGGTAGATTGTTGCTGTTCAATGTTGAACCTGAACTTGGAATTTACATACACACACACACACACACACACATCGATGATTGCAATGGATATGTAATATTTTTTTTTCTTTGTCACAGAAAAAAAATTTGAAATTCATTTTTTTGAATCGATAAAAAAAATTGGAAAATTTAACACCTTGTTGATCATTCGAAATCCAATATTTGATAATTTAAATTAAAACTAAAAATACTACTTATGATGAGGAAAAACAAAATCTATTTGAACATATTTATATATATTCTCAAACGTCATAACGATCATTGTACTCATTTAAAAAAAAAAATCAAAATCAAAGTCGTTTTTTTTTGTTGAAACAACGACGACATATGATGTAATCAAAAAAATTCTCATCATTATTATCGTTCTTCCTAGTGCAATGATGATCATAAACTTGTCATAGTCTTTCAACTTCTTAACTTGTTTTTGTTTTCTGTGAAAAAAAAACAACAATCAAATTCGTTTGTGTTGGTTGTTTCTGTGTGTGTGTGTGTGTGTGTGTGTGTGTGAATGTGTGTACAGGGTTAATATTCTATTGAGTAAAAAAATTATTATTATTATTATTAATTCCAGTTTGGTTTGTTCGATTCGGTTCAATGATGATAATGATGATCATCATTATCATTTAATATGATTTGAACTTTGACACACAAAATTTTGGACTAAAAAAAAATCATCAAGAAAATCTTGTAAGACAAGGAAGTTAACAAATTTTCATTGCACACACCACACACACATAAAAAAAACACACATGACATATCAACAAAATTTAAGTATTTTCTTCTTTAATTTTCATTAAAAATTTCTTGTCTTGTTTTTTTGTTTTGTTCTTATTTTCGGACCCGGAAAACAAAAGAAAAAAAAACTAAACAATGATACAATTGGCCAAAGCTAATCATTTTTATTATTTCCATGAAAGATAATGATCCATTATTATTAGTATTATTTAACCCTCCACACACACACATGTCCATTTTTTTTTTTCCTCATCCAATATCAATGAATAATGATTTAAATGATTTATAAACTTGATTGTCGTTGATGAGTTCAATAACCAATCAAAGAAAAAATCAATGATTTAATGAAATTTTATGTGATTATATAAGAATAAAACCAAATCAAATTGATAAACTTTCATTTCATTAATGTTGATGATCAATGTGGATAGGGTTGAAATAATAATTATATAAGCATCATCATCGTCATTAGTTTTTGTTTTCCAATTGTAATAATCATTTAGCAATTGTGGAATGAATGAATGAATTAAAAAAAAAAAAAAATACACAGGGTGCGATTGTCAAATTATTATTTGTTGACGCCTTTTACCGTTTACTTTATGTTATAACAATCATAAAACTATAGCTAAAGCAGATGTTGAATGAATAAAAAAGAAGGGAGCCATGTCCTCTCTGGTTTTTTTTTTTGTTTTACATCCAGTCAAACCAAGTCAGTAATCATCAATTCATTTAGAGGTGATTCAACTCAACTGTCATCTCTTCTCTCATATATAGATTATATTCCGTATTCTCTCTGTCTCTCTCACTCTCTGCATGTGTATAAAAAACACACACAAACATATGCAACAGGAGTCATCCAACCAGTCAAATATAAAAAAAGCATTAAACATTTTATATATCTTTGAGTAGTGTGGTAATCATCGATGATAATGATTAGCATCTATTTTTTTTTTTTTCTGGCTATATAATAAAGAACCACTACTACCAAAGAGGATTCATCCACATACCATACAATGGATCAATGAACACACACACACATAGCCACTATGAGAAAGATGGTATTTAGTAGTAGTCTAAGTATTACACCCGGAACAACAAATTCAAAATAAAAAAAAACGTTTATTCAACGAACGACGAAGATGAAAATGATGGTTTTTTCAATGGATGAATTGGCGCATCAACGGGCCAATCGCCCAAATTTTTTTTGGCTATCATAGGTCAACGATCAAAAATAAAAACCAGAAAATTCCTCTGTGTGTGAGTGAGTGTGTTTGGTAGAGGGTGCGAAAAAAAACTTAAATCCTAAATCTGAATCTTTCTTTTGAAAAATAATTATCATGGATGGATTTTCTCATCATTTGGTTATTTTTTTCTACGTTTATACAAGCCATAAATTGTTATTTTTAAGCAAAAAACAAAAAAGCTAACAGTAGAAATGTTTGATAAAGCAAACTTTGTTGACCCAACTTTTGTCACATGTGATGATATGTCATATGACATGACATGACATGACACATACGACATAGTGGTATATAAATAAGTAAGTAGTATTTGTGACACGATCCTTTTCTTCTTCTTCTTTCTCCTCCTCACCATCTCCTTCGTCTTAAAAATAAAAACAAACGCACATAATTCGCACACCCATCAAAAGATTATCCACACACACACACAGAGTTTTATTCTAAAACCAAATATGATTTGATGGATAATCAAAACATACATCACACATACACAGAGTGGAATATAACAATAATATCCAAACTTGATCTTGGTTGTTGTTGTTGTTGTGGTGGTTGTGGTTGTGGTGGGTATATTATGGTCGAATGATCACAAATATGTGTAGGAGTAGATTCAATTTTTATATTTTTTTTTCTGGTTCGAAATAGCAACAAGCATCCTTCAGCATTTTCTTTCTTTTTCTGGTCATTATTATTATTTGTTCGATGACATTCTGTATTGTATTGTCTGATGGTTTTCTTTAGTAAAAAAAAAGGGAACCACCAACCAACCAGCTAGCCAGCCAATCAACTAACAAATTTTTGTATTTTTTTTTTTTTGAAAGGTTGTTTGATCCATAATCCAAGAGCAAAAAAAAACATCATTATAATAACTGGATCTAGCTGCCTACCCACTTTCAATACGAAAACATTGCCTGTATCTCTCTCTCTCTCTCTCTTTTTTTTTTGCTATCAATGTGTTTGTCTGTGTCGATTGATTGTTTTTGTGTGTATATATAACCGGAGTTTTTTTTCTGGTAAACAAAAAGAGAGAGAGAGAGAAAAAAAAAACAAGAGAGAAATACCCGATAAAATTCTATATGCAGTGCGTGTGTATTGTGTGTGTGTGTGTGCGTGATTTTTTTTCTTTTTGGTAAACATATTACCCGTTGGCCGTTAGCATCATGATGATGATCAACAATTTAAATTTGATTTTTTTCTGTTTTGTTTCTCTCATACACATCTCTGAAAACATTTTTTACATTATTTTCATCAACCCGATTATATCGGGAACACACAGCATACAGAATGTTTTTTGTTGAATTTAATTTTTTTTTAAAAAAAAAACATTATCAATGACATTGATCATTAGATCGACATGAATTTTTTTCCACGTTTTTCAAAAATTGCAATACATATTTTCATCGAGAATTTTCACCGATTTTTTTTTTTCTTAATTCTTAGTGCTTGTTGCCACCAAAAAAAAACTCTTTATAGTTATTTTATTTTGATTTTGTAGTGGACACATGATGATCATTTGAATTTTTTTTTTGTTTATCTTTTCGACTATTGTTTTCATGTGTGTATGTATTTGAAGAAGATCACACCTGTAAGGTAGTGAATTTTTTTTTCTCGTTATTCTCTCTTGGGTCCTTTTTATTTGAATTTCTTTTTTTTTTACATTTTGTTACTCTTGGCTTCGTCGTTGTCGACGTCAATTTTCTTCTCATTTATACTACATTTGCTATTACGAGGAGAAAGAGGGTGGTTTATATTGTCTACATTTTTTTTTTGCTGGTTTCTCTTTACTCACTCAATTAGTCAATATTCAGTTGAAAACAATTTTTTGAATTTCATCATCACATTCGAAAGTGAACCAAGAATTTTTCATCCCATCAATATTGATATCAATCAAAGCAGTAATAATAGTTCAACGAAACGATTCAAACGATTTATTTTTTTATTTTGTGAAAAACAATTCTTTTATTTGTGTGTGTGTGTAAAATAATATTAATTTGATTGATTTTTATTTTTCTATAATGCAGTAATTGTTCAACAATTGATTTTTCACCGTCAAAAAAAGTGTGATAAATTTCCCCAAAAAAAAAATCATCATATTTCATCATTATTTCTTTTTTTTCCAGAAAAATTTCTTTCAAAGAAATTCCATTTGGTCCAAGAAAAAAAATATTTGCTTGATACATGTAATCTATGAGTCAATCAATTATATTATCATCAGCACTATCACCACTAAACACGTCTACATTAGCCTTCATTTATTGTCATCAGGTAAGATGTAAATTTTTTTTTTCAATTTATAAAATCTTATTACATCATCATCGTCATCATCATTATCATTACAAATAATCCTTTTGCTTAGGATTATTATCTCTCAATTCCAATGTAATTCTATAATAATCTGATGTAGTGTAGGTGTAAATAGTAGCTACTCATTCATCATTAGGTTCATCGAACCTTATTTTCAATTTATTATGTTTTACCTTCATCATCATCATCATCGCTAGGGTTAGCGAACGAATTCATCGATCATTTCCATCATCATAATATCATATCTATAGAACATTTTTTTTTACATCGTGAATTTCATTTTTTTTTTTTTCATTCATTTGATTCTCTATACATCTTGACTAATTATGCGTTTTCTTTTTTCTTTCTTTCTTTCTTTCTTTCTTCCCTTAGCTATTATTTAAATTACGAAAACAACAAAGATAATTGATCATCGATTGAATTTTTTTTTTCGAATTGTCATCATTCTTTTTTGTTCAAAAAAAAATTTTCTTTTTATATATTTCGAAATTGATTTCAATTTGGCGCCATTTAAAATCATTGACATCGTTCACGGTGGCGACATCTTTCAACTGATTTTGTGTTTTTTTTTCATTTCTAATTTCAATGAATGATGTTTGTGTGCAATCTTTGTGTGTTCTTATGCCATTGATTGTAAGTGATCACTTCGAATTAATTTTCAAAAAAAAAATTCAAATTAACACGAAAATCCAACGAACAAAGTGATTTTTATTAATATCTCTTGAATGATTTAATATATACAAATTAATACCGTTCAAACGGTGAGAATTTCCATTTTTTTTTTTTTTTGCACGTTCTATTCTCTTCATTCAACAATTTTTTCACCTAACCATTTCCGGCGTAAACAAACGTAACCAAATAAAACCGTAAGTAATCCGATTTTTTTGTATGGAATAAAAAATAAACAAATAAAACTGTATCGAGAAAATTTTGTATCATATCTGGAATCCATAGATAGATAGATTGATTTTTTTTTTATTTTCTCCATTTCGATGATCAAATGATCAGCCAATTTTAATTAGAGAGAAAGGGGGGAGGAAGAAAAAGTACAAACAGAGAATTATTACCAATTTCCATAATGTGGCAATTGTGTTATAGTAGACAGTGTTTAGACAATTTGTCTACGGCGATTTTATGATATGATGATATCATATAATCATTATGATTATTTTTTTGTTCCACTGTAAATTATTTGCATCATAATCATCATCATTTTTAAGGTTCGATATCCAAAGTTTATTGCAAAAAAAAAATAAAGTGTTTTTTTTTTTTGTTGTTGTTATTATATATTGATCATCATCGATGATGGCAAAAAATGAAATCATTTTTTTTTTTTTTTTTGATTTATAGAGAAAATATTTTTAATGATGAAAATGATAATTATATTATATTAATTGATTACGATAATTATAACGAGAGTGAATGAAACATCATTCGGGGTAGAATGTACATAATCGCATCATTTTTTTTGCATATATATAAATACGCAAAACAACATTATTTAGATGCTAACAAAAATTTTTGATTGATCTCCTCATCACGTATTTTGTGTGTGTGTGTTTTTGCTCTTTGTTTGCATGGTTTAATATTTTTTTCCTAAATTGTATTTTGCTGTGATTTTATTGATTGTCTGTTGAAAATTTTTCAGTTTTTTTTAAATTTAAAAAGTGTTTATCTTCTTTTTGTTCTTGTTACACTTTTTTCCATTTTTGTTTTACAATGAATCAAATTGAACAAAGACAATCATCAATACCAAGATCATCAATGGTTGATGATTATAATCGTAATCGATTAAATATGAATAAATTGTTGTTGTCAACACAAAATTCATCAATACAAATGGAACAACATAAACAATACAATGATTGTTTTGTGAGAAAAATTTGTAAAAATCGCAACCATCGTAAAATGATCATGACAGGTTCCAAAAAAATTCGTAATTCAGTAAGTGATAGTGGCAGTGGCAGCAGCGGCGACATTGAATAAAGTTTTTTTTTTGCTTGAAATTTTTTTCAGAAAATATGATTTTAATTTTGAATAAAAAATTTTTCCATTTTTCAAAAAAAAAAATCTAGGCCAAACTGAAGCCAAAACGGCGTCGTAATATGTTACGCATCATCGAAAATTGGCCATCATTACGATCGTTGGCCAATATGGACCTACAATCTTTGGTGCGTTCATTAAGGTCACAAGATAAAAAATCAATACAGAATATGCGTGCCGATTGTCATGCAGAAAGGCCATCACGTTTAGATCGTCTTCTTGAACAGGAAGAACTATCTGAAGAGATTCAGGTAGAAAATGGTTGGTCATTAGAACGTAAATCACCAAATGTAAACATTCTACAAAATGGTCTTGTCGGTAAACGGCGGCCAATTGCCAAATCTACTGATTGTATGTTTGGCCGTATAGGCTATACAAAAGGTCTTCATGTATGGACAATACAATGGCCCGTTGAATGTCGTGGTACACATGCAGTGGTTGGTGTTGCAACCGAATCAATGCAATATCTACATACAAGTGGTAAGTTTTTTTTTTGAAATGAATTTATTTTTTTCAAACAAACAAAAAAATTCACATTGAATCATTCATGTGGAGCATGTTTGGCCATCTGGTGTCGGAAAAATCAAGTTTTATTTTTTTTGTCAAAAAAAAAATTTCTAATGAATGGTGTTTGCGTGATTGAAATTGGATGATGAGAAACAAAAAAAGAAAAAATTCTCAATTTTAAAGGATTCTAATTTTTTAATGAAAAAAAAAATTTGAATTTCTCATTCTCGGTAACGGCCAAAATAATAAACTCTATATTTTCTTTGACATATTATCACATAAGATTGAAAAGCAGTGTTGAGTGTAATGAGAAAAAAAAACGACCAAACAAATACATTGCCAACCACATGTCATCATCATCATCAACAACAACAACAACAACAACAACATTGACAGCCAAAAATGCATTGTTTTTTCGTCTATCTTTGTCTAGAAGGTTTTTGTCTTTGTTTAAGAGATCTTTTTCTCTAACAGCACACAAACAAAAGAATTTTTATATATTGAATGAATTTTGTTTTCTACAAAATTCAATTTGAATGAATCAAAAATCTGTGTTTGTTTCTGTGAATTGTTGTGTATGAATGAATGAATGAATGGATTGAATTGATTCAATCCAGAATGGAAAAGTCTAACCAGAATGATTATTATTAGAAAGAAATTGACTGAATAATGAATGTTAAAATGAGTAGAAAATGTACGTGAAAAAAAAAGAAAAGAAAAATCTTGGCAAAAATAAATCAGTAAGAATTCTGTTGTCATTATTGGATGGTGGTAGTGGTTATTCTTCTAGCTGTCAATTTAATTTCAACGTTCAATTTTTCATCCTATTCATTCATTCATTCATTCATTCATTCATTGATGTTCCGGGTACATAAATTCGAATTTATTCTTTTGCTCTAATTCTGACCGAATCCTGTGTAATGTTAATGTTGTTTCAAACGGTTATGGCCGGATACGAATAATTAAATGCTCATTTGACATGATTTGGGCCATTATTATTTTTATATTCCTCTTTTCCTTCACTACCATCACCAAAACGACAATCAAATGTCAAAACATATTTTGGAGCAAGAGATTTTTGAGAATTTTTTTTTTCATTTCAAATAAAAAAAACTTTTCCAACCATCCATCTATATTTCTCGGCCATCAAATAGAAAGAAAAAGTTTACTGGAAAATTCCTAATGATGATAATCATAATCATCATTATAACGATGATGATGATGATTCGGTTACCCTTACAGAATAACGTTTCAAAACAGGAAAAAAGCTTATTAAAATTCGATTTTTTTTTCTCTCGATGTAAAACATTTTATTTTTTTTTCACCCACCGATCTACGATCTTAATCAGATTTGACTTTAAATTTGTGTTTGTGTTTTATATATATTAATAAAAATTCCTTTATAGTTCAATGTGGTTAGTTAGTTAGTTAGTTAGTTAGCAGCCGATAGGCTTAAAATCAATATAATGAAAATAATAATAATAATAATAATTTTAATCAGAAAAATCAATGGTTGTTACTGTGGCTGTCTATTTAGTTTTAATTTTTGAGTTTGGTTCACTGAATTTGGATGGAAAAAACTTCTTCGTCATTTTTTTTTCTCTCATTGGATTACATCTATATGTCCACATTGTGGCTTTCATCCATAAACTCAAATTCTGTAATTCTTGTACTTTTTCTTTTTCGATTCAATAGTGTTTTTAATATCGATCGATTTTGAATTTTAGCCAAAATTAATGAATCATCATGACCTTTGTTTTTCAAACAAAGAATCCAGAATTGTTGTTGAATAATTCCCGCCATAATTAATATTATTATAACGCACTAACCATATATACTAATAATAAGATCTATTCAAGTGGCCAGAAAAAAAAGTAAACAAATAAATAAATTAAGAAAAAAAAAAATTCTAAACCACTATGTTTTTGTGTGTGTGTATGTGTGTCAAGTATGAATAATAATAATAAAGATAAAGATAAAGATAAAGATAACAGTAGAAAAAAAATGAATTTATAAATAACTGGATGAGAAAAAAAAGAAATCAAAATGATAACTTAAATCTTCGAGAGAGATTTCTCTATTCTCAAAGTTATTATCAAGATGATGATGATGATAAACGCATATAAATCATCGTCATCTTGTTGAAATGTCATCATTATGGTGTTGGTTGGAAAAATAGCGAAATTTTCTTTTCAATTCTACGTTGTGTGTTGTCTAGATAGATGTCATGTCTTTAGATAGATAATACATATATATAGTGATTATTAGATCAAGAAAAAAAAAGAAAACATTTTCATTAGAATTTTCCACCGAAAAAAAAAAAAAAATTAGTAGTAGCCAAGATTTTCGAGTTTCTGAAACTTAATCATTTTTTCATTCATTTATGTTTTTTTTTGTTAATCAAAATATTTGAATGAAACAGAAAAGTTAATTTGATATTCGAATCATTGATACACAACACACACACACACACACACTAAAATAGACACCAATCATCATTGAAAATATATATTCGAGACAGGTAATTTACTCTACTTTTGGATCGTCAACATAATCATCATTCATGATTTTCCCTCTTCTTCATTCTTTCATCCAGTTCAAAATTGCTGAAACCAATTTTCTATTGTAATCATAGTGTCTATGTCTTTCTGTGTGTGTATACTATCGAATTTCATCCATCCATGAATAACATCGAATTCTGTTGTTGTTGTTGCTATAGCTACTGCAATTGCAAGTAAATGTAACAAGAAAAAAAAGTTACAGAAAAACAAAAAAAATTGGTTATCACCAATACTGTTGCGAATATTTATTATTATAATATTCAAAGTGGAAACATTCTCGAGTAGTGAGGAAGAGAGAATTTCACCAAAAAAATAAAGAATCAAATTATCTTTTGTTCAGTTCAAATTTTTTTCCCTTTGATTATTCTGATGATTTTTATTTTGTTTTTTTTTCGTTTTCATTGGAATTTATATTTGTTTTCAATTTCGTTTTCAAGTGTCCATGTGTATGTGTGTGTGTGCGTGTGTCATTAAATTAGTTCATTTAAAATTCTGGGAAATTTCTCCACAATTATCTTTTTTTCTATTAATGTTCGCCATCATTTTTGATGATGAAACCAAAAAAAAAAAAAATCTCTAATCAATAATCATCAGCGTTTAGTTTTTTAGTTTTATCAAGAAATAAAAAAAAGAAGAAACGATGGTGAATCGAATCATTCAATATCAAAATGTCATATATGTTTAATTTTTCCCTCTGAAACACAGTGGATAATCCAATTAGGACGTTTTTATTATTCTTTAACGAAAAAAAAAATTTACCACATGAAATGTGCACACTGTCCGAATTTTGAAGTCAAAAAAACAAGAAAAATTAAAATGACAAATGAAATTAATATGGTATATTCCTTATGTGGAACTTATTTTTTTCTTCATTTCTCATCAAATAATCTACTGTGTTTTAATAATATGAAACGATTTTTTCCGGATTAAATTCATTTAGCTTAAAATGATGACCAAAAGAAAAAACGCTTTTAACTTGATTAAAAGCAACCAGAAAAAACAATCATCATTTAATTTCATTCATTTTTCTTGATTTATAATGATTTTATAATCGAAAAATATACTAATTGTTCATTTTTTTTCTATTTATTCCACATTAATTCTAGGTTATTGTTCATTGGTTGGCAGTGATTGTGAATCATATGGCTGGGATATTGTACGTAGTAGATTTTTTCATAATAAAAAAGAAACAACATATCCATTATGGTTAAGCTCATCACATGATAAATTTACAATACCGGATGAATTTACCGTCGTATTGGATATGGATGAAGGTACGCTAGGTTTTATTGTTGATGGCCTTTATCTTGGCGTTGCATATACCGGTCTAACCGGTAAAAAATTATATCCTGTGATTTCAACTGTTTGGGGTAATGTCGAAATTGGTATACGTTATTCTGGTTATATGCCACCGGGACCATTATTATTACGTGAATGTTGTAGGAAAACAATACGACAACATTCAGGTAAAAAACGAATACGAAAATTAGTACAAGAAACACGTATACCATTAGTGTTAAAAGAATATCTTCTTAATTGATGAATCGGAATTATCCAATGGATGGATGGATGGATGGATGGATAAATTATGGATATGGACACAATCTTTCATACGATCTTTAATTTACGAATCTACTAGAAAAATAAAACACTCATCACTCATTTATCTCATCATCATCATCATCATCATCATTATTATTATTATCATCGTTTACAGCTACTATGATTATTTGTGACATAAAAAAAATGTTCCAAAAGAATTTTTAAAAAAAAAATTTCAATCAAACAAAAACAACAACAATCAAACTCGTGTACGCACACATTTAAATGCAAATAGATATTGAGAATAAGAATACAACATTCAAAACCAAACTACACATCACACTAAACACACACACACACACACACACAAATTCATGATATAAATAAAGAAAAATTTTTATTTTCAAATCACCACAGAAAAAAAAAGAAATTGATTGGTAACCAACAATTTTTATTTGAAAATTCAAACATAAAAGGTTTGAATGATTTGCGTTTGTTCGATAGATCTAAACTATTTTATTTATCGTTCAATGAAAAATTCGTATTGGAAACTTTTTTGTTTTGTTTTGGCCATAAAATCATTATACACTCATACCCCGCTTAACGCTGCCCCGTTTAGCGCTGATTCGATATAACGCTGTATAATTACCCTACATTGCATTACATTGTTACATTGTATATGAAGGGTAAAAATGCATTATGTAAAGATAGAACCCCCGCGTTAAGCGGGGTATTACTGTATCAAGATATATATGAATATTATTACGTACATTATGAATAAAAATGTAATGATGATGATTATGAAATTGTTTTTTTTTTTTTTGCCGTTCTTTATTTCAAGAAAAAACTTGAAATGTTTTTTTGATAATGATGATGATTAAGATGATGGCAATAAAGGAGTTTTTTGTACAAAAAAAAAAAAATAAAATCTCAACCTAAACATAATAATAATAATAATCATCATTAAAGTTCCTGAATTTTTTCCTTCAAACTTTAAACTTTGAATTATTATATTTCTTTTAATTCGTGAATTTCCATTGATTTTTTTTTAATGACAAACGTTTTTTTTTGGAACGCGCATGTTGATTGTGAAGAAATTTTTTTTTTACATACATACATTTTCAAAACATCAATTCTGGCCCAGAACAAAAAAAAATTATGCGCATCCAACCATTTGATCGCTATAGTAGCAGCAATCAGATGGGGTAGATGTTTTATAATGTGTAATGGAACAGAATAAAAACGGAAAAGTTTGTTGTGCCACGATCCATATGAAAAGGAAAAACATTCTTCATATACATGCACACGATTCCGTTTTTTTTTTTTTTTTTTTTTGGATGCCAAAAAATGAACATCATCAGTGTTGGTTTCGAATGTCGAACCGAAATGGTCGGAAAAAAAGAATTTTTTGTTTGTTTCAAAAATTTAAAATTTTTTTCACTTCTGTTCCAGAAAAAAAAGAATAACTCACCTTGTTTAATTTTTTCTTCTAAAATTTCAACTTCATCATCACATGGTTCACGGAACCACACAATCATTTGTCAATACACACACACACACACACACACACATTGAATGAATAAAATTTTTGGGTGAAAACTTTACTTAAAAATGGACTTTATTTTGTATGTTTGTGTTTTTTTAAATAAAATTTTTGTTACAAACCAACCGACCGAACTAACCTTAATTTGATTATTAAACACGAATGAAGAACGTACACCATTCACTGACGAATACACAAACGATACAAAAAAAAGAAAAGAAAAGATTCTTCTTTTTAAAAAAGAATTTGAAATTCAAATTTAAATTTTATTGCTCCACATACAGCACACAAATATTCATCTTGATAAAATATTCACAAGAAAAAAAAATTATTCATTTCATTCAATTCAAATCTCAGAATATTTCTTCATTGTATTTCAAAGTGTCGATCCGGAAATTTTTTTTTGTTTTGTTTTCAACTAGATCGAAAATTTAAATATTTTCTATCCACAGTAATTTTTTTTCAATTTTGTGGATTCTCATTTTTTTTCCACGTTGCAAATCATCATCATCATCATCATCATCAGCGTTGTATTGTGAAAATAATATTTTAAAGAAAAAAAAAATAGAACAATGTTCAACGATATATCGATGATCGATCAATGGCTATGGTGGTGGTGTTGGTTGATCCATACGAAACGGAAAAAGAAATTCAATAGGAAATGCTTGAGAAAAATGCACAAATCATCATCATCATCATCGGTGCCTTTATCAATATCAATAAATCAATTTGAGCTTTTTAAAAATTTTTCAATTTCAATCATCATCACTATGTTTTTATTATTTTGTTATCTATGTGATTGTAATATAATTAACAACAACAACAACAACAACAACAACAACGATAACAACAACAACAACAAAATTGATGATGATCAACGACAACAGCTTAAACGTCAAACTAAAATGTTTTCCGATCAATCATCATCATCATCATCAATGAATTCATCATTTTATTATCTAAATAAAACTTTAATACAAGGTATATTTATATATTTATTATTATATAATTACTAAATCCACCCACCTCGAGTTACTACATGAACACCCACACACACACACACACACACCCCCACTTCAAACATTTTTGCTTAACATTTATTCAGGATTTCAATTCCAATTTTTTCTCTATCATATACATCATTTTTTTGTTGTTGTCTATTTGTTTACGTCTTTCACTATAGTCATGTTTTTTAAATTCCTTTGGGTTTTCCTTTTATCTAGCTAATTATTATTATTATCATTATTCAAAATTGAGAAAAATATTACGTCATCATTATATGGTATATATCTAGTTGTCATCCAGGTCAAATGATGATGGTGATTTTTTTATTCATGTATAGAATCCCATCATAGAAAAAAAAATTATCGTGAATACAGGAATATATTCTTTAACGATCGTCATCATCATCATTATAATCATATGTTATTCGAAAAAAATATGGAATTTTTTTCGCACGAAAATTTTTCTTCTCATTATTCTGGATTCTGGGTATATATTATTTTTCTGTGTGTGTGTGTGTTTTTGTATAAATTAGAGATTGAGTTAATGATGAACTGATTACATTTTTTTTTTTTTTTTTTTTTCATATATTGTGATGTAAAGTGTATTTGCCATTCACACACACACACACATTTAATCCCTTTTTCAAACTAAATGATTTTCTAATATCATTATAATTTCTTTTAGTCCTTGTACTTTTTTGTGTGTGTGTGTGTGTGTGCAATTCATTTGATGATCAATGATCATGATCCTTTATGAACCTTTATATTTCGGGTTCATGTCCCGTTGAAACAGATATTTTTTTTTTGTTCATTTGTCCTGGTTGAACATTACTGATTCATAGTTAAACAGTATTAAACTCGTGCAGAATAAATTGTTGATTATTCAAGAGAAAGTGTAGCTGAAAGAAATTATGAAGAAAAAAAAATTTCATCCATCTGGTATAATATCCAATAGTTTGATATGATCTGTACACGTATACGTGATGCTTACATTTTTTTCTCTCTCTCTCTGTGCATTATAATCTTTAATAATATATATGAAATAAAAGTTTACTCGCTCTTTGGTTCACCAATATTTATTTCACTATTTCATGATTCATTCTTTTTGTGTGGTGGGTGGCTATCGAATTGTAATTAGGTTGATTGGTTTTAGTTTTAGCAATATTTTCTTTTCAGTTTTATTTTGATTGTGGATGTATTTGGATTGAATCAAAATCCTTTTTTTCGTGTGTTTGTGTTTGTTTCTCATACAAATCTTTTGTGAATAGATTTGATTTGATTGGTTAAATAAATAAAAGAGAATGTAAAGCTTTGCGGTAAACAAAAGCTTGTAAAGCAAAGCGAGAAGAAAAAAATCTCAAATAAATCTTGTCGAAAAAAATCTGTATTTTGAGTTTTTAAAAAAAAAAAGATTTCCATTGAATTATATGGGTTCATTTATTTATTATGATTCGATACTGCGTAATCAGAATAAAAGATTTGCACACAAACATCAAACCAATACCAAGTATAAATGAGAGAAACTTTATGTATCTGGTTTTTTTCTTTCTCTAAATATTTTCTCTCATTCTTCATATAAAAGGTTATGTTTAATCAATAAATTGTTTGTTCATTATGGTAAAATTCTTGTCTTGGTTTTTTTTCTGACCAAAAAAAAGAGACTAATTTATTTAGCCATTTCTCGCACATCATATATGATGATGATGATGATGATGATGTTTGAAAATTCAAAGCATAAAAAAAAAGAAAACAGATTCTGAATTTTATTCTTGCTGGAAGGATTTTTTTTGTTATTATTGTTGTCGTCGTTACAAGTTCCAGAAACCATACAATCCACATTATGATATTGTCGAATATTCTATAGTAAATGATGGATTGAATCAAACAATAAACCAAACCAGACAAAAAACAACAGACGAGATTAGCTTCAGTAAAAAAAAACAACAAATACATGACCAATCCTACATGAACAATCATAACCGGAAAAGAGGCAACAACAACAACAACAACAAACAAAACAGTGAATAAGAAAAACAAAATTCATTAATTTTTCCCTGATTATATGAAACAAGCAAAAAAAAAAAAAAAAAAAACATTCAATTCCGGGAAAGTTTCTTTTGCGTTTTTTTATTTATTTATTCATCATTTTTATCCACCCTACCCTATATATGGATGTTGATGATGATTATGATGATGTTTTTTTTTCACTGTTCGTTGATGGTGATGATGCATGGAATGGAAAAAAAATAATAATATCCAACAGATGTTGTGTGTACAACAAGAGAATTTGGCTGGTTCAAATTCTTATATAAAATTAATATATAAATACATTTTTGTACTTGAAATATTATAATTCATGATTCCTTTGTTCACTAATCACAAATCTATAGGGCAATTATTATTAAAATAAAAATGGATGACAATGTTATTAACCTATAGAACAAGAAGAAAAAAAAATAAGAATAAATCCAGATGTCTTTGAATTTTGTTTCTTATGAAATGAAACGAAATTCAAAAATTTTTCCCATTCCTTTTTGAACCGATTATTTTAGTATAGTAGAATTATGATTATTATGAATAATGATGATGATGTTAATCCAAGAATATAGTTGATTAATTAATCAAACAGTAACGATAATGAAAAAAAAACGAAAATTCCGGGATTCTAATATTTGTTCGGCTATATATGTTTCGGAAACGATTAATTTTTTTCTCTTTTATTAAATCTAAATTTAAATTTTTTTGTTTTGTTTTGTTTGCAAACACACAGCATTTCCGGCAATCGAAACAATGACCGGTGCAAAAGTGATTATACCATGTAATATGGCACATTATCGTCAACAACAACAACAACAACAAAT